CCGATTTGGTTGCCAACTGAGGTGTTCGTGAGCTGAGGTACCAATGTAAATGAGAGAGAGAGAGAGATGAACTGGATGTCAGCTCTAAGGTAAGAATGGGATACATACCTTGTGCAGTTATTATAAAGATGGCATAGGTGCACAATAATATTCTTTTTTGGTCCTACCTACCTTGCCCTGTGTACCTTGCCTTCCTTCTCCTTGCTCAACCTTCTTCCCCTCTTGTCCACTTCCCAACCTCAGCACTTCCTTGCTCCAGCTCCTCCACTTGGTGGACTCTGCACTGTAATTGCCTCCACTTCCACCTGAGATAAGAGGTACATACTCATTGGTGAAGCAGGTACTTTGAGACTTTGGACTTCAGGCACACTCCTGTGCAAATGGAAACAGAAAGAAGTCCTACAACAAGGGCTCCTTTAGATTGCCAAATGCACTACCGTATTTTTCCATCTATAAGACACCCCCATGTATAGAACGCCTCCCACTTTTCTTTCCCAAACTTCAGAAATCAATATTTTAAATACTAAATAGAAGACATTTTTATTTAGTGATTAGGCAACGTTTACATACCAGTACTATGATATTATACATCACACTTAGCTCTGAGCAAATCACTCAGCTTCTATTGCATCACTGGTTTCTTCTTCATCACTTTTAGTTTCAAACATATCAGTTTTTTCAACTTCTGTTGCATGACTGCTGTCTGCTGAGTCACTGTCTATATATATGAGATCATCCTCATAAACTGGTGGCATTTTCTGTGCTAACTTTGTTCGTGTTCTCATGGCCTACCCTTCTCTCCTCATGAAACTTGAAGCACCATTTTGCCTTTCCTGTCAAATCAACAATCTTCACTTCGCTTGCAAACATTCTTGCCTGTCATTGAGTAAGCTTGGTTGACACACATAAGTCACTCTTGCGCTGCTCCAAAATCCAAGTCTTAAGCCTCTGCTCCAAGTTTGGCCATTTTGTTGGTTTTTCTCTCAAGGCCATCTTCTTTTTTGGCATCTTAAGGAGTTGTTCTTCCTGTTTTCTCCTCTGTCTGATCATGCACTCAGTGGGAAGAGGTCCAAACTGTCTCTCTGCAGCTCTATTTCCATAACTGATTACATCCAGTTTAAATTTTGCAGAGTAAGACATTTGCTTACTGGTACCAGTATCTATTTTTTTGTTTTGTGACATTTTTATGGACTCAGAACGCTCTGACATTACCACTCCCTGTTGCATCTGGGCACTGGCTACATGCTGTCCACAGCAGCAGCTGATGTCAATTACATAAGGCTCATGATTGGAGGAAACCTATTAGCTTGTCTCTGCAATCGGAAGTTTCGCTCGTGAGGTTAGTTTGAAGAGATAAGGTATCGGCAGTTTTGCACTCACGGTTCTCCTCTCTGCCCCCTGTGTATAAGAAGCCCCTCCATTTTTAGGTAAATATTTTTAAGAAAAAGTATCATCTTATACATGGAAAAATAAGGTTGTTTAGTTGTTAAGCACACAACTGAAACTTCTCTTTCTTCCTCCACAACAATCATTGCATACTTAACATTCCTGGGATATTACAACAACACTGTTTACCAACACTAATACTTTAAGCATGTGCACTTTTGCATTTTAAACTCAGTTAAATCATGGCATGATAGAGCTTGCCTGTTACCCTCATTACCCATGGCCACTCAGGGCCCAGTGCTCATTGTGCCCATCCCTGGGCTATGGGCCCTGGACTTTGGACTCATGATCCAGCCTGAGCTGTGCTAGGTCCACATATTTCTAAGCTATCTAGACTCACAACTTCTTAGAAAAATGAGCAGGTAAATTGAAAGAGCAATATATGTATACAGGTCAGGTGCATCAATGAATAACCAACAGCACAACCCAATGAATTTAACTCAAACATAAACTCTACTTTATTCAATGAGGTTTCCTCCCTGGCAAGGTTGCATGGGATTCCAGCCTAAAATCACAGTGCAATGAAGCTCTGAAACAAGGATATTAATTGGAGTTTACTTTCAGGGAAGTGTGCCTAGGATTACCACCTAAGTAGAGTGCAATTTTAAGATAATGTGCATATATTTCTGAATAAACTCCTCCTGTGAAGCTCAGAGTGCCATGCTCCTACCTGTGTGGCATCCTAAGTAACTTAAAGTTTATACTCAAAGAAGCCCTTTGGGAACTCATAAAAAAGAAATGCTCTCAAGGGATCAGCTTGCTTTTCTCAAACACTAATTTTCTAGTTCAGTTCATAATCTGCCTTGCATGTTGCTGCTTGCCTCTTTCATGAACTTCCCTTTCTTTCTCACACTCATAGCTGACATTCAGTTTAATCAGACTCCCTGAAGGAAGGGTGGTTGCTTCATTTGTTCATCAGGCGTAAGCAATGGGGACACAGAGTGTCATTGGAATACACCAAACTTAACATGATTCTTGAATCGTTTCCCTATTGTGCAGAACAGGATGAAAACACCACAAAATACCACAAAGGCCAAATATCTGTGTTTTGTTCATTCCCATGGTAAAGTCTGAATGTAGTATGTATTTAGTGGGCTGATAGGTAACATAACTCTATACTGCTAGTAGGGATGAGCAGTGAAACTCTCTAATATCATCAGCATCATATTCTGGATATCCTTTGGACCTCCTGCTAAACTAGTCATGATACTGAATTAATTACAGTTGAAGCCAGTGCTTGAGGTGTCCCGTGAATGACCACTGTTAATGTGATTGGTTGTTGTGCAACCATATCTTGTGGTGTACAGGATGTGGTTGGACTCCTCCTTGCTATTCATGGAGTTATTCTCAGCCTGCTTGGAAGCTTTAGTGGCTGTGTGTTTTGCATCTGTGGGGGCAGCTCTGGACATAATGTTAACACCAGTATAATGGAGGCACTGTTAGTGGCACCCAATGTTCCAATTTAGTGCATAAATTAAATTGCTTCCTTTGTGGAGGAAGATGCTCCTGATAACAGTGAAGAAACTTGTTCAGTTCCTGTCTACTTGGTCATTTAATTTCCATACTGCTTTCCCATATAATGTCCCTGAACTGGCTCACAACAGAAGATCAGCAGCACCAAACAAAGAATGCATAGGGATACATCAGTTGCAATAATGCACCGAGCTGACAGCACTGTGGCAATTGCTAAACTGGACCTTGCTGCTGCCAGTAAGGCAGTTCAGCCCAGTGGATAGAGGCATGGATCCCAGGGTGCTGGGTTGCAGTTCCATCTTCCATTTGCTGTCACTCTCCCATAGCATTGTGTTAGAAGATCATTGTTGCTAGTGCAAGTTTGCATGTGAAGGCTGATCATATTTGATCCTTTCATTCTTCACAATGTTATAAAACAGCCTTCCCCAGCCTTGCGGCTTCCATACATGCTTGGACTGCAACACCTAGAATTCCTGGTCAATGGCCCTGCCGGATGGGAATTCTGGGAGTTGCGGTCCAAATGCCTCTGAAGAGTACCAGTTTGCAGAAGGCTGTTATAAAATATTATCTGAGATGGAGTTGTTGACAAGGGGAAACATCTCATCTAAATCATCCCTTGGTTCCATTGCAACTCTTTCAAGAATGGGATAAAATGGGAATTTCTCCTGTGGGTGGAAGTATAAAAAACTACAGTCTCACATGGGTCTGTACTGTGACCAATACTTTTCAACTGACTTGAATGATCAGGAAGTAGGGGTGAACTATGAAGTGATCAGGTTTGCTGAAGGCAGTGAATGATTTAGGTGGGCAAAAACAAAGAGGGATTGTGAGGAGCTCCAAAGGTTTCAGTGCAGGCGAATGTAAATTGATGTATGTTGGTTAAATAAAAAAAATTCCTAACTTCAAGTATGAGCTGATGGGATCTGAACTAACAGTGACTAACAGAAATCTTGGTGTTCTGGTGAACTGGACAACCCAATGTCAACTTATGTCAACTTATTGCTGCACTGAAAAAGACAATCCCATGTTAGGCATCATTAGGAAAGGAATTGAGAATAAAACTGCCAGTACCATACTGATCCGTAATGAATCTAAAGTGCCAACATGCTTAAAATACTAGTTCTCATCACAGTTTCTAAAGAATATTGTAGAACTGGAAAAGGCTCAGAAAATGGCAAGTAAAATGACAGAAGGGCTTGTGCAACTCCCCTGGGGAAACAGCTGTACGATATAGCTTAGAAAAAGGGTCACTAAGGGCAGACGTAATACTATTATACAAAATTATGCCAGGTGTGGAGAAAGTGGACAAGGAGACACTTTTCTTCCTGTGTCATAAGACTAGAACCTAAGGTGATGTGATGAAGCTGATTGGTGGATGATTCAGGACGGATAAAAGGAACTACTTCTTCACACAGCACATAGTTGCTCTGTAGAAATCACTTCCATATGTAGTGATGGCCACCAATTTAATAGGGGATTGGGCAAATTAATGGAGGAGAAGGCTATCAGTGGCTGCTAGTTACAAAAATGACTTCACATGACTCTGGTTCACTGTTTCCAGGCAAAATTGAAAGTGCTTGTTATGACCTATAAATCGCTGTATGCTTGAGCCCAGGCTACTGAAAGACTGCCTTCTCAGATAAGAGGACACCCTTATCATTTAATGTTTCTTTTAATGCTGTGCTTTAATTAAAATGTTATTTTATTTTTAGCTGCCTTGAGCATAATTTTGGGGGTCCACAAATTAAAACAGGGTAGAAATGAATAGGGTAGAAATAAAATTAGTTAGGCTGTAATCCTCTTTTGCACTTGCATGTGAGTAAAACCCACTGAACACAGTGAGACCTGCTTCTGAGTAAACATACAAAAGATTTTGTTGTTAATAAAAGAAAGATAAACACTTGCTGGTCTTGTTCATGTAGTGCTGTTCTGTTATTTTAAGTACTTCTTATTGTATTAGTATTGTTACTCAGCCTAGAACCATTTGTATTAAAGGATGGGATAAAAAGCTGTAAGCAAGCAAATACATTTCAGAATTCTAGTGCTGTGAACATAATACAAAAGGACTAGGATTGCACAAAGGTAGGACTTGGATTTATTACAAGTGATGATGCAAGAATTTTGTTTCATTTTCACATCAAGTCTCTTTTCAGGCCTGACTGGTTGAAGATGAAATTAACTTCTGAGTTGTTAAACTGGCTCTTTCCCAGATAAGCAAGCTCTGCGCTTTCTGGTTCTGGCAGGAACAGGAGGAGGGTAGGAGAGTGAAAAGTTGGCAGGTATTTGAGTCAGCATAGGTTTGTATCTGAGGAACCTACCCCAACTTTATGATATTAATCACCAACAATAACTGCTGCCAAATTACTAGTGGAAGGGCTGTTGCACTGAGCAGTTGAGCAAGAAGCAGAAGTTTTTCAGGTGCAGCTTTTCATCCTATCAGTTGGATGGATGCTGTCAAACAGAAGCCCTGGATAAAAAGAAAGAAAATGGACACAGCAGGAAAACTTCTACAACAGTTACCAGAAAAGTAGCCGTCTTCATCAATTGCAGCAAAAACAAGATGCTCAGAACTAGTATTCTAAGTGCAGTGACACTATAGATCCGTTACAAGAGTCATCTTAAAGCTTACTAAATGTATTATGGCATAATCGGTTCATGCCATATCAAATCCATTTCTCTTAAGGTAGCTTGTGATGCTTTTCCTGACAAGAATAGGAATAATTGCCTACCCGTAAATGTTCCGCTGATGCCCTGACAGAACAAATTATCCAGCAACTCTGTGGCAGTTCAGAGGCAGGTCTTAAATGGTTATTATGTGCTGCAAGGCTAGTGTCTCGTTTCAAATGATAGGGGTTCTTTGTCCTGAATGTTGATTTTAAAACTACCAAGAAGGCATCTGGATTGCCAAACTCCTCCACAAACAGAAATAAGCGAGATGAAAGAGTTCTATCTGAGCATTTCTTTCATTTCCTAGCAGCAATATCATCAACAAAACCAACTGTTGTTGCTTTTTTTTTTAAATGATAAAAGATTACTAGTTTCCAGTCTTGATCAAACAAGCTATTCCAGAAAATCCAGCACCAACAATACTTCTTAAGCTGGAAATGGAAAGCCCACAATTTAGCTCAGTGGCTGAGCAAACACTTTGAATGCTTAAAGGGGTCTAAATGCAATCTGTTTCTTCCAAGGCTCAGAGATCACTTCTAAAGTCCCAGTACAAATCTTTAACATGTGCTCCCTCCCACACAGATGCCACGACCTCATCCCATGCACAGCATCTTGTGAATCATAAAAGAAAAATGTCTATTTTAATTCTGAAATTACATGTTCTATATTTTTGAAATTACACTATGGCCCACTGTGGGACTTTTCTAGTATGCCCAAAATAGACACACCCCTTTTGCTATTTTTGTTTAACACAACATCCACCCCTGAAGATGGTCCATGCTGGCTGTGGAAGATGGGAGTTGTAGTCAGTGATGGGCAAATCTGCAGATTTTAATTTCTCTTAGTCTTACATTTATTCTAAACTTAATCTCAAACTTTAAAAATTTCTCCAGTCTTAAGTTTGGTTTGTTCTGAAATTTGAGATTTTTTTTAAAGTTCATGAAAATTCATAAGCAGTTTTGTGTACATTTCTCCTAATCAAGGCATTTTGCACACATTTTTGCCAACTGCACATATCTTTTAGCAGGCAACAGTCCTAACAAATGCATTTTAAACAGTTATTTTCCCTAGTATATACATTTTATTCATGTTTTGTTGGGGATATTCTGCATTTTGTAGCACCACCAAATTTAAATTGCCATAGTGGTTTGAAAGGGCAGAATTAAATAGGTTTTCATTTAAATCTACACCAAACAATTTCTTCCCTATCCTACATATCTGGAATGGACCACTTCAGGAAGGCTGGATTGTAGACTTCCCTTGGGAGGCCAAAACACTTGAAGTTGGAATATAATTTATTTAGAAATGCACCAGTTAAATAGACATTGCAAGGTGCAGAACCAAGGGCAGGAGCATCTCCAGGTTAACACTCAGTTCAGTCACCTGCCCCCCAGTCCTAACAAAGTTCCACAGTCAAAATCAAATTTCCTTACAATATTCACTTTACAAGCAACACTACTTTCAGTACTAGGAACAGCTACTTGCTACCCATTCTGTCTTAGCAACCACCAGCCCCAAAAGAGGAGCCTCTTGTCATATTTTAAAGATATACCCTGATAATAGCATTCCATTCTCTGCGCTGTGCACTTCAGCACCCAATCCAAAGTCTCTGAGGGGAATTTGCTGGCCCTCCCTCAGGATCTCACTCTAGTGCTTATTAGAAGGCCATGCAAATAGTTGATAAAGCATCAACTAGTACCTTCATTACCAAGGATAGTCAACTGCTTGGAGGCTTTCCTTTCCAATCTAGATTTAGGCCTGGTTTGAGAAGGGAAACTCTCTTGGTTGATTAGTACCTTACTAATCCATAACCTCAAAAAGTGTAGCTTTGATAGCTTTGAATTTAATCTGGGCCTACAAAGCAGTTCTGGGGTACCCAGTGGGAGTCCTAGCAACCCTACAGAACAAATGGATGTTTGGAAGGCTTGAACTCTGCATGAGTCTTTCCACATTTCCAGTTTGCAGAAAGGCTTCTAGAAATATTGCCACCTCTTTGTCCTGCCAGTAGGTCACAAGTCTCACCATGTAGGTTGATGCAGAACAAGGAGCAAAAAGTGGCATGAAAATGCTGGATATTCTGCTTCAAGTCTTGTCATGTGCACTATGAGTAAGGAATGCAGGATGTGGAGGTAGCAGCACCATTGCGAGAACTCAGCCAAATAAACTGGGATGTAAACACCCCACCTCCCTTGCAAGTGTCAGCTCTATGATTTTAGCAGTAGACACACCTAGCTAGACCAGGACACCAGGGTGATGGAGGTAGGGTGAGAAAAAGTCCTCAGCAGCAAGTGTCAGATGGTGAGACAGATATCGCAAAACTAGAAGCTTGAATGGGTTCAGGAGCACAGCAAGGCTCAGACACAGGAAAGGGTATTCTAGAACCAGAGGCAGCACAGAATCCAGACCAGGCAAGAGTTAAATTTAGGTGAGAATCACATCAGGCACTAGCTAGAGGCAGTGTGTCCCTTTTTGGTTTTGGACCATACAGTGGCTTTTGATCACATTGCCTGTGGTATTCTTATGGAGCATCTTGTTGCTCTGAGGCTTGGAGGTACCATGTTATGGAGCATTTGGTCCTGTATATTTGGGCACACTCAGAAAGTGGTGCTCAGAGCTTATAGGTCAGAAGTATGTCCATTCTCTTATGGGATTCCACAGGGTTCTATTATTTCCCCCATGCTATGCAAGTTCTACAGGAAAATGCTGTGAGAAGGCACCCAGGGATTCTGAGATGGGTGTCAGAAGTATGCTGTGATACCCAACTTTCTCTTTGCTCAGCTTCTGCAAAGATACTTTGACTGGCCATTGGTTAACAAACTGAAATTTAATCTAGACGAGGCAGGAGTGAAACTGATTTAGGAAGTGAAACACAGCTATACTCCCTTGGAAGGACAAAGCTTACAGTTTGTGGTGTTCCACACTGACCCTGAACCCGAGTCTCTAAGTGGCTGCTTTGGCTAGGTGTGCCTTTGCCCCAGTTTAGTTGCTGTGCCTATTTATTCCTTCTTGACAAAGGCAGGTCTGCCCACAGTAACACATATTTCTGTTACATCCATATTAAATTACTGTAACTCGAGAAACATGGGCCACCCTTTAAGAGTAACACTAAACTGCAATTTGTATAAAATGCAACAGCCAGGATACTTTCTGATGCTCCCTGTTTGGATCAACCACTTCCGTTCAATCAGCAATGGTTTCCAGGTTCTTTTTGGATCCCATTCAAGGTTTTGTTACTAAAGCCCTATTAAGAAGCTGCTTTATATTGATCCATCTTAGGTAATGCTAACACTGACTGGCATCAACTCTCTGGGATTTTATGTACGATTCTTTCCTAGCTTTATCTGGAGATACAAGGGTTTGAATCTGGACTTCTCTGCATGTAAAGTATGGACCTTACCACCAAGCTACAATGCCTACCAAATCTTGATTGGCCTCAAGCAGACAATCTGCCCCCTCCCCTATCTGAAGCCTCACTCTGTGATCTACCACAAGACACGCTTCATGGTGGGAACATGAGACTTCCAGGAGCAGCACTCCAGCCTTGGAACCTTCCTCTAAGGGAAACTTGGTGGGCTTCATCTTTGATGGTGCTTAGTTGGGCAACCGAGACATTTCTGTTCCACCAGGCTTTTTAAGGATTTTCAAAATGTGTGTTAATTCTGTCCTTTAATCCTGCTTATTAAGCAATTATTCTTAAGCTTTTCTTGCTCTCCATTTTCACTGTATGAAGATATTCTTCATGATTGTAAGCCTCCTGGGATCTTGTTAAGGACCAGAAGGCTGTATATAAATAGTTTTATAAATTAACTTCAGTTTTCTCAAACATTGCTCTACACATATGAAGGCCAAGCCTTTTATCTGCTTTTGCAAAGGCTTACCTTGGTTTCTACTTTGCTTTTTATTTATTTAAATTGGGAGCTTTTATAATGTATTAGGCTGTTATTGTATTTTATGGTTTTAAGCTTTATCTTATAAACCCCTCAGAGAGCTTCAGCTAATGGGCAGCATACAGTCTATCAAAAAATAATGCGTTTTGCTGCATAATCCAATGACTTCATGGAAGGTGAGTAAAATTGGCACTACTAGCAGTAAGTATTTACATAGGGAATGACTCTCAACATATCTGGAATGTTACATGCAGGTAAAAAGTTAAAGTGTAACATTTTGCTCTCACAAATTACTTTTCATAACACATTTTCCTTTGATTTAAATTTCAATCACATATTGATTACAATTTAGCAGAGTAGCCTGGATTGTTAAATGAACTGGATTTGGCCAACAGTCCAGCAGCTGGCCACCCGTACTCCAATTTTGTATTATACTTTATTTCATATATGTGTATTGTATTTTAACTTCTGTGTGTATAGCATTTCAGTCTTTTTAATGGCTTGCAATTCACCCAGAGAATGTAGGTTATAGAAACAAAGTCTGAAGGGGTCTCCTGGGCCATCTAGTCTGACCCCAGCTGGCTTCACTTATGTAAGCCCCAACATGTGGTTGTCCAATCTTTCCTTGAACTGATTAAAAAACTGATTAACAGAACTGATTATCAGATTATTGAACTGATTAAAAAACAGATTGACAGAACTGATTATTGGACAGATTAAAAACACAATAGATTAATTAAATGTGCAATCCTACACATGTTACGACAGAGAAAAGTCCTACAACTTCCAGCCTTCCCCAACCACCAATGCTGGCAAGACAATACTGGGAGTTGTGGAACTGTCTCAACAGGCATAGGATTGTGCCCTAAATAAGATTACTCTCCAGTGGAATAGATTGAATAACTCAGCTTGTATAGAATGATAAAATCCCAAGTGCTTTGCAGAAGTAACCTTCATTAGGTAATATTGCTGGAGAAGTATATCAATTAGGTAATTTTGTTGATGTCACAAAGTGACCACATTGCCAAAATTTTGCTGCAGCTGAACTACAAATTATTCTTTTGCAGGGATCTCTGTATTTGATATTTTCTAACATGTGAGCCCATCTTCTATTGTGCTACTTTATCAATGTAACATTGGTGGAAACCAATTATATCTTTTCCCAGTGAGCAGGCACAAAGTAAACTAGTTTCCCACCCCCACCCTCTTGGGCTCTTCTTGTACTTACTGTGCCAGCAATGTGAGGAAGGAGAGAAGGAGAGGGAGAGGATGTGGCTGGCTGTACAGTGTTCCGGAGCTATTTTGGGCCTGTCAGTCATTCCGTGGGAGCTGTGGCAGGTTGGCATACATTACATCAGTTGGAAAACTGGTTGCTGGCCGCCAGGAAATGTAAGAGCTGAAAGCGTTGTAAGGGAGGCAGGCTCAAGCTACAGAGAGAGACGACTGGTAGAAAGTCAGAGTCAAGCTGCAATGCTAGCACCAATCTTGCTTCTTTCAGAGAGAAATTCTTCTAAACATTTCAGTGGTCATGGAAGTTGTCAGAATTGAGGGGAGATTACACACTGGGAAAATCAACCATCATGTAGACTTCTTTGATGCTACCTGAGAAAAAACTAATGCAAAAACCATTCAATAACTACACGTAGGACCTGCAATAAATAAATAAATAAACGTACGTAGCAGTCTGGAGTGTTTCTGTTCATTGTTGCAGTATGTTTTAGCCTTGCCCTCCTCCATGATACCTTCTTCCATTTTTCTTCCCACCCAAATTACCTGTCTCCTATCCAGTTAGCCTTCATGGTCACTGAGCTACAATCGGGTTGTTCTGCATATATCTGGTTTCCTAAATATTTTTCTGAACTTCCACAAAACGTGCATTTTTTGAAAGCCCCCGATACTTTACTCTTGGTATGGACAATGCTCCAGTTTCCGAAGTTCAGAAGAGAGGGAATGCTTTTACTAGATTTGGGGAAAGTACAAAGAATGGGAAGGAGTTCCTTACACTTGAATTTGCTAGTCGGAAATCCATCATGAATTTAGAACTATTTCCTACAACAAACAAGCAAACCATCACCCTCTGGTATTTTGGATTGTCCCCTCTCCACACCAGTACACACACTGCCTATCAAACAACTATAGTTCTACTAGAGAAACAACTTTCTCTAGTAGTACGGAGCAGTTATTTATATATGATGGCAGTTCATCAGAACAAATTAGCAGATGGAATTGACCACGGTCCTCAGAGAGAAAAATACTATGAACATTGGCATGTTCAGCTATTTGGTTTCTGTTGCTAACCTAGAGTTTGGATGAGGATCTATACGTCATGACAACAGAAATCCAGAATGTACCATTTAAGCTTATGCAAGCATTAATGACATTCACACCGAGTGTAATTTTTGCCCATCTGAGCACATCCGTGGTGCACAAGACATTCTGTGCTCCATGCAGCACTGTCTTGATAGGCCTTTCCCACCTCCACTCCTTGCTGCAAGCAAGGGAAGTGAGGAGGGTGTCTAGCTGTTGCTGAGGAGGAGGTCCGGAACCAGAAGGTGGAATCAGCACCACCTGAAAACAGCAGCATTGCTATTTATTTTGGACAGCAAAATGGCTAAGGTCAACTCTGAATGTGCAGTATAAATGGGAGAGCTAAGAATAACTCAACCTTAAAGTCTTTAAATAAGGTGCACTGTTCCAGTGCGTGCACATTTGGGCATTGCAGGAGAGAAGTGTACTCTTTTTAAAGAGATCAAGTGTTGCTCATCTTTACTACTGTGTTTATGAATGCTTATCTAAATGGCAAGGCTATTAGTGAATTAATGGAAAAAGGCTGATAATAAGTGGTTGACTTTAGAGTAAAATCATTATTGGGTAGATAGCAATCTATTTTTATTCTGCAAAGTCACTTGCATGGTTGAATAAGCATGAACTGAATGAAGAAAAGAGAGCACATCTAGCAGTGTACATGTATTTTTTGTATTTTTGTATTTAATGGTAATTTATTATGTACTATTGTATTTCAGTGTATTTTATCATGTTGTAAGCCGCCCCGAGGTTTCGGCAAGGGGCGGCATAGAAATGTAATAATAATAATAATAATAATAATAATAATAATAATAATAATAATACAGCATGCATTCCTTAATCCAGTATTGGTTAAACTTTCAGCAGCTGAGGCAACAGGAAGGTGGGAGCAAAATTCAAAATTAGAGCGCTTTGGTTATTGGGTAGAATAGAAATTAAATAAACTGATAAAATTGGGAGCATGTCTCATGCTTTTGCCCAGAATAGTTTACTTTTCAAAATTACCTGTAAGGGAAGATTCACTCTTGATGGGCCCCAGCTGGTGTGTTTTGGCCCTAAGCATGCCTGGTAAATGGAAGAGGGCAAGCCCCAAAAGAGTGACTCATCCAGAGACTTAAAGGCACCCTCCTTGGGGGGCAGGTGGTTCTCCTGCTTCTTTACATGAGGGTGAATGAAGTGTCCAATCACCCTGAGACAGAGCAGAAAAGCCTAACGGCAACCAAGGCTTACACAGCTATAGGTGATAGCAGCAGCTGCCCTATAGCTCCCTCATATGGTGAATCCCTGAAATACAGGTTTCTCTGACCAAGGAATGTTTCTCACTATCAGACTAGCTACTGGCACCTACAGGGCCTGGAGGGGTACAAGGGCCTTCCTGTTCCAGGCAAGCCTTGCTTGAGTGACACGGTCTTCCTGAGTGCAGGTGTGTTTTGGCAACCTTAGTTATTCTTTGCTCCTGCCTCCTGGTGTGCCCTTTTCAGTCCCAGTTTCTTCTTTGGGGCTAACAGTGGGAAGGTGCTATGAACCCACAAAATGTTTCAGTTATGAAGACTACAATTCTAAACACTTCCAAGGATGAAAAGCTGATTGCATACTAAGTAGGGATGCATTAGACTTGACTGCATATTAATTTACCATGGCATATGAGCAGGCTTTGGGGCAACTTTGGAATTGTATGTTATGTGCAATGGTGCTTAGTCCAAGGAAAATGTATTTAGCATGGCAGCTTCATCTAGTTGTTTCTTAAAGCCTATTATTTTGGTACTATTTTGGAGGTTAAGAAATTCTGTTGAGTAGAATCTAATCCTAAACATATTTACTTGAAAGCAAGTACTACTGATTGCGATCTATCTTATCTTCAGGTAAGTGTATATAGCATAACAGCCTATGTTCTACATAGGCTGTGACAGTATGCAAGCCTCTGAATTATAAAGAATTATTCTGATTATTAGAAAGGAGAGATGCTATGTCTCACCTATGCAATTTATTATTGACACAAATATTTAAGTCAGTTTCCTGCACCAAACTTCTTTCCTCACTAGCCTAGAATTTTTTTAAATTTTAAAAATTTCAACATCACTTAAACACAGCAAATGGCTATAAAGTCTGGTAACAATTTCTTATTCACAAACACTTATGGAGCAAAAACAGACCAAGCTGAGCTTTCTCACTTATTGTAGATGATATAATTATCTTATTACAGATAATTGTTTATATTTGTTTATATTATATTGTAAGCCATCCTGAGACAATTGGTTTGTACAGGATAAAATATTCTAAATAAATAAATTGACTAAAATTTATAAAATGTAAGATCTTAAATGACAGAGCATAACATCAATACAAGAACAATAAAACAATTGATAAAACACTGGCACACAGCTGGAAAAAACAGCCATTTTCCTCCTATCTGAAGAGAATTCTGTGGGGAAAAAAATCATTCAAATTCCTTTTAACAAGAGCTCAGTTTAATAATGAGATGTAACCTATTTCACATGTCTCAGTGCAATAGCACTGCAGAACCAGTTGTAGTTGGGAGAAGCTATTTTTAAAAAATTGATAGTTGCATTGAGCCAAAAAGAAGCTGTGTTCTTGCAGAAATGATAAATTGACCAGTAGTATCGCAAGCCCGAAATTTTCTCGCATGCATTATTCTCCTCTGACCTGCAGCTTGTTTTATTCCACTTGGCAAGCCAGTAGTGACTAATGAAAACTAAAATTAGAATGCTACCCCCGGGACAGAGAAGTATAAAATGAACTTAATATTTTCCATTAGGCTACAGCATGAGCATGAATCATCTGAACTGTGGATAGACTATGGGAAGCCCAGGAACTTAATCTTGACCCCAAGGGCTTGCTGTCTGAATGTTAGAATAACCCCAATTGAAAGGATTCCCAAACCGATTATAGCGCTAAGTCACTTTCTCCAGTCTAAGTTGTAACACAAAGTGCTTCTTAACCTTTTCTCACCAATACAAAGAACACCAGAGCCTTTTGGCAGAGTTTTCCCATTAAAAATATTATTCAGTTTAAGATTCTTCATCTGGGAATCCTTGTGGAACCTTCTCATGAACAGTGCATAAAATATAAAAGGTGTATGGAACACTTCCAATTATCTGTCACCCTAGGATGCTGGTGATTAGATTTATATCCAGAATATCCCTTATGTCAGTACGAGAGATTAAACTGGATAACCCAATAATTAGAGTCCTCAAACCTGCATCTCAGAGATGGACTATCGTTAATTGGAAGTCAAGCTGTCATGCTTGGTTACAGTTCAATTCTTGAGGCTTCTAGCCATGCGGAGATTCAGTAACAAGCACTTCCAACTTGACATGCTTTACATTTTCTTTTCCATCCTCCTTTAAGTGACATTGGGAGGAGTGTTACAAGGTATAATATACAGAACATCTTTGCAATTCTGTTTCTTTGCTGTGCCCAGTGAAGTGTAAATTGACTTGGTTTGCAATTGTGTATCTGGCATCTGGATGCTCAGTGCTTTGCTTTCAAAGATCTCCTTGCCCCATACTTTACCAAACTTACTTATTAGCCACTTCTAAGTGCACTTTAGCGGTGGCTGCATTCGGGAAGTATTTGGGTGCAGAGGTCAAAGACCCCACTCAACAAAATAAGCAGAACCATCCCCAAATGCGGGAGAGCTGCCTTACTACATTGTAAAGTGGGTGACGTAATTATATACAGCCATCTAAAGCCACCTCCCAGTATGATCATTCAGTCCCAAGTCAAAAATTACCTAGCTCTGCATCATCATATGTTGCCCTGGCCGGGGGCCAAATGTTTATTTATTTATTTGTATTTATTTAAAACAATTATATCCCATCCTTTTTGATGTACAGATCAGGATGGCTTACAGTGATTAAAATGACATACAAAATACAGTGATACAATAATTAAAACAATAGATAATAGACCAACATAGCAGCCACTTTCATAGCTAAAGAAAAGGAAGAAAAAGAAAAAATGCAACTGTGGAAATCTTAAACGCATCTAAAAAGCCTTAATTATTAAAATGATGGTTGAATAAAAAGGTCTTTGGGTGATGCCAAAATAAGCAATTTTAATGATTTCTAGAGAGTGATACTCTGTGATACTCCAGGTTTACTAAGAAGGAGATTATTTATTGCTGCAATAATATTCAAACATGCTAGCTAGACTTCCAAAACATTTAGCAGCAAGACTCTTACACTACACAGTGAGGGCTCCTTCAATCGGGTTCAGAAAAAACAGCAAAATCCCCCCTCAAAAAGACTCTGAACCAGAGATCAAAGAAAGTGGCTTAGCTTTTATAGATTGCTTAACTTATAGCATTGTAGCACTGTTCATAATTAAAATACATGGCTAGAAGAGTACTACTGTTTACATAGGTGCTAAGAAATAATGAAGTAGAGAGAGCTAGCAAGGAGGATTCCTGCCTGAATGTGGATGTTTCATCTCTGGCTGAACATGAGAGGTCAGGCGCATTGCTGCTCTTGCTCAAAATAATAGCCTGGTAAGGAACATTCAAGGGCATTGTGCATGGTCCTTGTGCCATCAGGAAAGGAAAACTCCCCAGTTCCATGAAAACAGACTATCACAGTCAGAGCAATGCTAATGAAATCTCTGTTGTACTATTGTGAGCAACTAGACTTTAATGCCAAGCAAAGCAAGCAGCTTAAAGGGCTAGAGACCGAGGCGTGGCTTTTTGGAGTTCAACCTATTACATCATCTGAGTACTTATAGAAACTTATATCACCAACATACCTTTGAAATCCACTAATTCAGTACGTTTCTGAATTAGTGACACATTGTTTGACTGTTTATTTTCCTCCATCATTTTCTTTGCTATCCTTTACATACTTGGTTATTGCATTCCGTCCTTTTCAACAATCTCACTGTCATCCTAGTTTAGAGGATTTTATACTCCACCTTTCAATCTAATGGTTCTCAAATTGCCTTGCAACAGGTTTGAGTATAAACAAAACAAAGGTCGCATATCTACGAGCACACGCCTCAGAGCCCTTAATCCTGTGGCCAACTCATGGAATAGAGATTCTGCAGAATTGCCTTTAGTTGTATGGTTAGGACAGTTGGAATGTAGGGTTTTTCTGGCTGCTTCTTTGGGCCAGTGGATAGCACCTTTAATATGATAAATGTGCTTCCTTCCTATGGGGCAGGAATGAAGTCTTCAAGACGGTTTGACCCCTTGGCTAATAACACAGCTCAGCATGTGCTTCCTTTCAGTTCTGCAGTCTCGGGGCAACTCCTTAATCTTTCCTATCTGACTGTAGACAGGATTGTAATTTTAATCTGAATATGGAGAGGGGAAAAATTTGCTAGGAAGGATTAAGATTTTTCACAAGAACTAAAGGCCCAACCTGCTGATATGTAGAATCATCAAGCTGGCTAGCAATGTGGTTGCTTTAGGTATGCTTCTATGAGGTTCGGAACAAGGGACCTGGGGTTGAGAACTCGTAAGCAGTATTTCAGGGCTTGCGCAGCTGCTCAGTTTATACATTACACATACCTCCTATGCTAGAGCAAACATATCAAAAGCCTTTCCCATTTATAAAAGGCAGAGGAACCAAACTTATATCTCATCTTCCAATAATCAGGAATCCAGGATTCACCTGTAAACTGCACTGATATTGTTAACTGTATTGTATTTCACTATGTTTCAAAACACACTACTGCAAGCATTAAATTATTAAAGTGAAAACTATTTCTGTTTAGTCAATCTTGTACATTTGGTTCTCACTCTTTAATCCTTGTTCTATAATAGATTTGCATTGACAACAATGGCACATTACAGACAATATTCCTCCCATGCACTGCCATCTAGTGGTTATTTCTGTTACCAGCACCCAGCACCACAGTCCTAACTTAGTAGTATTAAAACCAAAAATAATACACTTAGAAAGCCTGTTTGAATGCCACTAGATCAACAGTATAATTGCTATTATAGAAGTAAAGACTGGTACAAAACACCAAGATGAATCCTACCCCATCACGTTTTTTATGACAATTACTAGAAATAAAGGGGATTGAAGTATACTGGGAAATTGACAGTAACTCTCAATTTATCACTGGTTGGAAGCCATTCCATCAAACTACAACAAGTGAAAAAATGACAGCAAATCCTATAGGAGGCACTCCTTCACCATTGGTAGGAAGTCAGATTCTTTGGGGGCTCTCCTACCCATGATCTGTTTCAATTTCAGCCAGCTTTTATAAAATCTTTCTAGCTTAAAAAAACCCTGATACCCGAGTTTGCTTGTCTTCTTTCTCAATCTCTCTCTTTTTGCATTACGTTCATCTTGCTTTTTGTGGTATATATGCTACTTAGGGAACTTCTTTAGCAGAAAAGCTGAGTAAATGCTTTAAATAAATAGGCCCATATCACTATCACTAGACCTTAATGGTGTCAATGCCAGAGATCTTCATGCAAATAAGAAGTGGATGCCCTCCTTACAAAAAATATGTCCTTAATATCAGCTTTTGTATAAATTATCAACATTTGTATAAATTATCAGCTTTTGTATAGCCAATTTATTTGTTTAGGATTGGTAGGTTTTAATGTTTGTAAACCACCCAGAGAGCCCTCTGGGCTACTAGGGTGGTATATAAATGCAAATAATAAATAATAAAATAAATACCAAAAGACATGTTAAAAGAAAGAGGGTTTTCCTTATGATATTTGTGTTTAAAAATGTTTCTCTGGGATCTTTAGCTTATGAATACTTGTACTGAACTGGGTTTTAAGGACAAGCTGCATATACTTCTCACACATTTTAATTATGTATTTGAGAAACAGTACTGAAAGCTGTAGGAGTATAAGACCTTTCTATTTGACCAATATTTTAACATAAAGTAATTTTAATTGTATTAGATTTAATTTATTTTAAATAGGTTAGTTTTATGCTCAGTTGTGGAACAGTTAATTTATTTTATTTAGAATTTGAAATAATGTAAGTCATTCAGAGATGACATTGATGGATGACCTACAAATTTTCTAAATAAATAAATTGCTATTACTACTTACTACCAAGAAAAAGAGCTTGTGGGATTTGGTTAGTTTTAGGTTGTTGTTCAGTTGTGCCTGACTATAAGCGATCCCATGGGCCAATCGCGCCACACTTTCTGATCCTATGCTTCCTTTTTCAGCTGAATCATGCTCTGGCTCACATCCTCTTTGATGGAGTCTAACCATCTTGCTCTTTGGCAACCTGGTTTTCTCTTGCCCTGAGCATTCCAAGCACTGTATCTTTTTCTAATGAGCTTGATCACATAACAAGTCTCAGTTTTGTTATCTTGCTGACCAGGGATGTGTCTGGTTTAATATGCTCTAGCACATGCTTGTTCATCACCCGCGCTGTCCACGGAATGTGCAGAAGCCTCCACCAACATCACAGTTTGAATGAGTCAATTTTCCTCTTGTCTTTTTCATTGTCCAACTTTCACAACACTAGGTTGCAATAGAAAAAAATTGATCACTTGGACCAATCTGCACTCGGTTGCCAAGCTGATGGTTCTTGTTTTTCCACACTCGATTCATGCTTGTCATTGCCATACATCCTAGTGAAATTCGTCGCTTTATTTCTGGACTGAATTCACCGCTACGAGTAATCAGTGATTCCAGGAAAGTGTAGCTTTGGGTATCATACAACTTAACAGAGAAAGTGGTGAGTGCGCAAGAAGCTAATCTTTGCGAGCCAACCCTGGAATGAGTTCCATTAGATTGCATGGGATTAATTCCGAGTTAAGCCTGTACAAAGTCAGAGCAGAAAAGCTTTCAGTCATTTGAGGAAAAATGTATGCAAACGAAAGTCACAAAGAATCAACAGACTCGCCAACCCTGAACGAAGTTTGGACCTTGCCCCTCACCGTAGCCGCTCTGTCTTTCTTTGGTTCCACGTTGACTGCGCATGCGCACTGCCGCTGCTGGCTTACCTGCCGCTTTTGTAAGGGGGGTCTCCGGAAAGAGGGAGAGCGGCTGTTGGGGACGGGGAGAGGGCAGCAGGTGGCGTCAGCAGTCATTACACCCCCTCGTACTGCTTTAGGGGAACCTCTCGTGCGGTAACGGGAAGAACCCGCCCGCCCGCCTCTACCGAGGCCCAGAAGGGCAGAGAGTCCCTCGTTCGGCCGCCGCAGCCTCGTCCTCGGTTACGTCCCTCCGCCGCTGCTCTCGCCCAGTCGTCATGTTCAAGAAGCTGAAGCAGAAAATCAGCGAGGAGCAGGCTTCGCCGGCCTCACGGAGCCCCAGCGGTGGTTCCCCGAAACAACTCCAGGTACTCCGGGGCTCAGTCTCCGGGAAGTCCTCTCAGCGCCGAGGCGTCTCCTTGGGCGTCTTTGCGGTGGGCGGGTGTGAGAGGGGGTTTGGCTAGTCGAAGGAAAAGGCGGCGGGTCCTTTTTATGTGTGCAGGCGCGGGGGGTTTCGTGCACTGCGTGGTCCTGACGTAAAGATGTAAACATTTCCCGCCCCTCTTCAGCTCGGTGAGACTTCCACAGAGGTGATGGAGCGGAGCGGGGAGTCAGCTGCAAGTGCTCAGGCACAGGATGAGAGTAGATTAACGTGAAATAGTTCCTCTGTTTTCTCGCAGCTGCAGTCTGAGTGCATGTGTGTTTTGTCGTGAGGAAGTGCCACTGAGATCAGTAGCAAGTTCAAAACTGCAATCCTATAGGTGATCGTTCAGTTCCTCGAGGTTGGTGGGTCTGTTTCACCTAAAAGCATGCAGGATTGTAGGCTAAATAAACCTGGAAGTAAGGCGTGTGTGCATTATAATCCCATCTTAATAAAAAGTTCGAATACAACACATTTACTGGATTTTTCTGCTTGTGTGAGTGTGGCTATAATGATACGGTTTTTTCTTGATAGCTGTTTTGTGTAAAGAGTATGTTTCAATGTCTAATGCTTAAAAGTCAGGGTATGGAATGCTCATAGTCTCTTTTCATAAATATGGATAATTGTAGAGAATGTAATATAGTCCCTGGGGTTTTTAATGTATCCCTGGTGACAAAAGCAGTGAACATTTGAAAAAAAGAAGCAAGTTACTGCAGTCGGTTGTTGGGAATCTAGCAAGGTTTGAACAAGATGGCTAGGGCAGTGTAACTCTTACTGAGGAGCAAGATAGCAACCTTAACTTTTTGAGAATTTGCTGAAAGGCTTTAACATAGCTAGGTTCAAAGGGTTAGTCAGGCATACACTATACAAACTTACTTAAGTTGCTCTACTCTGAGCCTAATTAAGGCTGGAGAGTATAAAAGTGATCATGGTGTGAGACATTCTGCCACCTGCCAGTTTTTTTTCTTTCAATTGCATGGCAGAGATAGATCAACTCAAGGCAAATCATTATATTAACACTTGCTGTAAGTGATTCAACTTAAAGGGATGCACATTTTCTGTGATAGTAATTAAATTATGGAGGGAAAGGTATCGGCCCTTATTCCACAAGTATCTGTTCCTGATTCCCTCCCAGTCTTAACCAAATTATTCTTTCCTGTAGATTCCTAAAAAGCAGTATCTAAAGAGCTATTACAAGAAGTGAACTGCCCCCATTCCATTACTGTAATTTGATTCTCTAGCTCAGGAGTCCTCAAACTTTTTGAACAGAGGGCCAGTTGAAAGGTGCTGGAGATGGGCACGGGCCACCAAGGCGGTGCGGGCGGGGGGTGCAGGCCGGGCCAGGGAGGGCACACGCACGTGGTGAGGCAGGGACAGGAGTGCGTGGAGGTCGTTTTCTCCCAGTGAGACCAACATGATCTTGCAAAGAGATCATTTTGGATTCGCTGGGAAAAAACTATCTCCTTGCGAGCAAGCCACCGCTGGGTGCACATGGCAAGACACGCGAGCTTGCTCGCAAGGAGATCCTTTTCTTCGAGTGAGTCCAAAACGATCTTGCACGAGCAAGCCACTGCCTTGCCACATGCACACGTGGTGACTCCACAACCTCTGTGGTGGGCCGGATGAATGGGCATGGCGAGCTGGATCCGGCCTGCGGGCCATAGTTTGAGGACTCATGCTCTAGCTGCTAAAGGTCTAGGACTTTGGTGAACCTATGGCATGCGTGCCACAGCAGGCACACAGAGCCCTTTCTGTCGGCATGCGAGCCAAGTTGCCCGAGCATCACCCCAGCACCTGAGCATCAAATAATAGCGCACATAGGGGCCATGTGCATGCTCGGAAAGGAGTAGCAGCACCAGGCAATGTCATCACGTTCCGTGACTCATTAGCCACAGCTCGTCCAAGCTTTCGCATGGCTGGTCAGTGTACTGCCAAGAGGGGAGAGAGAGAGAGATTTGCTTGGACTGGCTGTGAGTCATTTTTTCTAAACTAAAACCTCAGTTTTCAGGTTGTATTGCAGTGTTGGCAGTTTGCGATAAATAAGTGGGTTTTGGGTTGCAGTTTGGGCACTCGGTCTCTTAAAGGTTCACCATCACTGGTCTAGGGTATTTTGGTGACTGGGCTTGTACTGGTCAAGCTTTTGTGTTCCATACTTTCTTTTCTGAGATGTAATGTGTACCTGCAGAAAAATGAGGTGGTAAAGTGAATGGATTGGATCAGATTATTTGATCAGATTCTATATCTAAAAATCATGGCAGAAAGAAGTTGATATAGCAGGAGGAGCTCAGAGGCTTTACCCAGCCCTTTGGCTACTGTGCTGGTTTTCTGTTGGCAGGTGGATTTTCATGTAGTGGAGCAATAAAAATAGAATATGATTGCCTGTTTTTTGGTCCACTTTACCAGCTCAGCAGTTTATCCTGCTGTATGCGTAGATCAGTTCTGATAAGGCTTTAGAAATGTGCTCAGAGTGGCACCTGAGGAAGGGCTTCCTAGCAAAGGTTTCAGTGTATGAGCTCCTATATATACTTTAGAATCTAGATGGTATCTCCCTAGTGTTGCTTGCAAGGAAGACCAAATTGATGTTTTGACAGGATGCATGATGACCAGTCCATACAACTAGATTGTTATTCACTATCTTCTTGAATAAACTCACTGATCAGTTTGTTTTGGCATTATTTTCTTCAGTTTTAAAGTGTTGTGATACCACTTAGCACAGCTGGAAAGGAAACATGAAAACAAGATACTGATGCTAAAATGGTTATTTAAACTAGTTTATTTAGTTCACAACTGGATCTCTTGATCTTGAAATGCTACAGAATTGACACCAACTCTGCTCTAAAATAATATATGGGAATATTTAAACATGGAAAACAATAAAATCCTGTTGTCACAACCATATTGATACCTATTGTTCAAAATGTCTTCAAGCTTCTGTTGATATACAAATATGTAATCATCAGAATCGGCATACATTATCAAGTACTGTCTCATCTAATGGGATTGGATATATTCAGTGCTGCCTATGTTTGTGCAAAACAACTGGCTTTTGTTCATTATTGTTATTTCCTTTGCAGGAACCCTCTACATCTTCACCGTCAACAACCAGAAGTAGAACATCTTCAACTTTAGAGCAAAATGATGAAGGCACTTTAACACCCAACAGAGAGGTGAGCTGAAAATTTATCTGTTGAAAAGGGGGAAGATGGCACCTCCGAATAATCATGAAAACAAGAAAAGGAGAACCAAGTATGGTAGAAATCAGTGAATAGAATTAAAATTGTATGTTAACTATATGCACCACATGGGAAAATGTCAGACAATTGTGAAGACATATAAATAATGCAAAACAATGGATCTTGAGAATCGTATTGAATGGCAGTTTGAAAGTTCCAGTTCCAAATCCTCAGGGTTGAAAATGCCAACATAGTCAGTTACTTTGAATATTAGCTTCTTTCACGACAACAAGCTTCAGATCTTATAAGTTTATAAAGCCCCCCTATACAGAAAACTTTAAAGATACTTCTTGAATCCCATTTGACAGGTGAACAAGTGTTTGCTGAATGATCTTTCTTTCTTGTATGGTTGCTTAATATCATATTGCAAGACTTAAAAAATAAATTTTCATGAAACAGTGCAAGAGATAATTAGACTGATGTAGTTAAACCAGTTTACTTGTCACATTGGGTTGAAGAAGTAGACCATGAAGGCTTTTTTTTACTGTTTTTTTTTAATTATAAGGAACCTGAAGCTTCTTAGCCTTAGTCAAGGTGATGTTGAAATATAAGGAATCATGTGTGAAATAGATTCAACTTGCATATTTTTCGTTGATTTTAATTGATCAGGTGACAAACTAGGTATTTTAAAAAAAAAAACTTTGGAGAAGCATATTAGAAAATCAACCCTCCCCCACAAAATCAATTAAATTAAAACTTGGATTTTTTAAAAAATACCAATAAAACTAAGTGTTGCTTCATTTAAGAAAACTTTAATCCTAAACTTTATTTGACAGACTCAATTACACAATCAAATACCCTGGATTAAAAGTTGCTTTTTTTTTAACTAAAAATGAAAAAGGTAGTGGAGATAAGTTAGTCTTTTGAGCTCAAACATGAGTGATAAACAGTAGGTAATTTTATTTTGCTGCAGTTATCAGTGTCTGTTTTATGGAGAAGCATTGTTTTGCATATTAACTGTTATTTTTGCGTTTGGAAAATCCTGAGCATATATCGTTCTATATTGGATTGTGGTCTTTCATTTTAATTAATTATTGCTGTGCTTTGTACATACTGGCCCTTTCAAATTCTCAGTCCTATATACATGCTGTAAAAGGGGAGCAAGTAGGTTACAAACCACCTCAACCATGGCTTATGGTAGGATTTAATGAGCACACTTGGCTTAGACAAGAAAATAAGGCATGGTCAAGTAAAAAATCCCGACAGCCCCTTGGCAAGAGTGGCAGAGAGTCTTGCAGCTCTCCCCAGGGGCTAGCAGGCAACTGCCTGTCTCAGGTACCCCAAAGTGCCAAAGCAGCACTTGTAGACAGCTGATAAAGGCATGCTTCCTGCCTTCTATTGGTGAGGCAGACTTCAAAATTTGGAGCAACTTCTGTGCAGGGAGGTAGTCTTGTCCCTTGAAATGGCAAGCCTCACCCTTCCGCACATCTCTGCTGGGGTTTTCTCGGTTTTTGCTGCTTCCTGTGGTGCTAGCCTTTTGGAGTAAACTATGAAACTTGATGGGACAGTTGGTGCTTCCTAGCACTCCCCCCAAAAATGCTGGTAATTCAGCTTAGAGGAAAGAGAATTGTGAGGATAAGATTGTGGATTATGTAGAAGATTATGTAAGCCTCCTTGAGTTTCTTGAAGGAAAAAAGGCAAGATATAAATATAAGCAATAAATCTATGGCTTCGGCAGTGTCCTGGGGGCTGCCTATTTAACAATGTCTGGAAGAGCCTCCAGATGGATTTTACCTACTTTGGTTCCTCTTGACAGCTACCAGAAAGTAACCTGTCAAGAGAACCAAAGGTACTCTGTGAAAAGGGGAGGGGATTTATACTGCTTCACATCAATATCTTCATCTCCCACACAACCCTTTTAGTTCTTAATAGGGGGCAGATTTTGCTATTGTTTCTGAGCCTGTAGGTGCTCAGGAGCAAAGTTTAGCAAGAGCAGCAAAGTGATTGATTGATTGATTGCTCTTGTGATAGAGTTCTGAGGTTGATTTCCATACCTGTTCTGAGGTTGGTTGTCTAGGTTTGGGCAATATGACAACTCATCATGGATACTGCAATCTCTAGAACAGCCCATAGGATATTGAGGTGGATGGTAAAATGGCAATCAAGACAAAACAACACTGCTACTGCAAATGATGGGGAAATTGATCAGGTTTCACATGACAAAACAATTCCAGCATGGGTAGCAACCCATGGTGGCTTGTTGTGTTGTGAGAACCCAGACAGCATGTGCATATGCTAAAAGGAATGTGGGGAGATGAAGGGAAACAGTTAAGCAGTGTTACTCTGTAGTATGAGCACTGCTTTCCATGATTACCTCTGTGGGAACTGCTGTTGTATGTTTGTGTCTAGAGTCCCTAGGTGAGGTGTCTGTAAGTATTCTAAAGCAGGGAGTTGAGCAGTGAACAACTAGCAGTTAACAAACTACTCAGCTCAACTCAAGAAGAATGTTTTCAGATCAGTTTCTTTGTGCAAGATACCCTTTTCTTATCAAAGTTCCCTCTTGGGTACTAAGTGTGTCCGAATTGAAACCAGAGAGCTGCATACAGCATGCACTGTCACCTGGGTTTTTGGATGCATCAAATGGTTAGCCAGATTCTAGCAAATCCTGTCTTACCTGCTGCCAGGTGGATCATTTTCCTACTTAAGATCTTACTTGTTAGCACGAGTGGCTATACAAATCAGAATAGGTTGGCTGAACTCATCATCCAAACCAAAGTAACAAGTTTTTACAATCCTGGATTGAATTAATAGCTAGAAAAGCTATGTGTTGGTGACTTTAAATGGATGTTACATTGGCTATGTATTATGTTTGCCTCCATTTAATCTCCTTTTGAAGGTTTTAATCCATAGTTAACCTCCACAGAGGGGTTAGTTTTGTTTGGGGTAAAAATACATTCATTTCAAATATTCTGCTAACCATTTAATCTACCCTCAGATTTAAATCTCCCCTTTTCTTGTCTTTTACATATATGACTTTTGGTATTACTATGTTTAAATTCCATGCATTCATTTTTATGAATATGTTTACCTGGAGCTATGGTTAGGGATCATGTGGTATTGTTATCTGCATTCATTTCTACTGTGTTCATATTAAAATAAAAATGAAATTTGATTTGTAGTTCTTGTGGCATTTGGAAACAAATGGAATCTCATTGTAAGAGATTTTAAAAATGCACATTGTGCTGACCACCTTACAGCATGTTTCTCATTGCAGGGCTTTTCTGTCAGATTACTCTAATGGCTGTTACCCAAAAATGTCCTTAGGTGTTCACAAGGGCTTGTGTGTCCTCAGATACTGTTTTTATACAGCAGTCTCAATTCAGCATCAAGTGTGTCGCTGCTGTTACCCCTCCACATTCCATGGAATTTCCTAGACAACAGTTTACATATGAGGCCACAAAGCAGTGTCATGCATAGTGCAAAACTAAAGGCAGCGCATGAACTGAATCCCAGTAAGGGGGAAAAAAACCAGAAGTAAGCCCATCCTTTTAACAATTTACACTACTAAAGCAAAAATAGTGTAGACTGTAGTTCACAAAGGTTTATACCATAATAAATGTATCAGTCTTTAAGGTGCCATAAGAATTTGTTGCTTTATAGCAGTATGCATGATTCTCATTCTCTCTCTCTCTCTCTCTCTCTCTCTCTCTCTCTCTCTCTCTCTCTCTGAGTTCACAGTTTGTTTCTATGTGTGTGTGCCCATATTTCTGTGATCTAAATTAAAATCTTGAAAGTATAATTTAGAATATAGATGTGTCATTCTATCATCCAGAGTTATGTGCTTGCCTTTAATATTAAGCACCGAATCTTGTACTGCTTATTCCAGATGTACTGCATTTAAAAAGTTGAATTTATAGGAACACTGCAGAAATCTGAATAATGATACATGGCAAATATAAGACACTTTAACTTTAGAATTTAATTTTCTGGTGTCTTTTAAAAACCTAATGGCTTTACTGAATTCAAGCTGGAGGATTTAATTCTCATATTATCTGTTAATTCCCTAAAGTGCTACAACAATAATTGTTCAGCAGATACTACTATGAACAGACAAGACACAATAATATGTTCATGCAATTCTAAAATAAGATATACTTCAGTTTCCTTTTTTCCCCTCTTGTGCCTGTGCATCCATTTTGACTCATTTGAGTGTTCTATTCAAACTACAGTGTGTTCTATTCATACATTTTTCATAGTAATTTTGCATATTTTTGCAGTTTTTGTAAGCTTTATGCAAAGCTTATTTGTGAGATATAATTGTAATATGCCTTTGTGTTCCTCCCGCTTTACTTCATTACTTTATTTTCCCATCTTCTTGCTTTTTGTATCGAATGACACAGCTGCTAGCTGAGATGATATCAGAGCCAGCTTTTCTTTCTGAGTATACTGTCTTTGCTTTGGATCCTACCAAACAACTTAAACCACAGAGTGAGAGTGTGGTGAGTCCCCCCTGCTCTGTATGGCATAAAGATAATTTGACTGGGGCAAAAGGATACAGTAATTTTAGAAGGCAACACCAGTGCTGCTTTTGGTTTATATTTCTAACTAAACTTACTGAGCAGCATATTGCTAACCCTGTGCTAAAACTCAGAGCATATTTTTGATTAACTCATGGTTGGAGTACTTGATAACACCAGCTTAATTTAACATAAAATTAACATTGCTTTGATGACACCTGTTTCAAACACTTACAGCAATGCTCATACTCTTGTAGTATAGCTGTGTCTTATTCTTCTAAAAAAGGTATGTCAAAATAAATTAAAAGCATAATAGCTCTACCAACTTGCTTTTTTCCTTTTAGTTGTACAGTTCTTCTTGAAAAGTTTTGTCTGATATTTGAGGGCATTGAGGATTTTTTTCAGGCAATTGCATTTCTGCAAAGCAGTTCTGATTAGAGAAAAGTGAAGGAACAATGACAACTGGAAGGAACTTGAACAGGAATACAAGGGGTAGCATAGACCCTTTCATACAGTGGTTCCTTCTCGTATGTAAAGGGAATTTTATTGCTAGAGGACTGAAAATAGAAAGCATTCTTGAGGCTTTAACAGTCCATTTAGATTCATATTTTCAGTTGTTGCTCCATCAGTCAAGTGAGACTAAAATAAGTAGTGATTGTTCAGGCCAACTTGCAATATGATTTTATGGTAACATTAACTTCAAACTGTTTTGAAGAGTGCAGTGTTAAGGTGTTTGGATATAGCATTTGTAGTGCTTTTTCTCTGTTAGAAGTAAAAGTGGTTGCGGAGCAGATGTATTATTGAGCTGGTGTTACGTAGTAGGTTTAATTTATAATAAGTTTTAAAAGAAAGTATTACAAAGTATGTAGGCTATGCACTATATTATTCTGGGACATCCAGTGACATTAATTCAATGAAAAGCTTGCAGAGAAACTTATTGAATTTATTGTATATAGTACACAAGAATCTGTTTTATACTTCCTTTGGGGCTAAATTGATTGCACAGCAGTGGAAGTTCCACACACTGAAATTGGATGGGAATGCAGATTGGGCAAAATTCTTTAGAATTTGCCCGCGTGTATGCATGTCGCAGGTTCAAATCTGCCCAACGGGGTGAGTTCCCATTGCTCCGTCCCAGCTCCTGCCCACCTTGCAGTTCGAAAGCATGCAAATGCAAGTAGATAAAAAGGTACCACTTCGGTGGGCAGGTAACAGCGTTCCGTGCACTTCGGTGTTTAGTCATGCCGGCCACATGACCACGGAGACTCTCTGGGGACAAACGCTGGCTCCCTCGGCTAGGAAACGGAGATGAGCACCTCCCCCTAGGGTCAGGCATGACTGGACTTAATGTCAAGGGGAAACCTTTACCTTTATGCATGTGTGTTGTGGGGCAAGTTTGTTTCTCATGTTAGAAATCTGAAAGAGGGAATAATAGTGTGTTAAAATCACTAATGCATTTTTTTTTCTGAAGTAAGCTCCATTGCCATTGATGGTGTTTGCTTTCAAGTAAGGATTGTTAAAATTGCAACCATTGTTTAATTTCAATTTTAATATTCTATTCTATTTTTATTTTATTTTATTAGATTTATATCCAACTTTTTCTTAGGCACTCAAAGCAGCTTACATCATTCTTCACCTACTCTAAATCTTCTCTCCACAACAAAAGCCCTGTGAGCTTTTGCTGAGAATCTGTGACTGGCCCAAAGCCACCCGATTGGCTCTATGGCTGAGCAGAGACTCTGCTGAGTCTGAGTTGTGGGTTCTTAACTACACCACAGTGACTCTCTTATAGTTTGTATGTGGAAAGTGAGTGCCTTGCCTTCAAGTAATCACAGGGTCCCTGATGGGGGAGATGAACTATTTTTCTTGATGGGTACATACTTAGCCAGTTTCCCAATAGGTTTACAAAAAGCTAAGACAGATTTATGCATGAATGATGGGATCCTCTTACAGAATCAAAGTCTTCAAACAAGAGAATAATATAGATTACATCACCAGTGAGTTGTTAAGTGGGTACGGAGTTAGTACTATTAATAGTATTCATATGGTAATGCATAATATATGGACTATGAGCACAATGTAGCAGAAAGGTCTCCTGCGCAAACTTTATGGAAATGTAATGGGTACTGAGAAAGAGCCAAGTAGAAATTTTGATCAGTTCCTGTTCTTTTCAGTGGGTTTCACAAGAAAGTGTCCTGCTGAATAGTGCATGATGATATAATATGCATTCTTATTATGCTTATATTAATTTACGGTATTTATTTTCAACATCATTATATACAAAGTAGCAATCTGTAATGATGTGGCATAATCATCCTGTCTGCTTGTAAAAGTTATTGAGGTACTGTGGTTTTCTTAAAATGTATTATTACTGATTTATTTGTTGATGTTTTAAGGAAGGTATACAGTCTTAATTAGTTTTACTTGCCAGTTGTTATACTGAAATACTTAAATTTGCAATTTCACTTAAAATCATACAAAGGACAGGTGTGTCTATTCTTTTTCAAAATTCATTGCAAGCACCTTTGACTCCTTTATTATCCCATGAAGTGTTAGATGAGGTCAAAGAAGTATAGTATTGAGGATCAAATTCTTTGTATTGTTCAATAAGGTTTGCATCATAGGAAATATGACTTAGGATCAGTAATTCAGAATTTTTTCTGAACCTAATTAGCAAGAGGATATTTTCTTCGTCACTCTCTAGAAATAATTTCTGAACCAGTTTGTTATGCTTTGTAAATATCCACTTCCCAGACAGGGCAGTAGAAACACAATTGGTGCAATTGCTTAACCATAATTAAGGAATTAGAAGGGCGTATCCTGATTATCCCTGATTTCATAATCTATTACAAAAACTGGACTTTAACCATAAGGAAGTTGTGTCATGCTACTGTAACTCTTGTAATTGCTTTGGATGAGAAAGAGAAATTTGAGATAAATAAATAAATAGAGAGAGTATAGTATTCTGTGATTCTATCACACTTAGGTATGGCTAAGTAAACTTAAGTATTATACTGAATATTGTTCAACTCACACGTAACTACACCCATTAATTAAACAATGGATGGGTTGTTATGTTTAAGTAGGAAAGTCAGATACTGAGAGTGATTCTAATCCTCAGTATATTTCTCCTGGTTCTTTCCTTTTTTTAACAACAGTTATGATATTTTTCAATTGTATATATGTTGGCAGGATCCAAAGTACTGCATGGCTAGGTTAACCTTTTCAAGAGAATATTGGACTGGTATTTTGCAAATAGCAATCCCTATGCTATCTATTAAATGATATTTGAACATGAGACATTTCAAATCTGATTGTGAGATGGCATAGCAGATCGTTGCCCAATGAAAACAGCAAGCTGAAAGCCTTGTTGGTATGCCCACCTTCTTGGATCTTGGTCAGTATATAGTGTGTGTATATAGAAAATGAGCTTCTATATATGTAGGACATAATTATATGCTTATGCTATGTTTTAGCGTGGTTATTATTCCTCAGTTTTCTATATCTGAGGAATCTTAGATAACTTTTAAAAAATCTCTAAACAGTTCATATTTGAGAGCAGCATTACTGATGGCTTCATTTTGAAAGATATTCTCACTTCAAAAGTACAAGTGCCAAAGAAATGTTTGAAATTGCATTGAAATGATGGAACTACTAAACTTCATTCAACTGTTTTTGAATGTTATCTTTTAACAGCAATATTATTGCTTATAAGCAAGCAATTTTGATTGTTTCTGAAGTTGAGATAGGGAGCTGTCAGTAATCCAAAGTTGCATTTCCAGTTTCCCTTTGCTGGAATAGAATATTCTAGGCAGGGATGTTTCTGTTCATGGAGGAGAACCAGATTTGTGATTTGTTAATTAGTTTTTGAGACTATTCTTCAGGAATAAATGTTGATTTCTATATTTTTCAAGAAATTAATAAATACCTTGCTCTATTTCACTTACTGTGCTAACCCATGTAAACACAGCTGCTTTATAGTTCTATATATTACAGAAGCCTGAATCATAATATGCTTGTTTCACTGTGCATGATAACATCTTACTTAATAAGCAGTTGAAAAGTAAAGGTACTAATGATTTACTAAAAATGAATTTGAAAAGTTATCATGGGGTTGTTTTGCATAATGCAAGTAGACTTCTGAGGGCATTGTATTGTTACTGTTTTGCTAATTTTTTATCTTTACCTTTTAGCATGTGTCTAAGAAAGTAACACCCAACACTAATAATAGTGAAAGTGAACCATCTTCACCGCAGGTATGTAGTAACCATCCTGCTTTATTGTCATTGTCTAATTTATAAATTATGACTGTGGTATCTTGCTGCTGAAGCACATACAAAACAAATATTTTAACATTTGATCTTCAAAAGTGTAGGAAACTTAAAGCTGCTCTAAGAAATACATTTTCGTCAACTTTAAAATATTTAATGTTTTCCTAGATATATCCAATGCTATACAAAATACACCATTTTACCACTTTTGGAAAATAAGTTTATAGGTAATTGGGTTTTTAAAACCTTGATTCATAAACGAATGTAGTACTTCATAGCAAATTCTTTACTTTCAGATGTATATTGGTCCAGATAGTATAATATTTTTCAAATACTGCAGTATATTTTGATATCTGTATATCTTGAAGTCTTGAAACTCAGTCCTTACATTGCTTGCTTATTTATTTATTTATTTATTTACTTACAGCCTAGTGATGTCCAGTCTTTTGCACAGAAGCTTCAGCTTCGAGTTCCTTCAATGGAATCATTGTTTCGAAGCCCCTTAAAAGAGTCACTGTTTCGCTCTTCTTCTAAAGAATCTTTAGTCCGGACTTCCTCAAGAGATTCACTGAACAAACTGGACTTTGAGAGTCCAACTTTTGATCCACCCTCTGATGTTGAAAGTGAAGCAGAAGAATTGCCTGGAAATGTGGACAGTCTCCCCAAGGAACAGCTATTGCAACGGTTGCGTAGGATGGAGAGAAGTTTAGGCAGCTACAGAGGAAAATATTCAGAGGTAAAAAAAAAAAATCAATTTTGTGGATAAAATGGGAATTAAGAGAGCTAACTGAATGAGAGAGAATAATTCCAGAGTGTTTCTGTCAGGAGGAGAATGGTTTTGGGATGTTATTTTACACAGTGACTTCTCTTGTCAAATTAACTCTTCTAGATTAATTGGGGTTGTTGTATCAACAGCAGCAGGTTGTTGTGGTGTTTAAATTTAGGCAGCCAGCTTCATCATGGCAACAGGAAAGCAGTGTGTGAGCCACCTTTGCCAAGCTTTCCAAGAGCTGCCCCAGTGATGCTCAAGTGATCATGGAATGATTGTCACTGGCTTGGTGTCCCCTTTGCCAACCATGAACTCACTGTGGCCTCCATTTTGTTTCCTTTCTTGAGTTTGTGTTCCATGATTTCAGAGTTGACAGCCTTTAAAGTGCTTGAGTAGTTTGCCATCTTTTAATTTTTTTCTTTTGTACCCCAAATGCTCACAAATATTTTAAATTAAACATACATTCAGATCAGTGCAAGATGGATCATGCAAAGAGTACAAAATAAGTTCTCCACTAGTGATTGTAGTTGCTCTTATTAGCAGAGTAGACAGTTTAGGTTGCTCTGCAAATGCCCATGGGATGTGTACCAAGAGTGTGCAGGTAGACTAAGGGGAAAGCAAGCCATGCAGGCCCCAGTGCAAGTAAAGTGTTGCTTATTTTCAGGGTGGCCTAAGCATGTGTGAACTAGCCCTTAAAATAGTCTAATACAGTGATGGCGAACCTATGGCATGCGTGCCCAAAGGGGCATGGAGCGATCCGCTCCAGCAGCCATGCACATATTCAGAAAGATTAAGGGCTCCAGGCAACTAGCAGGTGAGGTGAGTGGCCAGGGATTTGCATGGACTGTGATTTTAGGGTGGCACAGTGGTTTAGACTGCTGTGCTGCTGGGCTGGTTGATCGAAAGGTCGCTGGTTCGAGTCTGCACAACCCGTTGTGATTTTAGCAGAAGGTAGGAAATACACTCAGATGCCTGAGGAAATATACTCAGGGCTGGCCAAAAGCTGGTGGTCAGTGGAACGTTGCCCTCTTGTGCTGGTGGTCAGCAAATTTAGGTTTTATTGCAGTGTTGGCACTTTGCGATACATAAGTGGATTCTGAGTTTCAGTTTGGGCACTCGGTCTCTTAAAGGTTCGCCATCACTGGTCTGGTAAGAGGTTTAGCACGTGAAAGTGTTACACCATTCAGTTATGGGCTGGATAGCTTCTCAATAGATCCTTTTCACTTCTGTGAAACAAAGCTAACACTTTGCAATCTGGGACACAGAGAAGAAGAGATTAGTGTGTCTCATCGCATACAGTGGTTTTACAGAAAAAGTTATCATGCACCCAAATGTATCCCTTCCGTATTTTAATTGCTTCTATTCAGTCCTGTGGGGAAGAGCAAAGGACTATTCTTGTGGTTAATAGTATGGTGAAGGTGAACGCTACAATTACTTGTATCACTGAATGACCTTCTGTCAATGATAACTGTTAAAGATGTTTAATGCAACTTGGGGAATAGACTGCAAAGTGATATATATATATATCCTTAGATGTCTCAGGTATTCTCTGCACATTCATTGCTTCTACCACCATATTATGTATCTGTATCACCAGTATAATTTACAGCCTAGTTACCATACATAACATCAATTTACTTACTGTCTTTGTCAGTTGTTGTTAAATGTGTTTGTACTAATGCTTTTAAAGTAGTATTTTTCCATGTACTGATGATTTGTAAAAACCACCAGTTCAAAGTGGAGGATGAGATTGCCAAAGGAATTCTGTGATAGCTGTCCTTTTGGATCAACTTTGAAAATAATCCTGTATTAATATTTATTATTTTATAATATTACAGGGTTAGATAATACATTGAATTCAAAAATGGGTGGTGGGGAAGATTTTCTTAGATAAGAAATAATTCAGTTAAATTACTTTGCATGAATAAGGTTAGATTTACAGTAGATTTACATACAGAGTTTGTCCTAATTGCCACCTGTGTTTTATATGTTTTAGCTAGTTACTGCCTATCAGGCTGTGCAAAGAGAAAAGAAAAAGTTACAGGTAAGAAACAGACTTAATTGCTTGAACATATTTCACAGTTCGGATGTACTGCTTTGCAGAAACTAATACTTCTGAAAAGAACCTAAGAGAAGCCATGCTGGATCAGACCAATGGCCCATCCAGTCCAGCACTCCATTCACCTGCCCACAGGATCCTTCAAGCAGAATGGGTATAAGAATTCCACCTGCCCAAGCCCCTCAGCAACTGGTGTACACAGGAATGTCAGCTCTGATAATAGTGATTACATTTGACCATCAAGGCTTAACAGCCATTGTTTGCCTTCACTTCTCGCTACTTCTGTGGCAGTGAATTTCACAGTAGGAACAAAGCTAGTAGCATGTATAAGTTAAAAATGATAGTACAGTGGTACCTTGGCTCACGAACTTAATCCGTTCCAGGACTCTGGTCTTGACCCAAAATGGTCGTGAGCCAAGTTAAATTTCCCCATAAGGTTCAATGTAAATAAGGTTAATCTGTTCTGAAACCGTTTCTTTTTTTAATCAGAAAAATGTGAAGCAAAGTGACAAAGAACAACAAAGATCGTGGCCATCTCCCCCTCCGCACCCCGAGCACAAGCATGGCCATCTCCCCAGCATGATCAAGATTGCACCTGTCATCCCTGCACGTGCCTGTCATACTGCCCCGCTGGGGGGGTGGGGGAGAGACGGGCACGAACGGGGTGCGCTGGGGGAGGGAGAGGCAGGCACGAATGGGGCGCGCTGGGAGGAAGGAGAGATGATCGCAATCTCAGCCATCTCCCCGCCGCCCCCAGGATGATCGTGGTCGTCTCCCCACTCGGGGGCGGGGAGATAGCCGTGATCGTGCTGGCTGGGGAGAGAGGAGATGGCTGAGACTGTGCCTGTCTTTCCTGCAGGAGTGCGCCCGTGATCACGCATATCTTCCCTGCACAAACACAACTGTGATCATGGCCATCTCCCCACTCTGGCGATGGGGCGGGGGGGGGGGGGAAGATGGCTGCGATCTTGGTCACCAGGCAATGCGGAGTTTGCGACCCCTGTCAAAATTTTCATGAAATTGTTGTTTGCGACTTGATTTGGTCATGAACCAAGGTGTTCGTGAACCGAGGTACCACTGTACAAAGTAGCTTGATTTGGAGGCTCTATGTACCACAGAAATTTTTTTGTATTTTGTTTTCATGTGTTGGATTTTTCAAAATTTTCATCATTTTTATTTTATTTTAGGGAATATTGAGCCAGAGTCAAGATAAAGCACTTCGCAGAATTGGTGAATTGCGAGAGGTAACTCTTAATTCCAGCTATATGTGTGATCTTCCAGCAAAACTCTGAGAATTTATAATATACATATGCATATTTGTATTTTCTAGTGAAAAATTCCATTAACAAAAGATACCACTATAGTAGGTGTCAAGGGAGACTGAGCTACACCACCAGCCACCTTGCTAGGGGGTCCAGTCTCTGTGCACCTTGAGGAAGCTGCCTCTTGGTCTGGGCACTGAATCCATTGAATAATCCAAACTAAAAGGGTAAAAAGTGTTTCTTTAAAAAGGAAGAACAAAAGAGTTAAAAGGGAAGGAGAAAGGAAATAATCTAAGGAAACAGGAACAACAAAAGAATAATCAGTACCATATCTTGACAAAAAATAATAAATACTAACCCTTCCCTATATCACCTAGGCAATGTACGAGGGGTGTTCAGTGTATTTTCGGTATTGGGTTGAATTGCTATTGATGTGGGTAATTTAATTATTTCATTAGCTAATGACACTATCTGAAGGGTTATACATGCAAAATTTCAAATAAGTGTGATTAGTTCCCTAGTAATCCTCGGTGAAAGACGACCATGATGACTGACGTGACAATGTTGAAGAAAATCGACCTCACTGTGATTAAGTTCCTTACAAAACAAGGAAAAAGTCAAAAAATCATTCACGAAGAGATGGTGGCCATTTACCAGGACTCTGCACCTTCATTATCTGCTGTTCAAAAGTGGCCAAGTGAATTTAAAAGGGGCAGAGAAAGCATTGAAGATGACCCTCACTTGGGAGAACTGGTTACTGCCACTACGAAAGAAAATGTGAAAAAAATTGAGCAACTTTTATTGGAAGATGCCCGAATAAAAATCCAAATGTTAGTGGAGATGACAAACCTATCCATTGGTACCATATGTACTATTTTTCATAACCATCTTAACCTTTCAAAGGTCTGTGCAAGATGCGTGCCGCAAATGCTCATGGCGCCACAGAAACAAGCACAAGTGCTGTAGAGAGTTTTAGAGCTCTGTGGTGAAGATTCATTGAGTATTTTCCACCGGATTGTTACTGGAGATGGAACTTGGGTTCCTCATTATGACCCTGAAAGTAAGCAGGAGTCCATGCAGTAGCATAAAAAAGGTGCTGACCCTCCGAAGAAATTCAGAGTTACTCCATCGGCCGGAAAAATCATGGCCACAGTGTTTTGGGACTCAAAGGGAATTTTATTGATCAACTACACGAAAAAAGGTGAAACCATAAACGCAGCATCTTACACAACCACTCTGGGTAATTTAAGAGAAGCAATTAAAGAAAAAAGGTGAGGAAAACTGACCGCAGGTGTGTTGCTTCTTCACAACAACGTGCCCGTTTACACGGTGCGTGTTTCGAAGGCTGTTGTGCGAGACTCTGGTTTCGAAGAAATAAACCACCCACCCTATAGCCTGGACCTGGCCCCCAGTGACTACTACCTATTCCCGAATTTAAAAAAAGATCTTCATGAAAAGCGATTTTCCGACGATGAAGAGCTCAAGGCGGCAATTAACACACATTTTTTAGACAAGGAGGAAGAGTATTTTTTACAGGGAATTGAAAAGTTAATTTCTAGATGTAATAAGTGTATTGAAGTTATGGGGGATTACATTGAAAAATAAAAATTATTTCAATGTATTATTCCTTTTTCTTCATGCTGATACCGAGAATACATTGAACGTCCCTCGTATCTCCTGAGAGTGGAGGTCCAGCCCAGAAAAACACCTCTGGTCAGTTCCCAGTTCAGAAGCAGACGAAAGCGCACCTCTGGTGCCTTTAATTTTAACTCCCTCTCTGACAACATGGTGACATCTAGCAACCAGTCCTAGGATCACCACCATCTCCTACTAGGGCTGTATCACAACTGCAGGTAGTCAGGCATCAAAAGGTCAAAGCAATAATGCCTGACCAGTTGTCCCTGGGATGGAACTAGCATCCTCCCAAGACCTGGAGTAGATCATTCAGCCTTTCCAGTTGTCTCTTCACCAGGGCCTAATCAAGAGAAAAAAACAACAGAGGTTGCTGACTTGGTTAACCATTGAGCTCTCATCCCTGGACTCCCTTCTCAGGAGGAAGGCAGGGCTTTTACACTTCTACATTTTAATTAGCAATAGCATTCCTTGATTTGAGATAATGCATTATTTTTTAACACTGGAAACTATCCACCATGCACTGTGCATATGTATATTCTACAGAAAGTAAATTTATTTCTTAGTAGAAGTGCTGGTTGAATAATTGCCATTTTCACATGCAACACATGCAGTGGAGCAGTAAAAATGCCCCAGTTCATTAACGTCAGACCATGCTGTGTCAAACCAACAAGGCTTGTAATAATGGAGGTCTGCTTGGCTTTACTGGAACTATGAGTGTGGTATGGCAGTCAAGAGTGCAGGACTGGCACTTAGGTGATCTGGGTTGTAGTCCCCGCTCAGCCGTGGAAGCAACTGGGTGACTTTGGGCCAGTCTCAGACTCTTAGCCCAACCTACCTCACAGGGTTGTAGCTGTGAGGGTAAGATTGAGAGCAGAAGGAAGAATTATGTTAGTCACTTTGACTTATTTGTAAGAAAAGAAAGGCAGGTTATAAATCAAATAAAGTGAACATGCATCCTGGCTGTCCCAGGACAAACTTTAAGCCCTCGTGCCTTATCTTGAATGCCAGAACAGGGTCATTGAATCAGCTGAAATCCTGGGCATTTTCTTGAAGCAATGGGGAAAGCACCTGCAACTGGGAAGAGGGATTTTGTATTGTCCATTCAAAGTTCCAAATTGCAGTGCTTTCCCACTTGTGTTGTAGCCTGTTGAGACAGATTTTATAATGTTCTGCAGCTTTTCTCTTACCTTTGGAAATGATTTAGGTGTGGGGTATAGGAGGCTGCAACAGGGAAGATGGGGAAGGAAAGATCTTGTGCAATTTTGGATGTCACGCCATGAAAGGTTCACAGACAAAGAGTACAGGAAATATTTTTTCCTCATCACTTCAGATATGTACATCGGGTTCATTTTCACATGTAAACAATCATTTTCTTTTTTCCCCAATACAGTTTTTATATTATGGGTCAATGGCAGGAGTAGGCAGTGCGGTGCCATTGGGCAGCAGCTTTCTTGGCATTTACCGTAGTTCTTTGACCCTTCCGCTTAAAAAGAAAAGACATCTATTTTCCCTATTGACAACTGGGAGTATTTTGAAATAGAGTTCTATTGGTGTTGAAAACTGTAGGTTCAAAAGAGTTGTCATAGTATGTTGGGGCTTAGACCCTACCTTTTCCATGTATTCATTTTTTCTGGGAGTTTATTTGGCTTTTGCCATGCCTTCCATTGCAGCCATTTTGTGGTGGTGCCAAGAACAGTGTCACATTGCCAAATGACCCACTGACCAAAAAGGTTGCATACCTTTGCTTTATAGCTGGTGGGTATTCATTTTTCCATCTTGTAAACCAAGTAAAAGTCACTCACTGTATAACAGGTATTCCACAGCAGTATGTTCTTTGAAGCTTAATTTAAGTAACCCTAGCACACTGTATGCCAGGAATATGCAAGTTGTAGTCCTGCGGATGTTTTAGACTCCAACTCTGATCATTCCTTGCTTTTGACCATGCTTGACTGGGGTTTATTAGACTCCAAAACATTTTGGAAGATTAATTTTCATGAGAGTAACTGCAAAATTTTCAACATTATATTCTGTAATAACATACAATCTCCTTTTTATTACGGAGTTGAAGAGCCATTCCTGAAATGATGAAGTAATTTGTAACTGCTTAAAAAACAGTAGCAACTATACTGACTTGTACTCCAAGGGCCTCTAAAATTTAGTTCTTCAAGTTGTTCTGATTGATGTGTGGTGTAGGAGAGCCAGTGTGGTGTAGTGGTTAAGAGCATGGGACTGGGACTCAGACGATCTGGGTTCTAGTCCCCACTCAGCCATGAAGCCAACTGGGTGACTCTGGGCCAGTCACACTCTCAGCCCAAACTACCTCACAGGGTTGGTTTTTGTGGGGATAAGATGGAGGAGGAGATGTAAGCTGCCTTGAGCCCTTTGTAGGAAAAAGGCAGGATATAAATTGAAAAATAAATAAATGTGTAATAATGTGAAGACAGCTGGAATAATAAGAACCCATGGATGTTTGTTTCCTGATTTGTTCCAGGAGTGAGCTGGAATTTGTTATTTTTGAGTCAGTAAATGAGAGCCTATTCTTAATAGTAGGAGGCCCCTTTCCCTGCTTCTGCCCACTTTGCTCAGTTCCAGAAAGGATGCAGACATTAGCTGACCTGACTATAAAAAAGTAAATGTTTTGATTTCAGTGTACTGAGAGATGAGATTAATCAGACATACAAATAAGGATGATGCATTTGAAATAGGAAATTAGTGTCTTTCACTACATAGGAAATTACAGCAGTAGTTCTTGACATTTATTCATGTATGTTGCACTGGTTGAGTTAAAAATACTTCCCTCCCTTTGAAACTAGATGGGCACATTCTGCATACAAACTGCCACAGTGATGTCACTGCGTTCCGCATCTTGTTATATTCAATTGGGTTGCCTTAGCACCAACAAACTCTTAGGACCTGGAAGTACGTAAATGTCAACCAACCTAGTTTTGAGTAATTTAGGAGGTTGGAACACTAAACCAGTAGCAAAACAAAACATTTTACACGATATTTTAATGAAGCAGTCCATGCAGGGGTGCTTATATTTGTCCTGTGCAGCAAAAATACTTTAGTACTCACTCTTGGAATATGAAAAGTTATCTCTCCTCTTTTTACCAGGTGGGGTCTAATTCAGGTAAATGTATACTTTGCAGATAGTGGTTTATTACTATAATCTGGTTTTTAAGCACAAACTTCATAGCATTCTTTTCTCAAATCAGTTTTAAAAGCAAACTATGCAACAGGAAATCAAATGTTACCTTTTCTATTCATCATATTTATTTTAAGAATATTGGAAACTGTCTAATGCATAGTTTTGCCAACTTGCTCTTTTAAAAACACTAACCTGACCTAGTCGGCTCTTGTATTAACTGCAGTTTGATGCAAAGGAATGAATGGTTGAAGACCTTTGTGCCTTGGGGATAATTTTATCATCTGTTAACGGATGTTGAAGACACAGCCAAAGACTTAATAATTGTTCATTTAAACTGCATTAAAGTTAGTATTAGCTGTTACTCATTTCTAGTTTGGAAAGGAATATCTTACAGTCTTCAGCTGTGCATTTGTATTTCAATGTGAAAATTATTATGTTTTCCCAAGTAATTCAGAGTAGATCCTTTAGGCCAGAAATAAACAACCTGGTATCTTCCCGATGTGTAATATTATAACTCCCATAAGTTTCAGCTTGCCTGTCCCAATAGACATAGGAGTTATGGTCCAAAAGATCTAGAGAACATTAGGTTGTTTCCCTAGGAATAAGCAATCTTATAGGACGGCTATATTAATTGGGTTCCTATGAAGATGCACAGCAGGTTTATGAAACATCAACACTAGAAGAACAGCACAAAACTTGATAATTGTATGGTCGACAAGCTACATATATTTTGTATTTTTCTCATAAGTACTTTTTTGTCCCAAGCATTGTACAAAAAACTTTCTGTTTTATCCTGTAGCCATAGTTGTCAAGTGGAAATATTATACCCTCTATTGCTGTTTCTACAAACGCTTTGAACCTGTGCACAGTCTTCTAAATATACACTATTTTCTGTGCTGCTGCAGCCCCGTGGCACTTATATGACAAACCAACTTTCAGAAATTTTCATATGTTTGTGCATGAAGATACTTTTAGATGAGAGGATGTGTAGCATGGACTTGTAATCCAGCTCTGGCAGTATAACAGTAGATCAGGGCATCTCTAATACGCTCTTGAACTCCTGCCCAGGGAAACTGAGAGGTTCTATCTGATCTCCATTTTTCCCAACAAATTGGCAGACAAGAGTAGTAAGATGAGTCAGGAAGACTTCCTTCATCCCCAGAAATCCAGTGTGGACCAGCAGGAGTCCATTGCCAGATGTTCAGACTGCCCAAATTGGAGAGGGAGGCACCATCTGCCTCTGGAACTCCTGAGAAGCTACATACTAATCAAGAGGTATGTATTCATTTCTACCTCACCATTTTAGAAGCGCTGTTTTGTAGTGAAATGAAACAGCAAGGACCCAATGGATCTCCTAGTCCCCTTAGAAAAATAAAATTAGGTTGAAGGTTGATGTAGGGGCAGAAAGATCATATTCTTTCTAGAAAACAGTCTGCAAAGCACGAGAACCTTATGTTAGAACACTCATCTCCAACTTGATTCCCTCCAGATACTTTGGGCTTCGTCTCCCATTGGAACCAACTGACATAGTCATTCCTAAAAATGCCAAGAGTTGTAGTTTGAAACTTCTGGAAGGCACCACATTGAGGAAGGCTGTGTTAGAAGAATTTCATTTGTCTATTACCATGTATATGGAAATCGAATTAGTTTCTGCTGCTTCCATCATTTTTTCTGACTGCATTATGGTAGATTTTGTAGTGGATTGATTAGAACAATTCTCACTTTACAGAAGAATTAAAGGCATTCATGAGCAAATGATAACAAGATGACATTTCTAGAGTTTAATTAATCTTTGTTCAATTATTAGTAATCTCTTGTTCTTTTCCTATCAGAAGGTTTAATTTCTTACAGCTCTAATAGTTCCTTTCAGAAAAGAATAACCATACACATGAGTGCTAACAAACAAACCCACACAATTGCTAAAAAAAGAAAGAAAACTATTATATGAACACTCATATTATGCGACTGTGGAGTAGAGTTGGGTTGAAAGGGAACTGGTCTTTAGTGAAAAGACCGTGAGTTATAAGAAGCATAGAAACTTTTCTACACAACTGCTAAACAATCTGCTTAGAGCTTTTTAAGCAAATTATTTAATAACTAGTTTCATTAGGGTATTTATAAAACACTTAAATATGTTAAGCATGTAAAATGTGAGGGTGTAGAAAAACAGTTCAGGTTCAGCTTCCAAGGGGAAGCACATGCCACAAATACAAATTAATCCAGTAATTTAATCCCCATTTCTTCCATGTATAGGTGCTACTTCTGGTACTGGTTCTGCTGTCATGCTGCCACCAGCTGTTTACCACCACAGAGTGGTAAATTTGAATACCAGATTTACCTTGCAAATAAACTAGATTTAATCTAATTAGCAGTACTGATTTGGTTCCCCACCCCCTTTTTTTTATCAGCACCACACAGTTCTGTGGACAGCAGCAAAAGTGCAGTCTGGTGTCCAGATTGCCCTGAACTGCCCACTCCTGCTCTTGTTTAATTCCAAAATATCAAGCCTGAAGAGTTTTCATAGGTGCTAGATTTTAATAATTTGTTTTATTTAGTATTCTGGGAAATCTATTGTGTGTAGTTTCCTTACTCTACGGGTGAACAAAATAAATAATATATGTAGGTAGGAAAAAAGATGAGCCTTAATTTAGAAAGAAAAAAATAGCCAGAAGTCAGTAGACAAATTAAAGATTGGAACTACAAACCTGCTTACATTCTGTTGGTCTTAGCAGGATTTATTTTTGAGTAAATATATGATTGCACTGTACAAGTAAAAAAGAAGCAAAATATTTAATAATGTTGCTGTAGGTAAGGCTTGAGTTATTAATGTGTAGCTTACTTCAGTCTGATGAAAGTATGGGTTATATTTAGACTTAGTTGAACTGGTGAACCTATTAAAATGAATGAGATTTGAGTTCTATGTAATGGGTCTAATCTAAGTTCCATTGATTTCAACTGGTCCATTCTAAGTATGACTAAGGCTGGTTCTAACCCATTATTTGCCTTGAAAATGCATATAGTTTTGTTGCAGTATTGTAGATGGATTATATTCCACAGCTGATTATGATTATGAAAACTAGCAGGAATTTTTGTATCCTTGAGTTCATGTGCCCTAACCCCCAGTCCCAATCTGTTATTTATCCACAAGCCATGGCTCCTTTCTTCCTTTTCTCCCTCCCTGGTGTAGTCCTCTCATAACTTGTTCTTTCAGTTGAGACAGCAAACTATGGTTTGTGCTTGCCCCACAAAGCAGGATTGGAAACTAGGACACTACTCAGGCATATTAGGTCTTTTTGTTCAATGTAAATTGAGAATTTGCTGTGCGACTTGCCCAATAGTACCCAGCAAATGTTTACTGAAGAGGAAAATCAATTGTTTGACAGGAAGTGTGTCTGGAACACAATTTCAAAAATAGTAAAAAAATGTGTATCACTGTATCACTAGTTTTATAATGTCTTGCTCTTTCACATGGGGAGGGTTAGGAGTTGATGCTGCCCCCTTCTGTGCTTAAGTTTTTGTGCTTAAGTCCCATTGTGAGCTTGCTTTGGATTGATTGCAACCTTTTCCTCCTTGCTTTTGAAGAGGTGGCAATAAAGTATTTGAAAATGTTTATAATTGATATCTGGCCCTATAGCAGTTTGGGAGCACTTAATTTTTCAAGACAAAAAGAATGTGAACTGTAAAGGGTAGATCCTGGAGCAGAACAGGATCCATATTGGAAGAAGTTAACAAGAGTAGAACATGACTGAAGTGTGTGGAGACAGATTTAGAGAGGCCATGGGAGGAAAGGTGACTGGTGGTGCACGTCATAGCCTCCTTGATCAGCCCAGAATGCAGAGAAAAGTCAAATTTAACTGGCTAATACAGTATCAAGGGGATACCCTGCCCCTTCTTCTTAATGTGCCTGTGAGTTTTGTTTATAATAACACTTTAAAATTGATTTAAGTTGTTTCAGATTTTTTCAGTTACACATATTTGTGAAACATGGTTTCTTAGGAACTCCAGATGGATCAACAGGCCAAAAAGCATCTTCAGGAAGAGTTTGATGCATCATTAGAAGAAAAGGATCAACTCATCAGTGTCCTGCAAACTCAGGTAACCATGCTTGATCAGAGAGAGGCTTCCAAAGAAGGGCAGGGATGATAATATGTAAAATTATTTAATATGTTGATATGCATTTCAAGATGTACACTGGGCCTTGCTTGTGTACAGCTAGCACAAGCTAGGCCCTGTGGGCATACTGGAAAGCATTAATACTTAAGTTCAAATTTTGAAAGGAAAGTATGAGGAAGAAATGTCTGTCACTGTCGCTGAATAGCTATTGTTTTGTTGATTATCCAGGTGTCCTTATTGAAACAACGGTTGCAGAATGGACAAATAAGTATTGAATTACCTGATCCAAATGTTCAAACTCAACCACAAGTTCAGAGCCCAACAAAGGACATAAATGCAGAGAACGCCTTGCAACCAGGGAGTCCTGGTAGGTTGGTGTTTTTAAAAAATGTAACTATTTACATTAATTATTAGAAAATTTCTGCTTTAGAACTGTTTTCTTATTTTGGACCACTGCAGCTTGGCTAGCTTCATCTGCCTTTTGATGATATGATTGATGTTGAGAAGCTGGGCAGGCAATATTACTGTAATCCAGATTAGTTAGTGATCCAAATATATAGTGATCATCAGCAGTATGTTTTCTATTTTAATGTATTGAGTACATTTATATTCCATCTTTCTTTTTTCATGGTACTCAGACTGTCATACATAGGGAATCCCATGTAGTCCCTTATTGCTGATTGATTCATTTGCTGAAACATGAGCCCTTAGACCATATTCCATGATCAGCCCTAACACTGAACATTATGGTCATCAAGGACTTTAGTTTCCCATTGCTACGTAATTGCTAGACATTAACCTATTTCAGTCAAAACACCTCTGTTTGACTACCAATAAATTCTGAATTGATTTCTGCCCATCCTTGCAGTCAAATTCGCATTCTCAAGGAAGAGGTTGGGAAGCAATTTTTTGCCAATCCACCCTGCAGCTTCTACCATCACCTCTCATGCTGCTACAGAGGTCCTAACTTTCCACTAATGCAAGTGGAACTCTACTGAGAGCAGGTCTGGAACCAACCCAATATATTTTTAAGAACTGAACAAATACAGCAATACTGGCAGTGAAAGAATATATGGTTTTGTAACTTTTGTCATCCAAAAATCTGTGGATGAATTTATTATATTAAAGCACAGTACAAACATTTGGCAGCTCATGGATAATCAGCACTTTTACTCAGTTTTTTGTTACTGAATGTGCTCTCTTGACATATGTACAGTACATATGTCCTGAGTCACATTCATTAAGAGACCGTTTATCCTTAGCAATTGCCCATCTTGGAAGAAGTGACCCAGTGATACATACAAAGGGGTTTCTTTGAAAACATGGTAGAATAAAAATAAATAAATACAATAATCAGGTTGCAGGAAAAATTAGCTGGTTAAAGGATTGTTAGATAATTCTAAAATATCTGTGATAAGTTCATAGATTAAAAGCAAGAACATGTGCTGTGAATCATTGGGCACAGTAGTGAAATGGAGATCCGACCACTGGGTTTGAATGGTGGGGAAATTAGCTTTAAAGACTGTTCAGAGGCTGAGATGTGTAGTGCATGGTCAGTTAAGACATGTGTGGATCATCTAGGCCGAACTAAGCTGGGCTATAGTTTTGAGGGGAGTTACAGAATTTGGACAATTTGTGGGCCTAATGTACTAGGAGAGATGAAGAGAAAGGTTCAGGAGTACATTTACGAGAGAGGGGAAAAGAGAAGACTCTTGTGAGGGGCTTGGAGAACAGAAGGTCCATTGAAGCTAGTCCTTGACCACAGTCGCTATGACAAAAGGAGAGAGCAGGTTGAGGGTAACTCGTAACTGTTTTGCACACCCATTTCAGTTTCCTGTGCCTTGTGCACTCTTGTTCGTCATCAAGAGTGATATTATCCAGAAAACATTTCATAGCAATGCAAACTCTTAAGAGTTTAACTTGGTTGCCTGTGGAAGAGACATGCTGGAACCCTACATTTCTGATTGATCTAGCCTCATTTCTAATTGATCAGGGTAAGGCTGCATTTAAGTGGCTGTGCTCTTGACCAATTACTGTTTAGTACAGGAGTAGCGAACATGCAGTCTGCAAGCCACATGCCAACCCTGCTGCTCCCCATTGCACCACAGAAATTGGTTCCCCAAAAGGGGGAAAAAAAGGTTAACTTTCAGGGTCAAAGGGAGAGGTAAGGAATGTAGGAAATAAAATAATAATGTGGGCTGCCAGAACATTTGAATCAGTTCTTCAGCAACTACGTGGTTGTCAGACATATGAATTTAACATAATTTTCTGTTTTTTGTAGGTGGTGATGGGGATTCTGCTCAAACACTAGAAAATCTTACTCAGCGAGTAAAACGTCAAGAGAACCTGCTTCATCGATGCAAAGAAACAATTCGATCACATAAAGAGCGCACGGCACAACTAACCAGTGAGAAAGAAGCACTGCAGGAACAACTAGATGAGAGACTTCAGGAGCTAGAAAAAATGAAGGTACTGAAAAAGACAACAATCCTATCAACTTATGCATGACATGTATTCCTTTTGCTTAACACATGGTGAAACATGGGCTATCCACAGGCATATTGTAAATTTCAGAGTATGGAAAGGCAAGCGGTAGTTAACACTAGTGTGTGTCTGTTATCTGAATTAACAAAAGAATAGTAGTTGCTGAACCCAGTGGGATGTCATATGCAAAACTTGGACTGAGTCTTCCTTAAAATGGGAAACAGGACACATCCTACTTAGCATTTTTAAAAAACGTGTCAGGAAGTTTACCTATGAAGTAAGTCTTGTATTCCTCAAACTACTATCTCAGCTACTTTCAGAGTTCTTTTCAGTGAGCAATGAGGTGAAAGTGGACCCATTTGCTTATTGTTGACAGTGAGCAAGAGAGAGTGGTCACATTGCCTGCAACATAGTAGCCACTACTGGTTTTACTTATCCTAAAATTGGCCAGGTTTGCACACCATGCTCAGCAACCCATGAAGGGGCCAATCATAGGTTGCTGAGTAGAAGCAGAAGTTGAGGGTGCATTGGAGATTATCTCACTCTCTCTTTCCCCCTTCCCCACCTTTCCTGCTTCTTCCCAGCAGTCCATGGACTGTTGAACCCATAGGCTATTACTGCATGCTAACCAGGTCAGCACTTTAAATAAGAAGTAAAAATGAAATAAACTAGTGCAAAATCTGTAATATTACTATAATTTGAAGAAGGCAACTGGTCTTTTCATTCTTTTCCATATGTAATGAGCATTCAGAATAAGCACATCCTAAGAAAATGGTTTTCCAGAGTTATGTGGTTTGATCTTCCTATTACGACCTGTCCAGTACACTTGTCGGAATGAAAAATCAGAATGTGAAGCCTTGTTGCACATTGTGGGGACAAGAGTTACTTTCAGAAGGGTACAGTAAAGTTCATCTTGTCCTGTCTCAGGAACTTCATTTGGCTGAAAAGACCAAACTGATTACTCAACTCCGTGATGCCAAGAACTCAATAGAACAGCTAGAGCAAGATAAGGTAAGTATTTCCGTGAATTTTAAATTGCCACAATTTTATAGAGGTGCCAGCTGTTCTTACCATGTAATTTATAAAATTATCACAGTTTCACTAGGCTGTTTTGTTGCTTAAAAGAATTTATTCTTCAACATATTTAGTGATGTTCATTCTGTTATAGCTATGTAGAATTTCAATGTGGCAACATTTATTTAGGAAGAGCAGTATGTGCTATAGAATGTTGAAATTTCTACTAAGTTTATTACTACATTACACAATTATGTAGGTCTGCAAGGTATCCTTGGCACCTAGAAGACCTGTAACCTGTAAAACGTTGCACTGTGGTACACAATAGTAATCCAGAGTTCAGAAAACCATATATATTTACATAACTTACATTATTTCATAAGCTGCTTTGACATTATTGATGAAAGACAGTAGGTGAATTAGCATTTCTTGGTAAACCACCTTGAGAATAAGCCACTGTGGGTTGGTCATTAGGTGTTTAATGCTGACACACAATCAGCCTCTCTGCGTTTTGCCCTGGCTTCATTTGCATTCTCGTGTCCACCTACTCTCAATACATATCCCAGGAACCTTGAGTGGGAAAATTCCCACCCTGTAATCCTTTGCTGCTTTGCTGTGCTGAGAGCCTTTTTTGCTGTTGGCCTCTGAGTGCTTTGGGCATGTTTCACTTTTACTGGCTTCTGAGTGAGGATGTTCTGATTTTCTCCCTGCCTTTTGGCAGACTGATACCTGCCTGTACTTGCTTTTCAGATGAAAATTGTAAACCCTTATGTTCTCTGTTGTGGTTTTTATTTTGTCCATGGATAGCATTATTCTTCACCAGCCCAAGAAGAGGGTTTTGCTCATCATCCTTTCCTTGCAACCCCCCTTTACTTTCAACAGATACAGAAGTGGCTACTGTTCACTGTTCCTTTGACCTTGTCCTTCTGCTCTGATTTCAAACAGTCCAAGTGGTTTGAGTTCTGGATCCTTTTTCACTGGTTCCTTCTCCTGATGCTTTCCTTTAGCTAAAAAAATCATATTTTGCTCATGCTAACATCTCGCCACCATCTCACAACAACTCTTCTCCAAGTGTACAATAAATATTTCTACCTAAGTCTCCATCCTCATGCCAATCCCCTATGCTATCAGCCTGATTTGCCATTAGCAGTAACATGTTATGCAGACAATTCTTGGAAAGGAACAGTGCTGGCAATTAATTTAAATTAGCTTGATAGGACATTATGGTGACTGACAGCTTTATTGTCTATAGCCTTTGTTCCTATGAGGAGTGCTACCTAAGACAATACTAACACCAGCCCTCTGTGGATAGAATGAAATTTCAAATGTGTGAGGACTCCAGTGAGCCCATCTAAGGAAAGCCTAGCTCATAGAACTCATTTCATGTTCTTTCTCTCATTCTCCACCTGTATGATGTCAGACAGGTAGAACTCATTCAGAATGTGCACTGTTTCCTAGAAGATTTTGCAAACAGTAGATTTCTTTACTCTGAAGTTAATGCTGAGAGAGAGGCACTCAGTGTTGAAAGCATAAGGACAAGGTCATACCCAAACCTTTTAAACGGTTATCTCTCTCTGCTATCTCTCTCTCTCTCTCTCTCATATGAGTTATAAGCCTTCTATTGGTCTATTTATTTATTTATAAAATTTGTATGCCGTCCAATTACCAGCGTCTCTGGATGGCTAACAGCATAAATAAATCGACAACCCACTCTGGCTGCAAATACAATATTAAAATTCAATATTAAAACATATTAAAATATTGATTAAATAAAAAGGTATTAACCTAGTGCCGAAAAACATATAATGATGGTGCCAGGTGGACCTCTCTGGGGAGCGCATTCCATAGATGGGGCGCCACTGCAGAGAAGGCCCTCTTCTGGGTACTCTGTCTCCTAATATCTTTCACAGAGGGTTTCCGGAGGAGGGCTTCTGCTGCCGATGTTGGGGTGGGAGGGCAAATAGGGAAGAAGGTGTTCCTTTAGGTATCCTGGTCCCAATCCGTTAAGGGCTTTATAGGTAATAACTAGCACCTTGAATTGAGCCTGGACTTTGATGGGAAGCCAGTGGAGCTGATAGAGGACTGGGGTTATATGAAAATAACGCCCAGTCCCCGACAGCATCCTGGCAGCTCTGTTTTGCACCATCTGAAGTATCTGGACTGTCTTCAAGGGCAGCCCCACGTAAAGCACGTTACAGAAATCCAGCCGGGAAGTAACCAATGCATGTGTTACTTTTGTTAGGCAATCTTCCTCCAGGTAGGGACACAGCTGATGGATTCGCCGAAACTGAAGAAAAGCGCTCCTCACCACTGCTGTCACTTGAGCTTCCAAGGACAGCTCTGGGTCGAGGAGCACACCCAAGCTACGGACCCTGTCGTTTAGAGGGAGTGCAACCCTGTCCAGGGCAAGGCGCAAGTCACCTACCCAGGAGCTTGAATCACCCACCAAGAGAACCTCCATCTTATCTGGATTGAGTTTCAGTTTACTGGCCCTCATCCAGCCCATTACCTCGGCCAGGCACTGGTTCAGTACAGCCACAGCCTCACCTGGGTTAGTTGAAAAAGAGAGGTAGAGCTGGGTGTCATCAGCATATTGATGACTCTGCAGCCTAAACCTCCTGATGGCCTCTCCCAGCAGTTTCATGTAGGTATTAAATAGCAAGGGAGACACAATGGAAACCTGTGGTATTCCATGGCAAAGTTGCCATGGCACAGAGCCAAAGTCCCCCAGCACCACCTTCTGGAATCGACCGTCAAGGAAGGAGCAGAACCACTGCCAAGCAATGCCTCCTACTCCCAGTCCCGCCAGCCTATCCAGAAGGATGCCATGGTCGAAGGTATCAAAAGCTGCTGAGAGGTCCAGGAGAACCAACAGGGACACACTCCCCCTGTCTCTCTCCCTGCACAGGCCATCATACAGGGCAACCAAGGCTGATTCAGTACCGTACCCGGGTCTGAAGTCAGACTGAAATGGGTCCAGATAATCAGTTTCATCCAAGAGAGCTTGGAGTTGTTCCACCACCACCCGTTCCAACACCTTGCCCAAAAACGGGATGTTGGTCACCGGTCTATAATTGGCAGCCATCTCTGGATCCAGAGATACCTTCTTTAGGACAGGTCTGATTACTGCCTCCTTTAAAGGAGTGGGCACCTGGCCGTCCCTCAGAGAGGCATTAATAACCTCCAGGATCTAGGAACCAATCCTGTGTTTGGGCTTGGTCAGTAGCCATGAAGGTCAAGGGTCGAGTAAGCAGGTGGTAGGACCTACTTGTCCAAGCACCTTGTCCACATCATCGGGCCACAGTAACTGAAATTCATCCATTAATATCTGACCAGACGGAGTCATTGTCATCTCCCCTAAAGGATCTGAATCACTTGTGGAGTTCAGCTCGTGATGAATCTGAGTGATTTTCTCCTTAAAGTGCTGAGCAAAGTCATCATAGCAGGCCATTGATGGTGGTACAGGATCTTTCTTAGGGCCAGGGTATATCAGCCCATGTACCACTCGAAAAAGCTCCGCTGGACGGCACTGTGAGCAGGCAATGGAAGTGGAGAAGAATTTCTTTGCCGCCCTCACCGCCACAGCATAGGCTCAATAATGAGCACATAGGCGTGTTCGGTCAGATTCATCCTGTGATTTCCTCCACTTACGCTCTAGACGTCTCCCAACCTGCTTCATCGCCCGTAATTCAGATGTATACCATGGGGATGGACGGGCTCTGCTTGGCAAGAGAGGACACTTAGGGGTGATCATGTCAATTGCTCTGGCCATTTCCCCATTCCACAGTTCAACCAGAGCATCAACAGGAGCGCCAGCTTTATCAACCGGAAAATCCCCCAGAGCCTTCAGGAATCCATCCGGATCCATCCGGCTCCGAGGGTGGACCATCACAACTGGGTCCGCACCTTTACAGAGGGAAAGGCCAGCTCCAAGCTCAAACCTCATGAGGAAGTGATCTGACCATGACAAGGGAGTCAGACTGTCGTGCCTAACAGCTCGGCAGAGGCATTGACACACGAGAGAGGGCCAAAAGCTCACAGTGAGAGTCAGGCGTTGGAGCAGGGGGATTTATACTTGGTGCTCAGGGCTCAAACGGCCCCTCTGCCACCCAACTCTGCTTCCGAGCAAGTAGCTTCCCCACATCCTGGCTCTGAGTTTTTTGAGCAGGGTGCAGCTTCCCTTCCTCTGGACTCTGAGGAGTTTGAACAAGTTGCTCCCCGCCTCCTGACTCTGAAGCTGCTGGACAGAGTCTTGGAGAACAGGAAGATGTGGCAGGTAATTTAGGGAACGCCCAGCTCAGGAGGAGATTGCATCACTTAGACCAATTGAGACGACAAAAGAGAAGTTTGTCCCCCCATGAACAGAAAGATGTGACAGTAGATTGAAACCCATGTGACCTTTCCTATAGGGTTCAGAAAGGAAGGGGCAACTGAGCTGCAAGGAGCTCCTCGCCATAGCTTATCTGTTGCATCATAAATCTTGTAGCAAATAGAAATAAAAGTCTTTAGTTTTATTGCCGGCTGCTGTGTGAGTTGATTGGAGACGTGAGTCATGGCGCCACGACAGCTTGCCCCCTCCTTTCTCAATGCGCCAGCACCAACAGGAGCGTCACATCTCACAGAGCCAGGATGTGAGCCAACATCCTGGGGGTCTTCAACACCAGGTCCGAGACGATCTCTATCAGCTCAGGCAGGGAGTCTGATGGGCAGAAGGGTGCACGGTACACCAGCAGAATCCCCAATCTGTCTTGATCGCCCAGCGCCAAGCACTCTAGACCCGGTCTCGAGAGAACAGGAAGCCCCGCGAGGGTCGTGGCTGGTGCTGAACTAGATACCCAGGTGGGCACAGTTGAGAGAGGGCTACATCCACCCCTCTCCCGCCCAGGTCTCTGTAATGCAAGCCAGGTTGGCCCCCTCATCCATAATTAAGTTGTGGATGAGGGATGTTTTATTATGGACCGACCTGGCATTGAGCAGCAGCACCATCAGGCCCGAGGGGTGGTTGATAAGCTTACCCGGAACCTTCCGGTTGGGGAAATAACCAGAAGGAGGAACAGGTGTCAATCATCTGTCCCTCCTTCTATGCTGACATGTTAAACCCCCAATGCCATATCGACCCTTGCCCAACACCACCCCAATGGTGGTGCCCACGCGCTTCCCAGGCAACCCCATAAAAGCAGCAGCCAGATGTGGAGTCACTAAAACAAATCCAATAAAATACAATTAAAACCCTCCAACCCACCCACTGCAAAACACACAAACAAAGGCCGCTGACCACTGGCTGTGGCTGGCGAGTTGAGCCCGCGGCCCCTCCCTGCGCCTTGCCCCCAATCCGGCACAGCTGCCACCCATGCGGGGGGGGGGGAGGGGGACAAGGGCGGGGCCTGTGGAGAACTTGCCAGCACAGATGGAGGAGCCGCAGGCCAGCAGCGTCCCTGGTCCCGCGGTGGCCGCCGTCTGTTGGAGCAGCGGCGGCATCAGCAGGCGGGTCAACATCTGTGGGGCCGGTCAGTCACCGGGCGGTGGTGGTGGGCCTGTCCTGTCCCGGCTTGACTGCAGCCGGCAAGTTGAACCTGTGGCCCCTCCTTACGCCCCGCCCCCAATCTGGCGCAGCTGTCCGGATTCAGAAGTGAAAAGGATCTGTGAAAAGTTCCACAAAATTGAGCATCATCCAACATCTTTGTCCGAACAACTTCAGTATACAGTCAACCTGTTGGTCTGCTGTAAGCTGCTCTACTACACCTTCTCCAATTAAAGCATCACAGTCTTTTTTCAGAGAGGCAGGCATTTATGGCCATCCTAGCAGAAGATCTTCCATTAACCTGTTTGAGATGTGGCAGAGCCAGTATAGAATCCACTATTAGTATCTTGCAGTGGCATGGTATTGGATGTCCTAGTCACCATGGTGGTCAATAAGGGCTGTTAGAGCAAGTTTCATCACTGCAGTAGTAGCAGCTTCTTCTGTCATTATTCAGTCCTCACTCCTTTCCAAAGTATGCATTTGTAGCCATGTATTGTAATGTTCTAACTGTAGAGACAGGAGGAATTGAAGGAGAAAAAGGGGAGTACACTGAATTGAGGGGAGGATGCACATTGGAGTTGCTTAAAGTATTAGGGAAACATCTTAGCAGAGCAGAAGAAAGGGCTACATAGCCATGCTTTATATAATGTAAGTGGTGGGGAAGAGCAGAGAAACATTGATCTGCAAGACCATTGGAGGGTTAGCTAGGTTTGGGTTCCGTTTACTGAGAGAAGCAGTGGTGAAAGGATTTATGTGTTGATCTTGGTACAAATAAATTGGACAGACTAAATAAATTTTTACATATCAAATGTAAAATGTGCAAGATCAACATACCCCCTGCATTACTTCATTTTTTAAAAGCTTCTTCTCTAGGAGCTTTTCAGAAACCTTGAGGTAGGTCTGTGGAGGTAGGACTCAACAAAGACAAAACTAGGCAGAACTTGAGGCTTCTTTAAAATTGCTGTGTAGGCAGTGGACTCACAAGGGGAAGAAGGTGGAGGGGAACCCTACTCTGATAAGTGAAGGAGTGCATTCACATGTGTCCAAGGGAGGAAAATACCAAAGCAGGACAGCCTAATCTGTTGCTAAGCTTAGTTCAAAGAGTGAAATTGCTTGTGAAGACTGGTACAGTTTTTGGCCATTCTTGATGAGTGACTTTTTAGCTCTTTTCAACAAAGCCACCATGGGTACCCTAGGATAACCCATGGATACTTAGGGTGGCTTTTTTGTGCTGTCCAAATCTTATCAAAGTAAACATTTTTAAATTAATATAATTTTGCTCTCTTCGTGGCTCTGAACTGTCATAGAAATTGGACTGTCCATGCACAAACTGAATGCTGAGCACTTTAACATTCCATCAGATCGTCTTCTCTCCTTGGTTATAATCACTGTACATTTATTTTAATTTTTGCTAGTGCTTCCTTTGGCACAATGCTTCTCCTCTTTGCTCTAATACAAGAAAGATATGGTGATTTAAAACCAAAATAATTGTGTCCTGATAGTCAGTGGGATTTTTATATTTATATATTCACACAGTATACTTCTGCTGCTTGTAATCTCCTATTTTATAGGGCATGGTAATAGCAGAAACAAAACGGCAAATGCATGAAACGCTGGAAATGAAGGAAGAAGAAATTGCCCAGTTGCGTGCTCATATCAAGCAAGTTGTTATGCAAAGTGAGGAGCTGAAAGAACAGAAAGAAAAGTCTGAAAAAGCTGGTAAGAAATTGCAGTTATTGTCTCATATTTAAGCTGTAAACTTTGTTTGGCATCATTTGTTTGCTCTTTGTCATCAACTATTATAATATTTCCATTTGCTTTATTTCCCCACCATCTAAATTAACATCATAGTTTGAAGAGTAAGTAAGTATTGGCGTATCTGTTTGCTTTTAGAAGATCATGTTCTTTCCAGTTCCTTGTTCTCAGTAGAAACTCATATGCCCTCTCTCTTTCCTTCCCCAGTTACTAGTTTAGAAATAAAATCAGAAATAAGGAATTATGATAGTTTAGCATATGAAGCAACTTAAGTCTTCCTCATTTCTAACATAAACATAATAAGTATTTTCTTCTTACCATGTTTGCTAGGATGTTCTGTATAAATTGAAAACACTACATTTTGTTTATTGTGAAAACTAAAAACCAGATTTAGTATCTAATGCTGCATGTGAAAACCGGGGCAGTATTCCGTGTTGTCTTGATATTGAATTACATAAACCAAAACTTGGAAAACATAACTAGTGAATAACAAAGAGCTGTATGAAAAATTCCTACGCCGTGGCAAACATGAATGTGAAAGGAAAAACATATCCACTGAGGCATGGAGTAGATTCTTTGCACTTTGGAAGCCAGACCCATCAATGTGCAATGCTGGTTCAGCAGTGGTGTTCTTTCTAGCATTAACCATAGAGAGCCAATTTCCATCTTCGTCACACATCCTGTTGTCACTAGTGAATTGCCACTGAATTTTGGCAGTGAAAAAAGGCCACCTTTTCTTGTCTTTTCTTGCTCCTCTTCTCTCCTCTCCTCTCCTCTCCTCTCCTCTCCTCTCCTCTCAGCTTTTCTTTCCTTTCCTTTCCTTCTTTTTAAAGCTGTGCAGGGAAATGTAGCATTTCTTTTACCACCACTGTACAGTGCTGAAAATTGACAGCATGGTGGTGATTTTAGAGTTCCAGTAGCTGCAGAAAAGGCCTAGGAAGCCACACATAGCCTGTGCGTTGCTGGTAGCCCAGCTCTGTACAAATGCAAAACAAATGTTCTCATGACTATTGTTTAAAAGCTATTGCAAGCCATGGTTTTAGTACCTGGTTGCAAAAGAACTATGTGTTCCCCCATTTTTCAAGCAGACCAGATGAAAGGCTTTCTGAGTAAAAGACATAATGTTAAAGCTGAAGTTGGAAAACTAGCCATTAGGGAAACATAACTTCAATGGTAAGAAGCTGATTCCGAGTGAATACCCCTTCTCCCTTCCAAAACAGAAATGAGTAAGCCATGCCTTCATGGTGGGTCCTCTTGTTTCAAGACCAATCGCTTGGCGCCTTCTCAGCTGGTCTGCCCCCTTAACCTGAGGCCATATTCTTGTATCAATGAAGTTAGTTCTGCCCCCACATCAGTTTACTCACTAAACTTTTCCACAGAACGTCACACTTATTTTCACCATCTGTCCAGCTTATCTCTGGATCCACTGCCCTTGGAATATGAGCTGCATATTCTGGCTCCACGTCTTTCTCTGATACAGAATCTGATTGCACATGTAAAGGCTTTTTGAGAGGAGGAATAACAACAATCATCACCAATCCCTAAGATATTGAAAACACAGTTTGTTGTAGTAACCAGGATGGCTCTGATTTACAAATTCTAACTAGTAGCGTGACAATATTATGCTTGCATTGGTCTGAATTTTTTTATGATCGAAGTCACACCATCCAACATCCTTTTCCAAACATATTTTTTCTGATACTTCAGAAAGATGTACTACAAGATAGACTGAAATTAAAACATGCAGACAATTTTTAAAGAAACCCTTTTTATATAAAATATTAGACTTTCAAATAATTATTTCATTGTATGGTATTATCAGATAAAACCTATTTTTACACATTGGCTTGGATACAGACTTAGCTCCTTTTAGTGGGAGTGTTCAGTTCCACTCACAGGAACTGACCTTTTCCATTTCTCCTTTTGCAACCCCTTGTACCCTTCAAAAATATGTTCTGGAAGTTGCAGGAACTCTCTGAAACAATATAGTGAAACTGCAAGGGAATCACTGAAAATCACCACCTCTTACCTTCTTTTGATGTGTTCCAAATGCCTTCTGGGCATAGAAGAGGGCTTTGTTTTTTTTCCCCAAGCCTAAATTTGGACCCAAACCATAGAGCTTATATTTCTTACCTGTTCAGAGATAGCAAAGCTATGATTTAATGACTGTTTTGTTTGATTACTAAAATTAATTTTACAAGGCACTTAATATATTTGTCAAATATATAACATTTCTATGGGATGAATCCAGATATAATCTGGATCATCTACACTGATGTAAGTGGATGCCTTTGCTCCCTCCTTCCCATATAAGCACCCTAAAAATGCTAGAGAGAGAGTCAGGTGACCCTGCTGAATGGGTGATATGTAGTGTCAAATTAGGGAGACTCTAGGGGCACCAGAAATTTCAATGAGCAGATCCCTTCCTCCCACAGAAGGCTGATTCTGGATCCAACTCAATAATTTTGTATTTAAGATTGAGGTACCAGTCATTCATATAATATGCAAGTCTTCTTATGAGTCTGTTTGAAAATGTGCCTGAAATAAATTTTGAAAATAAATAAAACCATAACAGTTCATATATAATATTATTGCAGCTTCTTGTTCTGTAACTATGAGTGTATTGTATTAAAATCTCACCGAGCATCTTATTTTTGTGCATCCACACATGCCAATAAGTGAATCATGGTGCCTTTCCCAAGCCTTGTATGAACAGGATTGGGGTAAGGGATCTCTTTCTTACATCACTCAACTGCTGCTTGCAGCGAGCTTTAGAAAGTAAATTCTGTGCTTCTCAGGCAATATCCAAAGTGTCAGTTCACTGCTATTCAGCATCCTAATTCCTTGGAATATTTGGCTTTATTTTATAGCTCACGGTATTCATTGTTACTGTGAAATACATTTCGCATGTCTCATAATTAAACTATTAGCATTACCTCAGTAATAAAAATTTTTGTTCTGAGGACTAATCAGTGTTTGAGCTATATAGAACAACCATTCTAATAAATTCTTGTACTTGTTCTTCTTCTTTGCATGTTAAGCTTATAATTCCCAAAACAACTTGAACATTCTTTAATTTTATAGATAGGAAATTCCTTTCTGTATTGAGATATTTGTTCAAAGTCATTACAAGTGCAGCCTGCTTTAAATATAAGACACTACTATTTTGACTAGGTGCTTTTTTTGTTACAGTTCTACATTCACATTTCTTGCATATTTGTTGAAACAGACTAAATGAATATTTCTCAGTCTGCATAATTTGGTTCCATACTGCTGTCTTCAGCTTTCACCACTAGATGATGCCATAGTTGAAGACCTCAGTTAATGTGGCATGAGAGACTTAAAAGAAAGAGGTAAAATAGCTTTTATTGTACCAACTCTAGTAATTGTTATTTTAAAGAAGAACCCTTTTTTTACAAGCTTTCGAACCACACATTGATATTTCATCAGATTGAAGCAAAATTAAAGACTTGGCTTTTGGCTGGCAGTTCAAGTCTCTTCCACCCTCACCACCTTTAAAAACATAACACTTTAAAATAGTGGCAAATTAGAATTTGTGCTGTTGGCATCCCCCAGAATACTATTTTGTGGTCCATGTCTGTGTAGTTCAATTGTGTATCGGTATTTTTCATTGTCTTGGTACAACTTCAATTCAGATGGCAAAATTCTGCAGCCTGCTGGTATCATGGTCCCGCAGAACTAAAGAAATAAATACATGGAATATTTCTTCACTGGACTAGTCTGAGCTAGGAACTATTTCTTTCTTAAGTGAAAGCATACTGAACCTTTCCCAAACCTTTTCAATATGTCAGAGTTGGTGTCATTTGAGTAGGCTTTCATGTATAAAAACATAGTATGCTATACCTGATGGAGGGATGCCTATGTATTGACTTGTGTTCAAAAGCTTGATGACTTGCTTTAAAAGAGAGTTGGACCAGTAAAAGATATAACCTTTCCACATCTGATTATACCATAAATAAGGCCATCCTTTATAAAACCATAACACAGAATGTTGCTTTTCCTTCCGGATCACTAACCCTTGAACATAATCAATGACAGAGCTAATTCTTATAAACAGCATTGAGGTGGTAAGAATTGTGTTCTTAATTGATGATATCAGTTTGTGGGTAGGGGCAGCAGGACTTTATATTTTGTACAAAAGTGTATTGAATGACTGGATTCCATGACAAGGTATGGAAACTCTCCATAGGCAGCCATCCATGGTAGGTTGCCATGTTTTCCATACCTGGAACATTTTGTACAGGGTTTTTTGTGAACAAGACAGAGAAATAACTCAGGGCTTGTTGTAGTATTCTTCTTGTTCACAACGGTTTGCTGTGTTGTCCATGTCATATAAATGATTTTATCATAAGTCACCATGAATAGCTACAGAGCTACCAGGCAGGAACAGCAAGAAAAGCCAATTCCACTCATTTTTTTCAATCTTGCTGGCAACTGCTCTCCCACTGTAGCCAAAAATTTTGAACAGCTTTTTATAATTATTAAATTTCAGTGGTTTAAAAATGTTCAATTGGTGTCATAATTTTTATTTTTTTAGTCTGTTTTTCACAAGTACACACTTACGGCTATCAATTGGAAATATTAACAAGAGAAAGGTGTCCAACTAATTTGCATGCACTGTTTGCAAAGGACTGTGGGAGATATAGCAGTAAGGGATAGGTGGGACCAAGTAGTAGAAGTCAAAAACACTGAAAGTCAAGAAAAAAAAGCCAAAGGAATAACTGCACCAAAGGGAGGTCTTATTCCCTACTTTTTCTACAGTTCTTCTTATTCCCTACTTTTTCAACAATTCACTGACTATCCAGCTATTACAGAAAGGACATTTATTAACTTCCACACATACACCATTTGCATGGCTCCATTTTCAAGAGGCTACTGCTGATATTATAGTTTCCTGATAAGGGTTTTTTAAAAATGCAGAAATATATGCAAATTTAATGCCTGGGAATTAAAGGGAAGGGAAATTTGTGTACCTGAAGCAACAGATCAGTTGCTGTAGGGATGCAAATTTTTCCTCCACTTCCTTCCAAGGTCTTAAATTTGTATTCTCTATTTTTTTAAGTACCTGTCAGCTAACTGCAATAATTGCATCAGTAAAAGCACTGAAAAGGAGCTGTCAGAAAGTCTTAATAGCCGAAGACTTTGGGAAGTGCTGAAAAGAAGAATGGTGCTAATAAAGCAGAATAGTATCAGACAAAATATTTCATTTGCGTGCAGTTTGTTTTATTGTGCTTTCTTCTTTTCTTGGTGCTTTTCAATTAACAACTTGGCAATTGATTCTTGGCAGCTGTGTACAAATTAGTTTATCTGTAGTCTTGCCTTGTCAATTGGTTACTTACTTCACTTTTCAGCTCCCTTTTACAACTGAAAAAATTGACCAGGCAAGATTACATTTATCAGGCAGGTATAAGATCACCATTGTGAAAGATTGACAGAAATAATATTTTAAAACAAAGATGACCTCAGCTGAGGTTGTCTGAAACCTTGTATCATGCTCAACCCCCAGCAGTGAACAAAAAGGGTAGTGATCAGAGCAGGGAGGAGGAGATAAGACAGTTTTTGCCATGAAGGATACTGGGATTGTTAGGTTCAACAACAGCAACACAATCCCACTTTGAATAATCATAGGGTAGCTTAGCATGACATTTGAATTTATCCAGTGTGTTGGAACTAGACTTAGGCTTACTTAGCCGTTCAAACTGAATCCATCCAGTTTTATGAATTCCCACTTGCAATTTGAAGTGACACAGTCAAGAACACAGGCTCACTTCATCTTCTATTTGTGAAGAGTAGGCCTCATTCCAGTTACATTAAAGCTTTCCCTTAGGAAATGTTCCTCTCTGCCTCAGGGTAGTGAAGACTAGAATAGGAGCAGTTCACTGGCATTATATAGCTAGCTAAACATTTTCAGTCCTTACTTCCCAGCAGAAATTGAAGAATGTTTTAAAGTATCTGTGATACCTATGCTCATGTAGGGAAGAAAAGTAACTTGTTGAAGAATTTATTTTCTATTTAAACTTAATACTAAAAATAGATACATGTAGCGAAACATGTGAGTGGATAAAAGTGAATTTGGACACCTGTTGGTATAATTTCATGAGTATAATCTTTAATTTGTTGTCAATACCTATCCCTTGCATTAGAATTCGTTCCCATGAATAGATATGTCATGTATTCCTACTTATATGCTAGACTGCCTGAGATGCATAAAATTTTACTTTTAAAGAGCAAAATGTGTTTCTGTGAGGTTTCTTGTGCTTTCTTGTGCTTTTCATGCTGTTCTACCATTTATCCTTCTGCTTGCTTAGCATCCTTCTCGGTGTTGTGTGCTTGTAATTATGGTAAAGCAGCTGCATGTTGCTGGGTTACTGCATTTGAGTAGTCCTAGTATATACTGAGAATGTTTCTGGTTACTATTCTGATAGACCTAAATACTTATTTTCTTTTCATCCATTCTACATCACAAAATGTTAGCTAAAAGAAGAAAATGCTGTATGTTGTTAAACTCGACCATTTAGAAGTTAGTCCTGCAACACAGTGGATTTTATCATATTTTGTTATGAAATTTTATTTCCAATCCTATATTTATTTCATGGCTTCATGGCAAAAGTGCACATTAGAGCTGACATGGGTCTACCACCAAAACTGCATTCTCATGTTGAATAGCTTCCTGTTCCCCTTGCAAAATTTAGCACTCTTAATTTTAACAGTGTGGTGACAACATCATGCTGTGAGTCTGCTAGTCTGTCTCAATGTCAGCCCATGTTCAGCCATAGCAGAGCCTGAGTTTAGGCAATAGAATTAAAAGGAGGAGGATAAATTTAATTTGGTATTAATGTTAGCCGTGCCAAATTCTAGTTAACTTTTATTAAGATTGCATAATACATAAAAACAAAAGCAAAACTAAGACTACCATAGTAAATTATCAGCAAGTTGCCACAGTAATTATAAACTACATTGGCTAAATGCACATTAGTTGAACTGGCATAAAATAAAAATACAAAAGTTATATAATAATATTACTCATTATCCTTATGGAGAGTAGCTGCTCATGGTTATAAAAGCACTGGCATTCCAGGCATTTTTCACTTAGTGCCTCCTGAGAATTTCCGACCAAACATTATTTTGAGTAGAATTGCTGGTGAATTCCCTCTTTCATACAGCATTCTTGTTCAGTCCCTTAAGTGATAAAGTTGAGAGATATGTTTACACTAAGCAGCGAGAAGAACCTAGTTTGCTGATTTTGCAATTTTATTGTGTCAATATGAAGGAGAATGTTGTTCTTTCCAGAGTGGCTTCATGATAGGAGAAATGTATAAATGAGCTGCAAGAGCAGCTATAGTAGATGCTAACTCGAGCGACTATTTTGGCACAAAAAGAAACTGAACTCAAAATGTGATGTGAAAAACTAGAGGTTAACATTAAGTTGTCTTTGAAGGACAAGATAGCAGTTCAGGAACAACTTAGTGAAATAAAGGCAGAAGAACAAAAAAAGAAGAATAGAGTTAGTGAACTAGAAGCTAAATTGAAAGCAGCTGATGAAAACTTTCAGGTTGACTTCATGATTTAGATAGGTAATTGAATGAGATCATGGCCTCCATCTGAGAGAATTTAATTTCACCCCGAGCATATTATTTCATGCATATATCATCTTCTCTTTCTCCTTTTCCACAGCATTTGAAGAGCTTGAGAAGGCTCTTAGTACAGCCCAAAAGACTGAAGAAGTACGTAAGAAATTACAAGCAGAAATGGATGAAAAGATCAAGGCTGTAGAAAAAGCGAGTGAAGAAGAGCGTGTGAGCCTTCAGCAAGAGTTAACAAGGGTGAAGCAGGAGGTGGTTAATATCATGAAGGTAAATGGATATCCTGAATTGCCATACAAATGGTAACATTTCAGTATAAAGTTTGAATGCATCATGTTAATTTTGGTAAAGTTTAACTTCCCTGTGTTTTTAAGTGTTGGGCAGAGAAGTATAGTGTACTAACAGTTTTACAAACCCGTGTAAATTTTATCAGCCCCACTCATAACTAGTGGCCAAGGATTCTGGCAGCTGTAGTCTAGAACATCTGGAGTGTACCCAGTTGCCTATTCCTGAATCTTAGGTAATGTATGCAAGAATGTGTGTTTTCCTATGCTTCTTTCTTTGTTGCAAAACCTAAATATAATAATATGAATTGTTTGATTTCTTATAAAAGAAGAAAAGACTGGTGGATGCTAAAGTACTCTGTTGAATCCTGCTGTTAAGAAACTTCCAGTAATATATGCAGGTCTATGAACACTTTCTTCAGTGTTGTACTCAGTGGGAGTTATTTCTGAGCAATATATAAGATTGCTCTGTTTGGTTGTAATCCTGTTTCCATACAGTGTAGTAAGTCCCACTGAATGAAATGAGCTGTGCTGTAAGAGCATACTATGAACTTAATGGCAAGTGTTTAAGCCATCCTTCACAAGCCTAGTGCTCTCCAAATGTTTTAGACTACAGTTCCTATCAGTGCCTCCCAGCATGTGCAATAGTCACTCATCCTAGAGTTCTAGTCCAAAATATCTGGAGAGCACCAGGTCAAAGAAAGCTGCTTTAAATGTTCATAGTACAATTGTGTACATGTCTATTCATAAATCCTAGTTAGGTAATGATGTATATAGCATTGCAACCTTAGATGCTTTAATTGAAATTCTTTTTGTGGGTCTGTAATGCATCAAGTAGTGTTTCTTACACAATAGCAATGGGCTAGATCCACATATAAATCATATTAAAGCAAACCTGGTGACATCAACTGGGATTAGGTTAGTATTGATTAAGTACAGCTAAGCCTTGATTCAGCTGTGTTATATCAGTCACAGTTGTGTTTTCTTACTCTTAGTTCCATTTGAGAAATAACACTCTTGTTTCTTGGGACATCATATATTTGTGGTTTTAAATTTGTAGAAATCTTCAGAAGAACAAGTTACTGAGCTGGAGAAGTTACATAAAAATGAAATAGCTAGCAAAGAACAGCTGTTAAATGATAGACTACGGGCTCAAGATCAGGCATTCCAGGAACAACTGAAAGCAGCTCTTGTAAGTATCTTGGAGGGCTGAAGCAGACATTTCTTGGTTGACATTACTGTTGGTGAATGTGAATAAGGTGTGCAGAGAAGAACATTGTGTGCACAAACATGCACTTTTGAGAACCTACAGAGAGACTATACACTACAATGTGTATTTATTTTGAAGACATAAATGTATGCTCTGTTCAGCAGAGCATCTAGGGCAGTTCACAAATGCAAAATAACCTTTAAAAATAAATGAAGAAACAACATAATTAAAATTTATAAAAGCATTAGAGACAGAGAAGTCTTTCCTGACATCAACATGATAACAGTGCTGGTTGTTACCTGGTTGGCCTTCCTAGGGAAGATTGCCACCACTCAAAAGGCTCTTTCAGTAGTTACTACCCACCTTATCTTGTTAGGGACACATGGGGGAGAATGTTTGAACATGACCTCAATACATGGACAGGTTGGTATGAGAACAGGTGTTTCTTCAGGTATCTGAGGCCTTAGCAGATTAGGACCTTAAGAGTAATCACCAGCAGTTTGAGCTATGCTTAAAAATGGACTGGAAGCTAGTGAGTTACCAGTGAGATACGTTTTGACTGACTGTTCCCAGTCAATAGCTTGAATATGCTGTTTTGAACTAACAGCATTTTATTTAAAACCAGCATTACATACTACATATTCATTGCAGGTGTCCAAAATTCCCAAATTCTACCCTAACCTTTCACACATTTGGTGGATTTTTGAGATAATTTTGTTTAACTAAGTATGTGTGTTTGTTTCTTTGTTTGTTTGGTGGTGGTGGGGTTTTTCTTAGCATTCCCTCCAAAGCTTTATGTATAGAAATACATAAGGTAGAGGTTTCAGAGAGAAATTGTTCAGATTTCACTGTTTTGTGAAGCTGAATCTGAGGTCTTGTATATGTGTAATAAGGGCAAAAAGCAGGCAGATAACTCACAGGGAACCTGGTTGATTTCTGCGTAGCTTATTCATAGGTATTGAGCCTATCCAGTCTTTGCTTGCAGCCTTATAATCTAAAAAGATTTAACAGACAGGGAAAAAGGGAAGGAAACAGTACACCTAAGTAGTCTCTTAGCCGGACCTGTAGAATGGCCCTGTTTCCCCCTCATCTCCATCTGTCATCTTCCTTTCTACTGCCTGCTGGAATGGCTACTGGTGGTGCCAGTTGAGGGATAAGGAACCTTCATGAGACAAATACTTCAACAGAGCTGGTGAAATGGCCCTACTTCTCTCTCATTTTCCCTCTGCAATAATATATAATAAATAAGGTTAGGGAACTAGATTTGTCAGCAGATTATTCTCATTATGGTTGCTGCCATTTATTCAAATTACAGTTGTCTATATATAGAAACATACCATTCATGTTCCTTGCTACTGGTGAAAATCTTAAAACCATGTGAGAGATTTTTAATCAATCAGATTGTTTGATATTGAAAGTAGAAATAAGCAAGAACAAACTAATACTTACAACTGATAGATCAATGACTATATGGTACTTTTTTAAAAAAAAGTCATAATTCTTGACACAGGAAAAGTGCCAGAGTGAACATCTACAGCTCATACATGAAAAAGAACAACAAGAGTCATTAGCCTTAGAAGAACTGGAATTGCAAAAAAAGGCAATTCAGTTGGAGTGTGACAAAAAGCTTGAGGAAATGCAGCAAGAAGTAGAAACCTTCAGAACTGTGAGTAAACTGTAAAACTCTTTGCTGTTTTCTCATTTGAGTCAGAATGGTAAATGTTTGGGTCTCCTGTAATTTGAAGATGGGCCTCAGCTCCAGAGGACAAGTTGAAACACCTGCAATGCAGGAGAGAATCATGGGAAACACTTAGCGCAGTGGCACAAAATACATGTGTTGTACCGTGAGGAAAGAAATCTGATCTAGAAGTCACTTATGCTAGGAAAATGCAGTTTATATTACTGGTAGTATCAGATAAATAATCAAGTTGAATAAATTTGTTTATTCAAAGAAAATTATGTTCATGCTGTTTTCTTCTTAACAGAGAATTCTTGAATTGGAAAGTTCCCTTGCAAAGTGTTCACAAAATGACAAAAACCAGACAGAAGAAATGAATGTTCAGTTAGAATCAGAAAAAAATAAGCAGAATAAAGTAATTGCTGCTATGGTTGAAAAACATAAAGAAGAGCTTGAGAATATGAAGCGGCAAGAGCAGCAAATTTGGACAGAAAAACTAGAAATGCTAAGGCAGGGGCAACAGTCAGAAATACAGAAATTGGAAAGGCATCATGAGGAAGAAATAGCTAAAATTTTGAAAGAGAAAGAGACTTTATTTCATGCCCATATAGAAGAGATGAATGAGAGAACTTTAGAAAAGCTTGATGTGAAACAGACAGAGCTTGAAGCACTCTCTTCTGAGTTATCAGATACATTAAAAATCCGTCAAGATCTTGAACAGTGTCTGTCAAAGTTAAAAGATGAAGCAGATAAAGCAAAGCAAGAATTTGAGGCAAAACTGGATGAGCAGAAGAATCATCACAAAAAACAAGTTGAAGCTATCTTTAAAGATCAGGAAATATCTGAGAAAACATTGAAAGAAGAAATAAATCAACTCAAGCTACTCTTGGAAGCAAAAGAAAAATGCCAAGAGGAATTGGAAGATCAGTTGAAAAAAATAAAAGAAACTTTAGTAAAGACTGAAACTGAGAGTAAAAAGATGTCTGCAGACCTAGATGCCCTTTGTCAGTCCAGACAGGACAGTGTCAAAGAACAGGAAAGTATATATGAACAGAAGTTAACAGATTCACAACAATTGTTAGCAGATGTAAAAGCTGAAAAATCACACCTTGAAGAACAGATTGTAAAAACTGAAACTCAACTGAATGAAATCAAATCTGAATTAGACTCTCAGATATCCCAGGTAAATGATTTGAAATGTGAACTGGAAGAGCAAAAGAAAAAAAATACTCAGAATATTTCCTCTGTGACAGACCAATTTGAATCACAGTTAAGAGACCTTAGAGAAGAGATCAGTCAGGCAAAGAGTCGGTTTACTGATAAAGAAAATGAGCTTGCACAAATGAAGGGGCTGTTGAACCAACAAATTGATGAGCTTAAGCAGCACTTATCGGCCAAAGAGGAGGAAATGAATGTTTTAAAAGGTGAATATGAAATCAGATTAAAACAACAAGAGATAGAAATAGAGAAAGTTAATGAAAAAGCAAAGGAGATGCAAGCAATGTTGAAGAAGAAGCTTTCAGAACAGGAAGCAAAACTGAAAAAGGAGATTGAAAATAAACAATTGGAGTTTAGTCAGAAAGAGAAGCAGTTCAATTCAAAAATACTGGAAATGGCTCATGCCAGTTCAGCTGATGTAAGTGATGCTGTATCAAAACTGGAGAGAAATCAGATAGAACAGCTAGAAAGCCTTGCTGAAATTCATAGACAAGAGCTAGAAGAAGTTGTAGAAACATGGAAAAAGAAGATGAGTCAGCAGGCTGAAGAACTTCAGGAAAAGCATGAAATAGAGTTACAAGAAAAAGAAAAGGAATTAGCAAATGTGAGACAGAAAGTGACCACCTTAAGTGCTGAAAAAGAAGGGAATAATGTAGAAATTACTAGGTTAAAGGAAGAACAGACAAAGTGGGAGAAATCTATAAATGAGCTGCAAGACCAGCTGCAGCAGACACTAACTGAAGTAACTGCTTTGACACAGAAAGAGACTGAACTGAAAATGCGATGTGAGAAACTAGAGGGTGACCTCAGTTTGTGCTTGAAGGAGAAGATAGCAGTTCAGGAACAGCTTAGTGAAATAGAGGCAGTAGGAGAAAAAGAGAAGAATAGAGTTAGTGAACTAGAAGCTAAATTAAAAGCATCTGATGAACAGTTACAGGGTTTGAAATTATCAAATGCAAAAGAGCATGAGAAATATGAGAAAATTATTGATGCCAAAGATTTAGAGCTTCAACAACAAAAAGCTGAATTTGAAAAGTTTGTAAAGGACTCAGCCACACAGTTGGAGGACTATCAACAGAAAGCGGCAGCTTTGTTACAAACAAAAACTACTGAGCTGTTTGAAAAATTCAATGAAAAGATTTCTCCGGTAATTAGTAGAGTTGTACATTGTCAGCACCAGGCAACAATAATTAAAGAAACAATATTAAGGAAAACCTGTCAAATTCTTGACCTCAAAGCTCAACTTAAACAAATAACAGAGAGTCATGATATTTTAACAAGCTGTTTCCAAGAATCAAAGCAACACTTGCAGGAAAAGGAAAACTTGATGATATCTATGAAAGTTGACATGGAAAGGCTTGTAACAGAAAAAGAGCAATTGCGAAAAGAAGGAGGGCACCAGCAGAAAGCAGCAACAGAGAAGGAAACTTGTATCACAGAGCTGAAGAAAGAATTATCTGAGCATATTAATCTAGTCAGTTCCATGAAGAAGGAGGTGAATGAGAAGACACAGGAGATCACAGACCTTAACAAACTTGTCAGTGAATTAAACCTGAAACTTGAAAATAACAGTTCAGAAAAAGATTCTGCCACAGCAATGGAAAACAAACAACTCAAAGAGAATCAGCTAAAGTTAATGAATGAAGTGCAGGAATTGTCTTCCAAAGTTGAAACACTGGCTCAGGAAAAAGCAACAGCTCTTGAACAAGTAGATCACTGGATGAACAAAATGTCTGATTGGAAGAAAAAAGCCCAGTTAAGTTTTACACAGAACCATAATACTATCAAGGAGTTACAAAACAAAGTTGAATTGAGTAATAATCAAGCTATTGAAAAAGAAGAAGAATTGACTAGAATGAAGGAAGAATGTGATAAACAAACCAAGTATGTAGAACATTTGAAAGGCTTAATAGAACAACAGCAGAACAGAAGAGACAAACAGGACTCAGATTTGGTTGCTAAGTTAAAAATCCATACAGCAAGAATTGCTGAGCTAGAGGAACATATTGTTCGGAAAACAGCAGAAAATGATTCTTTAATGGATGAGCTCAAAAAGTACAATGAGCAAGACAGTAATCAGAAAGAACTGGCACAAAAGCTTGAACAAGCTCAAGAAGCAGTTGTAGAAAAGGATAATAGGCTTAAGGAGATGGAACAAGAAGTACTACTTTTTGAAAAGAAAATGCAGACTATGGAAATTGACCTTGAGGAAAAAGCAAAAGAATTTGAAGAAACAAAAATGTCTCTAATAAAAAGCAAAGAGGAAGAGTTAAAGGCTTTAGAAGACAGACTAATTTCAGAAACCACTGCTAAAATAGGAGACCTGAAAAAAAAGTCTGAACAAAAAATTGCTTCCCTTAGAAAGCAGTTCACATCTCAAATGGAAGAAAAGGAACAGCAGTATAGAGAAGATATGGAAAAGCAGTTACAAGAAAAAATGCAAGATAAAGAAAAGAAGATAATGTTTTTGGAAGAAAAAATTAGATTAATAGATTCAGAGTTAGAAAAGGAGACGGTACAGAAAATGGAAGCCATCAAAGTTTCCACAGATCAGGAAAACATACAACAGATGTATGAATTAAAAATTGATACATTACAAAAGGATTTATTGGAAAAAGAAAGACTGCTAAAGACCTTTGATGAAGAACAAAAGAAATGTGTTCAATCAAAGCTGGAGGTTCAGAATCAAAATGAGGAACTCTTCAAAAGGAAACAAGAAGACCAGTTCATAATTGAAAAGCTTCATCAAGAACTTGAGGAGCAAATTAAGAAACATGCCTTATTGCTTGAACAACACACAAAAGATGATTGTGACTTAGCATATCTCAAAGGAGAATTGAAAACCAAAGAACAAGAACAGCAAAATATGAAGAGTGTGATTAAAGACTTGCAAAATGAACTTGAAGAAAAGGAGAAAGAAGGAAAGTCTTTGCAACAAAAGATACACAGTTTTGATGAGGATGCCATTAAAGAGAGAGAACTGCACAAAATTGAGATGGGTGAGTTGACTGCAAAATATGATGAGAAGTTGCAGGGACTACAGCAGCAGCTAGATGAAAGAACTAGCCATATAAAAGTTTTGGAAGAAACCTCAGAAGAAAAGACCAAATCAGTCCTTGAGCTTCAGAAACTGCTTGATGAGATGCAGACCCAGCAAAAGGATTTGCAAGGTAAACTGGAAATGATTGAGCGGGAGAAACAGAAACAGCACAAAGAACTGATTAAGCTGCAGAAGGATTTGCGTACACTGCGGAAGGAGCATCAGCAAGAACTGGAGATACTGAAGAAAGAATCTTTGGAAGAAATGGAACAAAAAATAAAGTAAGTTTTCATAACTCCTTTTAACATTGCCATTCACCACTCATATGAATACTACAGTTGTGTGAAATAATAACATTGGCTTTACCCAATTTTACATCCAAACAAAAATACTTCCACAAAAATTGAAAACTTGCTGTAAGAATATATTGTCAAAGTCTTGGTCAAGTTCATTGGAAATGTTACCTTCTTAAGTGCGCACTCCCTATTCCTGTATCAGAGCACAAATAGGAATTAATTTTCAGAGACTTTAGAGATGTAGGAACACTTTTTTTTGGGGGGGGGGGGGGCATCAGGATCTTGCCAGGTTCACAAGTTTGGCTCCCTTTTGTCAGTGTCCTTATCAATTTAATCCTCTGCTTTAGCTTTTCCTTGCTAGTGAATACATTTTTTAAAAATTGCTTCACAGACTACCCTAGTAATAACACCCTTCCCTGAAGCTTCTCTCCTACACTCACCAGCCACTTTGCATTCTCATTGCACCCCATCTTCATGTTTGTCAGTTCCCTCTACTGGTTTCTGTTGCACACTGACATAGAGACCAGTAACTTAATGTTGTAAGCCGCCCCAAGGCTTCGGCGAATGGGGCGGCATAAAAATGTTTTAATAAATACATACATACATACATACATACATACATAAAATAAAATAACGAAACAGAAGCAGTTTTCAAGTCAGAACAAGTCCTGAGTGGGTAAACATATTCCAGTTTGAAGGCAGAGCAGGGACTGAGTTCAAGATCAGTGCACAAAGCAGCCAAATTTTAAGGCGTGCAAATTAGATAGAACATTTAAAAATACGTATGTTTCATGAGAGAGCTATAAAACTTAGAGGAAGATGATGCAAAATTCCTAGGAGTAGACATTCATACCTGCACGTTTGTGCAGAACTGAAAACAAATTGTTACTGTGATCAAGGCATTCTTCTATGTCCTTTATTCAAAATTTCTATGAAAACTATTTTTAATCCATCTTGATGTGGCAGGTTCTGAAAAGATTGAAGAATAACAGCTGCACTGCTGAGATAAAAGTGTCCTGTAAAGTTGGGTTGTCAACTATGCTACCCAGTGTGAGTTGTTTATGTGACAAACCGTGGTGCACCTAACTCAGCTGATATAAACTTAAGGCTATGGCTTCCTTTATGGGTCTGATACATTTTGTAATTGGTTCCACTTCTTCTGCCTTCATCTTTCTCTAGCATTATTGTCTTCTCCACTGAGTCTTGCATTCTCTTGATGTGCCTGAAGTATGACAACTTCAGTTTCATCATTTTTGCTTCCTAAGACAAAGCTATCTATTAGCTAATTTGCATATAGTTGGGAGAAGAAGAAGGGGAGGTTGTGCAAATATAAGCGCTGGGAAATAAACAGAGGAAAATTGTGCACCAGCAGTAACAGAGCAATTAATGCACAAAATGCCCTTCTCAGCTGTTAGATTTGCACAAATTTATTAGTCCAAGATCAATGCACAAATGTTCCCGACAGTTTTTCTTAAAAAAAAAAAAAAACCCTAAGAGTGGCGGAACTGGATGGAAAAATGGGGTACAAGACCAAAATTCACATTGGTTCTTCCAATGGGGACCCCATTCACTTGGTTCCATGCAGCTGCATACTCTATTTTTTAAAGAACTCTCAGGAAACTGCAATAACTGCATGGGTAAGTATGCCAAAGTAGAACTGTGCTACTGGTGGGAATTAATATCTCCCCTTTCTGGCTTAGATTCAGACTTGGGGAAGTGTTGAAAAGCTGGAATACACTGAGAAATATCAGTTCAACAATTACAATCAAGAGGATTAGATTGCTGAGTGTGAGATACTGTGTCTCCCTGCTCACATTTTTGCTGTACCTGCTTTTTCTGTTTTCAGGCCTTTTCATGTCATATATAGGTTTCTCAGTTTCCTTTGGTTTTAGTGTTCCCCTTGCCCTTGGCCAGTGTGTGCAAATTTGCCTGTAGGAGATCTTGCTATGCTAATCCTTTGTCTGTTACTAGCTGTGCTTTTTGCTCACCTTGACAGCTGAAGGCTAAAAGGACCATGTCAAGGCAAGACTACCCATATTGAAGAGCTCTGAGTATGCATTTGTGAAAGACCTGCAAAATAATAATAGTATTAAAAACAACAGCAATATCAACAACAACTATAATGAAGATATTTGCACAATTTTCTATGAGTAAAAGGAATTATAATAAGGTGGCAAATGACTGTCAGGTCCTCCAAAGTGCTGTTTGGGAATTGGTGGGATATTTGTCCCTGGTGAGAAAGGCAGTATGGATGAAACTATAGATTGTTGGGCATGGGGGTTTGATGCTCTTGTGAGTGGTTTTATAACTGATCCCCACAATCCATGATAAATTTGTCATCCCACATTTGGACAACACAGCAACCTATTGTGTGTATGAGAACCCTTGGAGCAAACCATGGGTGTTCATGGTGGCTTTTTTCCAAAAATTAAGCTACCCCACAGAAACCATTCTAGTTTTGCACAATATGAAAACCCATCATAGGTAGTTGCCCACAACAGGTTGTTTTGTCATGCAAATTAGGATAGTATTTCAGTAAAAGAAAAGTCCTTTAATACTTTTTCTTAGAATATGTGAGAAGAATCTAGAAATTTCTTTGTAGGAAATTAATATGTATTTTAGTTTATCTTTGAAACTGCCACAACTCATGACTTCTTGCTTTGCTGTGTCTTTATAGATATGAACAGGAGGACATTGAATTGAAGCACAACTCCACGCTAAAGCAGTTAATGAGGGAATTCAATACTCAGCTGGCACAAAAGGATCAGGAAATAGAAACAGCTGTAAAAGAAACTATCAGTGAGTTGGAACAATACCTTATATAAATTTTGTATGACTATTCTGGGAGGGTTAGCTTAGAGGGAAAACAGGCATACATTTGGAGAACAGCCATGATTTTTGTGTGTTTGCTTTTTCTGTTCAACTAGAGTTCTATGGGGCATACTAAAGGGAAGCTTAGATAACCAGGCTTGAACTTTCTGCCACTTCTGCATTCTATCCTTAGGTTTGAATTCTCATACAGTATTGTATCTTTGGGTATATACTTTATATTCAGGTATGAACATCCATTATAATTTCTGGAAAAAATAGGAATTATGCAGAAATTTCAGAAAAAGATATAGTCATAAATTTACAGCTATTGAAATAAACCTACATTACCATGTTCAGTGTTCTGTTGTTTAAAGTGTACATTCCACTTCTCTTCAAAACTAGCTTATAAATGTGGGTGTTTAGTTTGCAGCCCTGTTCTTACAAAGAGGCATTCTATTTCCAGAAATATGCACCATAGTTTCACCTCTGACCAATTAACACCTGCTATGTCACTATAAGAGGTGGCTAAAATTCATATTATTCATGTTTGACTCTGCTTTTTTACTGGAGCTAAGAATGAATAAGTTTGGGTGGACCTCTGCTTCATTTTGGATGATTCCCTCCTCCTTCTGTACCTCCTCCTTTATTGCTTAGGAGACTACATCTGGCCTCCTGAGCAGCTTTTCCGTGGCTGCATGTGGGAGGAAGAAACTTTCCTTCTATGAATATCTTATATTAACTTACCTTGGGATATCAATGTGTTCAAGCAATCTTTCCTTGGGTCTTCTAGGTTGCTTTTTCTGCTTACAAACAGAAAAAGCATCCTCATTCATCTTGAGGATGGCGCCAGATTGGCCCAATATAAAAGAACATATTAGTAGTTGTATTGGTAGTTGCACAATAACAGGAGGAGGAAGAAGGGATAATGGATTAGCAGCTGGATTCTTTCTGAACTTTCTGAGTGAAGTTGTCTGCTTATATGCTACTTAAGGTGCATCTCATTTCCTGCTTTTTCACAACATTGGCTTTCACAGTTCACTATTGAGCCAATAGGTTGCTTTTGCCTGAAAGAAAATACATTAATTTCATTTGGGCATTTAAAAAGATGCTAGTTACTTTGTCTTTCATGAATTTCTCTCTTTAGGGTTTCCTGTGGGACAGTGAGTGAGTGTTCACTTTTCTCCAGCATGTGTAGAATGTCTTGCTGTAATTTAAGTTTTAAATTAACAGCACAACCATGTATTGTATTAACACTGCAGACCATTCTTAAACAGGTAAAGCCCAAGAAGTTGAATCTGAACTGATGGAAAGCCACCATGCAGAGATAACTCAGTTAAATAAAAAGATCCTAGAAAAGGACGATGACCTACGAAGGACAGTTCAAAAGTATGAAGAAATACTTCAGGTATATATTGTACTACTTGATTTTTATATTTTGCAGATCAGAATGTAATTTTATACTGTACTATTGCACCCATAACACTAGCCCCATCCCCAATCTTCGACGCAAGTTTTGTGCAACTATTAACGTACAAGCATCTGGAACCATTTTAGCCTGGGTTGAAGCCTTGTATGGGAAGGAATTGGCTTTGATGTCCTGATGAATGATGGCCTTTATCAGGAGAAGGGCTATTTTCCCACCTGGCCAGAGGAAGAACAAGCCAGGTCATAGTTTCACTTTGGCAGATTACTGCCTTGTGATGATGCATGACCCAATAATTGTGATTTAAAGTAAACATCAGTCAACTACTAAACACACCAGCTACTTATAGACTTATTTAGCAAAATGAAGTTTATGTTAAGCTACAATTCCAAGTTTGCACATACGCTAAACCATACAGGGATTCTAGGTCATTTGTCCTTCTGGGTCTGTGGGAGGAGAAGAGCACTCAGTTTCAGCACTTAGCACAGGATCATTCTTGCTTGTGCATATAGTGCTAAACTAAGTTTTAGCCATAGTGCATGCAAATTAGTCAATGATGGTGACTTGGTAAAATCTTTCCAATAAGCCGCACTCTGATAAATTAAAACTAGGCAATAACTGTTCAGATAAATGCACTGCTACTTAAAGTTAGGGCACAAGCTTTAGTTTGTTAACTTGCAGATTAATCAGCTAAGTTTTAATTGGTGACCTGTGCACCTGCTTTGTTTTGATACTTATCTGTTTTAACAAATTTAAAAATTTGAAAGATGGCCTTTTAACAATGAATTTGTAAGTTGTATTATGCTGAAATAGCTCAGCAGGACTCTGTACTAAAACTGTGGTAACTACAAATTTATTTAAATTTTATCAGTTAGTAATAATCTGCTACAAATAAAGGTGTCAGCACAAAGGGTTGATCAGGCAGTTATTGCAAAATGATAGGATTTGTGTTGATAATTCATGGCAGCTACATTTTTAGGGGTACTGCTTATTGCCCACAGGATTTTATCCCTCTAATGCAAATATTTGGTTGTTATTGGTAGCTAACTTTAATACTAATTATTTTGCCAAAAATAATTTGAGATACCATAGGCTATTGAAAGAAATGGTTTTTTGTAAGACTTCAGCTTCTGGACTCTTCTGAACTGCCAACTAGTCATTTACTTTTAATGAAACACTCTGGTTGATCTATCTAATTAAATGACTTGCAAGTCGGTACAACTGGTAATTTATATTGCCTTTGATCTTGCAAATTGTACCTGAAATATGCTTAAAGTGTGTGCAGGGGCAGAGGGAAAGTTAGAGAGACTTACACGGCTTGTAGGATCATAGTTTAGGTTACCACATGAGTTAGAATATAAAGAATATGAATACAGGTGAGAAATCCTACATTTTTCTTGTAGTCTTTCACACCCGTAGGTAAAAGGGAGCATCTAGAATATAGACAATTAGATCTTAATGATGCTTATCATTGGATTTGTTAAATGGTGAGTTTGGTGTGCTTATTTGATGGTATTGAAAGAAACTTTTTACTAAATAAGGAAGGAATAGTGGATGGAAAAAGTTGTCTCAATCCCTTCTTCCATGGAGCTTGGCTTACTTCCTAGAGACAATGATATTATTTAAATAAACTATTGAATGTAATTGCATGTAAGTTCTTCACTTCATGGCATCTTTTGTTTCCCAACTTTTATTTGTGACATAACTCTTTTTCTCTGGAGTAACTCTGTTATGTGCAAGTAAGAAACTCAAGCTATTGGCCACACACAAGAGAAAGACGTGGAGGTAGAGGCCGATCACTCCAATCCTGTTTCAGCTTGAAAGCTGAATTCTCTTTCAGAGAAGCTCAGAGTAGCTACTTTCCAATGTTGGGCAGGGCAGAATGCACAAGTGATGAGCCCAGAGATGGTGTTCTGTTGGTTGGGACCTTGATGCTACTCAGCTCCTGGACTTGGACGCTTAAGAACACCCTATGAAACAGCAGTAGTATGGCGGAAGTGACCACATCTCCAAGTCTGTATTTTTGTTACACACTTGCTTTAGAGCAAGACTCAACATTGTTTTTAAAGAAACAAACATAGGTGGTGAAATCCATAATTTTTTCCACCCAATGTGGTGATAGTAATGGAATAATGTATGTTGGTTCTCTCAAATATGGGTTTAGGAGCAGAACATATTACAAGAACAAGCCCATGAACTATATAGGAAAAAACGAAGCACACTGAGAAGACACATTTTCTTCATATGGTATTATAGTTTTAATCACAAGTTGGGAAATAGAGTGTATCTTGAAGCACCCCTAATGTGTTAGTAATAATGCATTACATTACTGATTTTTGTAAGAAATAGCAAAAACAACTTGCTGGGAATCTTCTGCAAAGGGTTACAACATACCTTTTCTCAAACTGTACATCTCTACGTCTTCCTATTGTACAGATTTTATAAATAGTTTTGTTGGGAATAAAGGCTGAGTTACAAGATATAAGCATCTTTTTTTTAAAAAAAGAACATTCACTATTCTTAAAGTCCACAATTTCTCTTATTTTTCATGAACAAACAAAAGGCACTTGGGAAACCAAATTCCCCCATTTCCCCCCAAATTCACTTGCTTTCCCCCCAGTCCTTCATGCCTATAGATCTGACTTGATTAAGGAAGGGTACAGAATCTTGGCCCTTATTTTTTCAGTGCTTCCAGTTGTCTCACAAACGTCTCACTAATTTCTTGCATCTTCCTGTGGTAATTCTGCACCTGTTTCTGGCTTTTGATATTTGAATACATGTATAAATTCCATAAAAGATTATTGTCCTGCTTGGCAGTTTTCACAGTGTAGTTATTTTCATTCAATAAAGTGTAATAAGAACTGGCTGTATAGTTCTAGAGTTTTAATATAGAGAGAAGAATGATTTTATGAGGTTTCCTTGGTACATTTTTGTGCATGAATTAGAACTTCCACAGACAAATCAATTTATGTAGTTGGATTTTAAAAGTTTGGACATTAAGGCTGCATTGCAGCACTTATTTACAGACACATGACTAGGGCTTCTGCAGTTGAAGATGATGGAAGTCAGTCTGCATCCTATATGTGGCATGTGGTATAGACATGAATGGATTTCTTTTTTTATTCTGGAGGCACGAGAGGAAGAAATGACAGGAAGGGTAACTGAACTGGAGAAACAGCTGGAAAAATTACAAGAGGAGTACAAACAAAGGCTGGCAGATGAAGAAAGCTGGAACAGTGGTGAAGTGAGTTGGAAAACATAATTTCATGTATTTTACTCAGGGACGTGCTATAACTATTAATTTGTATCATGTTGGACTTACGAGATGAATATTCTGCATGATCAATACGGATCATGTATTGATTTTTTAACCTTTGTTCGATCTAGCTATTGTAAAAGTGCTTACTGGGGTTTTAAAAACCATGTCTTCTTCCTGTCATATTTGAAACTCTAGTTCTGTGCCACAAAAACTGGATAACCTCAGGAACTGAACTATACTTAGCTGCCCTGGTTTTATATCAACCATAAGCCAAGTTTTTAATTTGTTCTGATTTTAAGATATTTTATTGCACTTTTATTGTTTTTATGGATTGTTGCCCAGAGAACTTCAGCTGTGGGGTGATATAGAAATGAAAATAAATAAATAACTAGTGATTTAGGGTTTGCTTCATAAGCTACATTTCATTGAAATGCAGTGGCAATTTAATTACACGGGTCCTAATGATTTTAATGGAAACTAAGTGCGACTATGTTAGTATGGATCCAGCGAATAAATGTTTCTTTTGTGTATCTCTAGTACACATGAAGTATGGTTTCAGGTTGACTTCACACATTAGAATATAAACTCCTCTGTGAAAAGCAGAATCTTTCTATGACTTACAGATATTGTTTATTTTCTTGCATTACACTGGAAGCATAGTAAAAATATAATTCAGCTTGGACTTTATCTCCTACATCAGTGTAAGGTGCAAATCTTCATATGATTTAACATAGTCTGTAAATAGATGACTTCATAGGTGAAAGAGACCTGCCATTTTCCTAAGCTGGCATTCAGGAGTATGTCTGATTTTTCAGTAGAAAACAAATTTCTGTCACCCCATCCACACCTTTGAGAAATCAGAGATGAAATATTTGGAACAGATGTGGGCACATAGTGTATTTTATATTGGTTTCAATGTTTTTATTAGTAATTGGGCTTTTCATTGTATTTCAATCTGTACTTTATTCTATTTTATATTTTATTTTGTATTTTGTTGCTGTAACCCACCCAGGCAGCCATATGGCTAATGAGGCATGTTAGAAATTTAATAAAATAAAATAAATAGTTTCCATAGCAGTGAAGGCTAAGCTAGTAAATAGGGACAATTGTCACTCATACCAAACCCACAGTTCAAATGAAACCTGCACTGTGCATACAAATTTGACTGATATTGTAAGAATTGTATTAGATGATAGCCAGTTGTGAACATGGAAGGCAACATGGCACTGCTGTACATGTGGCCATTCTAGCAGGGATAATGTCCACAACAGTCTCCTCCTGGTAACTGGTAATGCTTTGCTCCCAGTTACCGTTACAACCAGGGCTGGAAGGCTGTGAGTAGTAAGCTTGCGGGTTGACCTTGTGTTTGTTCACTGTATGCCAGTTTCAAGGGGAAGTTACTTTATGCATAGAGTTCAGGCATTGCTGCACAATCATCCTAAGCTCTTTAAGTATGCAAGACCTCAAATTGCTGCCCAAGTGCCAAGTACTGCTGGTTAACTATTCCCTATGAAAGTTATAGATACATCATATGATTTGATTAGGATTTATTTCCATTCATTATCCACTGTCCAAGATACTTAAGTTACTGTTCCTTAAGTTATGGAGCTTCTTTGCACTTAATGACAGCCCACTAGTTTAAAACAGATGAGTTGTTGGGGATTAATGGGTATGCTGACTCCAGTATAACTACTTCTGCTTTTGCCCCACAACCCATCAACGCCTAAACAACCCATCGGTCCAGATTTGGATACCACATTCCACATCTTAACAATAAGTTAATTGTGTGCTGTGGGGTGAACATGGAAGGGCAGTGGGCAGTCTGCCAGTTCATGCTACCAGGTAGCTAACTGAACCATTTTGCAATAAGCTTATGAAGTACAGAATTATGTAGTGGCATGTTAACCGACTTGTATAGATGATAAATATTTTTAATGATTTCTGTTCTATAGCTTAGAGAAAATATCTTACTAAATGGTCTTATTTTCTTTATTGTTTTAGATTACAATAGCAGAACTTCAGGTAAGATTGGTTCAGTGAATACATTTATGTTGTTTTCTACTAAAGTAAAATCACTAGACATTTTCTTACGCTGTTGGCTATAATATTGATCAAAGATACCAAGATAGCTTTTGCATTCTGTGTAAACATCATGACCACTATGAGAATAGAATATTAAACTAGCTGGACCTTTAATCTGATTCAGTGTGGCTCCTCTCATATTCTTGTATTGTGTTATCCTGAGGTGTTCATGTTGTGTTTCAGGCCCAGCTAGCTCAGAAAACAACACTTGTGAATGATTCCAAACTAAAGGAACAGGAATTCAAAGAACAGGTAAGGAACTGATTGGAAAAAGAAGGAGCTTGAACTTTAGTGCTTAGGTATATTCTACCTTACTTTAGGAATAATTTAGCATGGCTATAAAAGGACACTTAAAAACAGATTTCCCGCTCTTACGCAGCCTATTAAAAGGCTTTTAAAAGAAGAGAATGTCTTAAACATTCACACAAATCTGTGTGTAGCTTGCAAAACCAAGATCAGACTACAAAATGCAATTGTTTCAAACTAGTTTGAATGTCATTGCTACCAGCTATAGTTCTCTGCCCTGTGAAGGAAAATAAAATTCTCTGCACATTTTCAAAGTTGTAACCCTCAGGGTTCTTCAGGGAAAGTCTTGAATGGTAAACTGACTACAGGCCAGTTTAAGTTGTACTACAGCTTGTTTCCTTTCTCTGTTCATCATCCTGTAATCCAGAGTCATATGTTTCTGTAGCTGGCACACTGACTTCTTCTGTCCACAATCCACATTAATGCTAGTAGACAGAGAAGTTCGGCCTTTTGTGCATAAGGAGGTGTTGAAATAAATAAAACCTTTAGGAAGGGTAGTGCTTAAAAAAATCCTAGCATATTTGATCCTGCCCTTTCTCCAAAGAGTATACACAGCTACCTGAGAGACTCTGGATAAAGTCTATTCGGTAGATAGGTGATATTTGAACCTTAGTCCTAGCCCAAACTTCTAACCCTATACCCTGCTAGTTTTTAGTGTGCATAGCTGAGCCCTTATGAACCAGAAACAAGGAGGGTTCTTTTTCTTTTGGGTCACAGGGTTGGAGGAGAACATAGTTAGATAATTCATTTTAATTAGATATATTTAACTTTAATGGAAATAACACTCCATCTTTACTAATGTTAACCAGAATGTCTAATAAACATTAATATTATTGTAGTAGGTTTTGAAGGAAAAGATACAAAATACTTAAAATCCACAGTTAACGCAATTGAGGGGAAGGGGATTGATAACCTGGGGTTTTTCTTTAATGTTCCCTAAATTAAGAAGCATCAGTGTTGAAACATATTCCAAAGACATCTCAGTTCTGTTTATTTTATCCTCCTCATCCATCACTTTATTTTTAGATTCATACACTACAAGACCGGTTGAAAAATTATGAGAAGAGCATGTATGTCACAACAGTTGAAACTCCTTACAGAGGTGAGGAATGTTTATCTTGGCACTGAGCTACAGAATAAAGCCTATTTAGAGCTGCAATACTATGCATCTTTACTTGGGAATAACTCCAGTTGTTCTATTTCCTTGAGCTACAAATAGGTTAGCATTGAATGTTGTCATGGGACTAGAACTAATCACATTGTGCTAGTATAAACCAATACTTAACACAATGTAACTAGCACAAGGAGAAAAGGTGTTGATTTTAATACTTGATAATAGTGATATATTTGTAGTATTGTATTTCCCAGATACCCTCCTTTATGATATTGAAATGAACCATACAGCTCTTGCCATGCATCTGTGGTCCTGTTGGTACATTTTACTTAGACTATGTATTTTTTTTAAGGACTGCCCTAAACGTTTGCATATATTAGGTTAATATTATACTGAAATGTAGCTCTTTGGGATAACTATCAAGCTCTTTTCCTATATGAAGAAATATAAATGAAAAACCTTGCAATGAATTTTAAAATCCACATAGATTTTCTAAAATCTATAAATCTAAAGACTAGATGTTTGTTCACTTCCATTCATGGACCTTTTTGCATGTGTGTATACATGTTCTTCTTTGGAAACAAAATTATATAAATCCCACTAATAAAAACATAGTTCATTTTTTCAGTCATTTTCATTCCAAATAATTACACAATATGGAAGCTAGACGTTCACAATAGTCTGTTATTATGCATTGCTATATAAAAACTCTTGGTGTCATAGGAGTACTGGAATAAAGGCACTTGAGTAGCTAACCTTGATTAAAAGATGTCAGTCATGCTTTTCTAGAACTTGGAGATGCTCTAAGGCTGAGTTTCTATAAGTTTGGTGGAGCCCCAAACTTAGAGCCTGGTTTTTCAATAACTAACTAACTATTTACCATGTTTATCACAATTTGGTCACTGGGCATAAGTGTAAGTGTATTATTGCTTAAGTTTATTGTATAGATCTATATATAAAGATGTGTGTAAAATGCTGCCTTTTCTCTTTGCAGATATGAACCTCTGTCATTCAGATGTGTCTCTCTTTGGTGAACCAACAGAGTTTGAATACTTAAGGAAGGTGCTGTTTGAGTATATGATGGGCCGTGAGACAAAGGTATACCTCATGCTCAGTACACATAATTACAATGTTAAGAATAAATGTGAGAATGGCACCATTGCACAGATTGCAGTATTGCGAATCCCTTACATTATGAGTTAAAGAAGAGCTTACTTAAATAAATGCAGCATGGAGGGGATGGAGACTGCTTTCATCGTGACTTCAGTTTTAGGAGTGTGTTACAGTGGCTTTGAAATTGCTTAGGCAAATGACCACATTTTCAAATATAAAATAATCACTGTCATGTTTCTAGATGCCACACATACCATCATGTCCTACTGTGTTCTAGAATCAGAGTTATTACCTATTCAAAGGAATGTTATTTTTTAGTCTGTTAAGGCTTTTAACAGGCTCTAAGCTTTTAAGCTGTCTTAAGCTGTTAAATGTGAGCAAAGAGGGCTAGGCTACTGAGAAATACAAATATAAAGTGATCCTGCCCATTTGTTAAAAGATAATTTTATGCCTAGGTTAGGAAAAGCCAAACAGGATATAGTTAAATAAACAAAATCATGGTTTTCATGGTTAGGGCAAGTGCTAAAATGAAAATGCTTCTGAATTATTAATACTTCGGATCAGGGTACTGCTGAAGTTTTTGAATAAGTGTCACACAACCCTCAATGAAAATGTGTAGAATTATAAAACCCACATATAAGACTCATTACTCAGCTGGGCTTCAGTTTATCTGGACTTAAATTTCCATAGCTATTGTCCAGAATCTAAGCTAATCTTTCTCATATTTAAAGTACATGGTTTATTAAACTTGTTAAAACAGGTTGGATTCAGACAATTTGTGATACTTCCAAAGCTACTATTTTTCGTATGACTATGCATATGAAGATTAAGTAGCATGTTGTTGGATGCTTGTGATCATTATCCAGCCAGATAGAGTGTTTATTTGGAATTAACTTGCACCCTAATGTGTAGGTGTTCTGTATATTTTATGTCTGAATTATTTCTTAGTTGGTACACTTACGTTTGTTTGTTTATTTATTTTATTAAATTTTATTATATATATCTCCTGCCTTTTTTCTAACATAGAACTCAAGGCAGCTTGCATCATTCTCTCTTCCTTTCCATCTCATCTAATACCCAAAAGGCTTATGAAATTCATGCGACAGATAGCTGTGTAGATATTTACATCTAATTCTGTAAGAAAATTCTTTCAGGAATTGTAGTATCAGTCTGTGTTTTGTCTGGCTGTCTCTTATGTCTGGATTGTAGTACTAAAATGACAGGGATCATGATCTTAGTCTTTTGTTCCTTTTCATATTACATTATCCAAGATAACTAAATGTATACAAAGTTCTTCTGGGCGCCCTTGCACTAATTTTTCCACTGTGAATTGCTTTTATTGTTTAACTTGGGCATCGAGTTGAAATAATGCATTTAATTATTCCTATGGTTAACAAATGATCCAGTGACACTGTACATTCATCATCTTCTTAACTCTTTTTAGTTTTCCTGAGGTTCTGCTTGTGTACAGTAGCTTTTTTTTCCATTATGAACAGGACTGTCAGCAAAAAAGAGGCCATATTTCAGAGTTCCTGGCAAATTCAAGTTCATAAAACTTTCTGTTATATATTCCTTACTGATTGTTTGCTCTCTGCCAGAAATAGCAACCAGAAAAGATGTTATTTTTGAATTCAGCTTGTTTTTGATATCTAGCAACAGAGTACCCAGTTGCATCTGGACTATTGTAACAAACTATTTATGAAACTTTAAAGACATAAGGCATTGTTTGGAACTTGTAGTCAACATTAATTTTAAGCATAGTTGGCATATTAATAATATAAATCTATCATATATAGTTTAAATAATACTTGGACTTATCATAATTATACATGCTATTATGTTAACATCAGGTTCCAATATGGCTTTATGAAATGGAAAACAGATCTGCTGATTTCAGCAAGAAAGTAACTGAGATTAGTTTTAGTCACAAATATAAGTATTCATGTGACAAAATTACTGGACACAGTATGGCAAAGGTACAGCTGGAAATCTGTGCACACTTGCTTTAGTGAAGATCATACTGATATAAAAAAAGACTTGCTTTTAGATAAACATCCATAGGATTAGGTTGCATATCCTTTTGAAAACAGTAGATTAGGACTTAGTAATGATTAATTGAAAGCCATCTTGATTTTTAGTACACTTGGTCATGACTAATTTTTGCTGGAGAAAGTATAAGCTGGGAGAAAGTACATATTTGAGAACCTTAAATTCTGCTTAAATGTATCATTTCACAGATGCTGTTCTTTAGATGCCAGTTAGCCAAATGCAGCTCCAGATAGTGCAGTTACGTCCTCCATAGATGTTCATATGGTGGAAAGGCTCTTTTATCCAAGTTACCATTCACTTGCAGCTGCTGCAGCCCCCTTTTTTCTGACTTCACCTTCACCCTCTGTAGAGCATCCACAGCAGAGAAATATTACTGGGCTGAATTTACTAATTCTTTTTTAAAATATCCTACAGTTCAGGTACTTACTCTGTACTCAGAGTTGCTAACAAATAAAATACTCTATAAAATACATTTTGAAAGATAATACAGTATAATCAAATCAGAGATTGGTGTGTCATAAAACAAACAGCAAAAACATAGCTCTTCTGGAGAAATGAAACAGGAAGCTTTCTGCATTAGTGCAAACACCTTCAAAAGGGTGGAACAGTAAAGCCTTCTGAGTCATGGTTTAGGTAGGGCCATAGGAACACAGAAGCTACCTCAGCTACTGAATCAGACCATTGATCTATTTAGTATTGTCAGCATTGACTGCAGCTCTTCAGGGATCCAGCCAGGAGTTTTGCCAGGGTTTAAACAAGGGACCAGCTGAAGCACTACCATGCTGGGTATAATATAGAAAGGGGCATTTCCATCAGATTGTAGGACACTTCCTAGCTGACATGGGAGAGTTTGCTTTACGCAGTTGAGCTGCATTAGTACTTGTGGATCAAAGATCAGGACAGTTAAATTCCACTGCCTGCCACTAAGTGCCACTAAGACCTATTTCTCACAAACAGCATATGTTTTGTTCCTGGGTGGAAGCCTGGCTTCATCCAGTTGAATACTTCTTGTATGCAAAATTAACTCCATATAGAAAACTAATTGCAGAAGACTAGCCTTGCCTTTCCTATGCGCAGGGTTTTATTTATTTTAGTATGGAAGAGCAATCAGTCATGTGACTCTGAAGTAGTGATACGTTTACCAGCTCCTCTGTTGTTGCTTATGCGAACTAGGCCTACGGCTGTTTTAATTTCTCCCCAAAGCAAGATCAAAATTAGGACATAAATGCATATTGGGAATGGATAGTATATGAGCAGCTTATCTGACATCAGTTTTTACTTGTCCAGTGAATGGATTGATAGCAAAGCTTTCCTGAGGTCCTGTGGTTAGAAATGTGCAAAAATTGCTTGTTACAATCTGACATATTGTGAAGCAAGTATTTTGTATCATTGGTGTCCTGTTTATCAGATCTCATTTGCTTTGTTTGTAAACAAAAATTGGATGTGAAGCACAGCTTGCCAAAATACCTTTTTTAAAAAGTAGTAGCATTCTGTTGTCGTGAGAAGTGGAAGCCTGTCATTGCATAATGGCTCACTTTTTAAAATTCCACAGTATGGCAACCTGCCATACCCCTCTCAAACAAATAAATGCCATTATTAAAGTCTGCTTATTTCACTTACAATAATTCCATGATGGGACTGGCAGTTAATATAATCAGAATCATTTTAATTAGAAAAGGATAAGCTTAATCATTGCAGTTTATGGCACAATCAAATATATGCTGGCCGATTTGAAAGCAATATTAACATGGACCTAGTTACCACCCTTTGCCATTCTTTTATTGATAAACTAAAGTATGGTTCTTATCTGCCCTTGTTCAAAAGATGCTGCATTGCCCATAGGCCTAACTTCTCTTGGACTTCCAGCATCCTTTTTGTTCAGGGATCTTTTGATGATAAATGCTGCATTGGTAGAAAATAGTATTTTGTTCTGGAATATCATACTATTTTATGTATGCTATATTTTAAATAGACTATAAGAACACTTGGGGTTTTTGCATAGGGTGCTAGCTAGGGCATATTTTCAAATGACTGAAAATGTATATTGTTGTAATGTGCTGTAATTTGAATAACATAGATTTATTTATTTATTTATTTATTAAAACTTTTATATGCCATCACCACATGCCTCGGCATCTCGGGACGGCTTACAACATAGAATTAAAACAATAAAACAGTAACAAGTACAGTAAAATTCTATAAAAACAAAAAGCGACTGTTAACGATAAAATTAACATTTACTATTGATTTACTATTGATCTTTTTTCCAGGCGAAGACCTTTTTATTTAAGCGTCATTTTAATTGTTAACAGTATTTGCTTATTTTATCTGGCCAGTGCCAGTGTTCTTTTATATTGTTATTTATTTTATATTGTTATTTTTATATTGTTATTTTTGTATTTTTCTTCATGTTGTGAGCCACCCCGAGGCTTCGGCGAATGGGGCGGCATAGAAATGTTTTAATAAATTTAATAGTAAATAAATAAATAAATAAATAATGACTTGTTAGAATTAAGAGCATCTGTGGATTTTGAATTGTTTTGTGGTACTGGAGTATTTGTAGGACTATAAACTGAGTACATTTGGTAATCTTGATTCCCATAAAATGAATTGGAAAATGAAATGTGTACACCCAAGCATTTTTAAAAACACACTTCTGTAAGCACTTCTAAAAATGCAATGCACTTTTTTGATAAATCAATAGAATCAAAAGTGCTGTTTAGGTGATCAGACTCTTGTCATGACAGTTATTTTATTAACATCTTCTTTAGACAATGGCAAAGGTCATAACTACAGTGCTAAAATTCCCTGCTGACCAAACACATAAGATACTGGAACGAGAAGATGCACGGACACAGGTAAGCTATAATAAGAAACAACACAGCAGTAGTTTTTATTTGTGTCTGCTTTTATTTAAGGTGAAAACCACCTGAGTGTCACTCATCTAATATTGTCCCAGAAGGATTTTATACTGGAAAATTAGTTTAGTGGGTAAGAGCTCTGGATAAGGAAACTCTGCTGTTGATAGCCAGGCAAACATTAATTCTAGAGGACACTGTGCATATCTGTACTATGGCAACCACAATCTCCTGCCAAAAATAAAGTCTTGATTTATCTGTCTTGCAGTTGGTATAGAAGTCAGAAGAAACCTATGTAACCTGATCATTAATGTGGAGAAATCCTTTGACATTACTGAAGAGTGTTCATGTGTGCTTGCTTGTGCCTTTTTAAATTGGTGCCAGTCAAAAATTTAAAAAGCCTAAACTAAGCCTTCAACTGTTGCTCTTTCACAGATTTAAAATGGGTACCAGTCCAGTTTCCATCACAGCCTCTCCTATTTTGAAACAATTTATTTTGAACTTGGTTCAGTTTTTATCCCAGTTCTGATGAAACGAGTGGTTATAAATTTACCTATCTGTACCAAAGCCTGATTCCACTTTGGAAATTGGAATATTGAAAAGCAATTACGTAAATTAATAAACAAGAAGCAATCTTAAGATTATCAGGGTTTATCCAGCTGCTACTTTTTAATAAGTGTAGGGTTTATAGGTTCAGCAGGAGAAGCTGTTGATGAGAAAAGATGTGTGTTTGGATCATGGGCACAGGAAGGGTGGATTGTGACCCTGAAACCTCCCTTCCTTCCTTTGCATATCTGTTTTCTTTAATGTTCAAAGAGAACCCTGTTTGGTTTTGCTCACGAAATACATTAATCTAGAGCAGAGTAGTTTAAATATGCTTTCTCTTCATTATTAGTTCACACTATAAACAGAAGTAAACATGATGGGAATTTTTTTCAAAACTTGATTTTCTGACAGGTCACATTTTGAGATTATTCTCCTTTGTGTTGCCACGACTGTGCCTGAGTACTATTAAAAGACCACTGCATTCATGGTTGCTTTACATGCATGCGATAAAAGCAACTAAAAGAGGGTTTAGATTCTGTGGCAGGGCTTTCAAATGACTGGACTATATAACTTTATTGGGAATTTATGAGCACCAGCACAGTGTGTTTTGTGATGAAATTTCAGGTTAATATGTGGAAGTTCTGTTCAAAAGTAAAATGTTCCTATCAGTTCCTTTTCCTGTTTGGCTCCTTTCTCTAAAAACAATCCTGTTTTAATGCATACTAATCTTTATTATGTGCTTTTCTGTCAGTCCTAAACAGATGTGGGGTACTGATTTTAATCCTGTTTAATTTTGCATGCAAATGTTAGATGAGATGGCAGGTATCAGGTCCAATATGTCATTTTGTGCTCATCAAAATAAAGCAGAGTGCATCTATGCCTTTTGGAATACTATCTTCCTTAGTAGAGGAATAATATAACTGACTCACCTGAAGGAAGGAGAGGCAAAGAACAATTGTAAAGCATGCTCTTTACAATTGTAAAAACTAGTCCATTTGTGCAGGCTCAAGCATTGTGCATGTGCATTGCATGAAAGAGGCAGCACTCGGCTCTTGGTCAACCCTAAGAGTGTCTGAGATGGCTCTCATTGCTGTTGGTAAAACCTGCTCAACCTCTGCGCTTTGCCAGGTGCTGTGCAAAACAGAGAAGTGCCATTGTCAATCGTGGGTATCCCATTTGCTGTGGCCAAGCCTCAAGAAAAATAGATGTTTAACATTTCTAAATTCATATTTGCTTTTATTAACACAGTAACCCAATAAGCTGTTCTTTTCCTGGCTTTGTAGTTCACTTCAACTCACAGTGGTATCTTCTGAATAAATCATCAATGCTTTAGTTAGCATGTGGGTGAGTGTTGCCTAATACATAACAATATTTGCTTTTTCTTCTTTGCAAAAATAAAGTATTCTTTACACTAACAAGCATGCTGAGCACTTGTTCTTACCATATTTGCTTTGCAAAGCCCCCATTTAAACTTGGTTGGAGATACTCTGGGAGACTAAGCCTTCCCCTTCATTGTTTCCCCATCTCAAAGTTCCCCAATCAAAGCAGCCACCAGCCACAGAAAGGGAAAAAGAAGGGTACTCGTATTGTCATCTCTGCCCTGATTAACGTCAGCTTCTGGCAGGAGACATTCTTGTATGGGAAATGGCATGGAAGGAACAAGTTCAACCCCAGCACTTTATTTTGATCCAAATACTCTCATCCCCATGGCTGCTTTTAACCAAAGAAAAAGATGCCAAAAGATCCCATTTCAGATTTCCCATGGTTTGTGTAGATTGGTTTTTATTTGTCCAAATATACTGCCACAGGATTGGGTTCATGCAATACAAGAAAGCAAGTTTATTGGCCTCATTGTTTTAGAGGGATTTTGAAGTGAGATGTTTATGTTACGTATTTTAATCTGCTTTTCTTTACATAGATTCTGTTTTGTTGCTCTGCCACTTCTTCCCAGATAATTTCATGTTGCTCAAACTTCAGACAATATTTAGAATTGGATTTTTAGAACACCTTAGTAGTGAATTTTATTATAAAGCATGCAATTCTATTGAGATTATGCTTAACTGCATATTTAAAACAATAGCTTACTTGAATTACATTAAAGAATGCAAAAGTAATGGAACATGTCTTTAGATTTCCATGCTGCAGAGTTCATAGAGTTAATGTAACAAGACATTTCAACATATTTATATTAAATAATATGGGTGGGAAATTACTCAAGATCCTGTTAAGCCATTATGTTAATGTTGCAGTGTATATTAAAGCAAACAGAAAATTTCTACAATTTTTTTGTAGAAAAAGCTGTTTCAGTTGCCTTTAGATGCAATTCCTCACATTTTAACAAATAAAATTGTGTTTATAGGATGAATACATATGTTTGATATGATAAAATCTAAGTTGGGCTGTCAGTGTATCATTTTGATAAGCTTTAAACACTTAGAAGATGTCATTATAGGTGGACATTCCACATTCTTCCATAAGACAACTAGTACTGTCAGACCTCCAGAGGGTCATACAAAACTCATAGCACAAGAAGCGTAGAGGTTTCAATAGAGGTTTCTTGTAGTCTGGCCTGGAAGCTTAGTATTTTTCCCATTTTTAACCATCTGGCTGTGTCGCATAGTCATTTAGCTGTGATAAGCAGCATTTAAGTTGATCTCATTACTTTCACAGTATCCTAGAATGTGGTGCTGATTTCTGAGTCAGAATCATTTCAGTATATTCCTCCTTCTGTAGTCATTAGAAAAGGCCATTGCTTCCTAGCCCAGCTGTTGAGGTATTCATGTATCTGTCTTGAAAGAAAATTACTCCTGTTTGCTTTTACTTAATTTACATTTCTCTTTTCCTCTGCTCTTGTCCTCCAGTCCTGGTTATGATCATCTTCCTGAAGAACTTGTGGCACATGCACTTTGTAGCAGAAGACACTGCTTTCAAATCAGATCATATCGCCACCTTAGTTTATTGGAGAACGGATTAGAGAAGAACTGTTATTCAGAGTCCCACATGAAAGGAGCAAAACAAAGAATACTCATGGGTTAGGAGCTAGTGCCATGAATATGGTTAAGCCTTGGGGAGAGAGTCTTTATCAGGTGATGAGTGCTTAATCTAGACACAGTTTTCTATTTTGTTATGGAGTTTTTTTTAAGATGAATGAAACTGAAATGCTTGCCTCACTGCAATATCTCAACACAGATTTTACAGGATGTCTCTAAAAGAATTAATAGTTCAACTCTCCTATTTATTTTATTACATTTTTTGACTGAAATAATTGTGCAATACACTTTGGGTGGGTAGTGGGTAGACCTTGGTGATTTACCTGGTAAGTTAAGTCATTGTTGACTCTTTCCCCCCTCCCAATTTAATCTATTGATTGTTTGGTGAAGGCCATTTCTTTTAAGCTTTTGCTTACAATGAATCCACATTGCAGTACCTCATTTGTTTATTCCTAGCTTTTGTACTTATATTTTGTGGGGAAGAAATTTACACTCCTGTAAATTGTAAATAGTTACAACCTAATTGTATCATAAGCTGATCTCTGACTGTTGGCAGTGCTAATCTTGCAGAGCGGGAGAAAATAAAACTTCTATTTACTGTACAAAGCTGCAACCTGTTGTGCTTGTTAATAGCTCGAGTTACTGACTAATAATTTTGTTAATATTTTGCTCCCAATGTCTCAGATCTTTCTTCTGAAACACAGTAATAGGAAACTAGTGGTGCTTTTTGCTGATGTGAATCTGGATAGCTTTATGGCATAACAGACCAGCAGAAAAGGTACATTAAAGGAGACTGTCAGAAGTGGAAGCAGTGGTTTTTGCTTAGCGCTATTAGAATAAAGTTGTATAATCTCATGAAAGCTCTGTACAAACCACAAGTTCTTACTAGAGAAATAATTCAAAAGGACAACTATCAGCTTTAAACCACATTCTTACACACGCATGAACAAAAACCTTTGTTTAACTTCCAGAATTATGCTTTTCTTTTTACAGAATTTCTGTAAAGCTAGATGGAATATCCAGGGAGCTGGATAATAGCTTGCTTTTTACGTGAGCAAAATATTTTCAGTGTGGGATCTGTAGACAATGAAAGCACACCAAAATGGAAAAGCTAAACTAGCATCAGAGATGACCTCATTGTCCAGCCCTTCCTGAGTGATGTGGGAAAAGTGTATAATCAACACAAAATCAGTGGAATTAAGATATACCAGTGTCTCATCCTCCATAAGCACTCTTGTGTGAATAATGTGAATTCATTTCTTTTTTCTTAGAAGATATGAAGTGTTTTTAAAGAGAAAATGTTATCAGTGGCAAGAATTTAGGCATCATGTTTGAACAACCTTGTGCTCAACATCCCTAAAGATGTTGACTTGAACTATCTAAGTGTGTAATTATATTCAGCTGGTAGATCTGTACTTCCAAAATCCTCCTCCTTTCACACTGGCTAAAGTAGAAGATGTGTGGCGAGTCTTCTTTTCCCTCTCCTGTTAAGCACTTCGTCTTTTTCACAATTCCCTGCTTAAGTGCAACTGGGCAAAATATGAGTATAAAGTATCCCCCAAATCCTAGGATCTTTCTGAAAATGAAGGGACTTTGGATCCAGTAGATTGAGGTTGCCTCTGTCCTGTCCTGCCCTATCCTTACAACAACTTTCAGGGCCTAATGCCAGTTACTACCAATAGCAACCCCACCAATGCCTTCAGTGTGCTCCACAAGTATAATAGAATTCTCTATTGCATGTTTCCCTCAATGTTCTACCAACAACTCCCTCCAGGCAGGAGATATGGGGCATAGAATTACTCCAAAAGCATTTTAAGGGACTCACAATATCAAAACTGGAAAATATTGAACACAGTTTCAGGACTTTAGAAGCAGCAGTTGTTGAGAATGAGAAGAGACTCAGGAGAACCTTTAAGCCATCTACATATGCACTTTTGTATACACCAAAAATGGTTGTTAGGATACTGGCACATGCCTATTAAGATGTATCTCTTAAAAGCAATGCTCTCACTTTGGCTTGTGTGGAGGTTTGCCTATATATGGAAAAACCAGTCTACACAAAAAATGGCTAATATTGGCTGGCTTCATGCTGGTGCATGTGACTGTATGAGTTCAGTTCTTTACCATCTATCCTTTTAGGGCTTGTAATTTTTTTCCCTAGCATCCTTTGAAATAGCTGAAATCCACATTTCAAGCTTGGAGTTGCCATATATGGAATATGTCACATTACAAGAAACTGCCAGCACCTGCAATCTTTTCCTCTTGAAACAGAACATATGCTTTCAGGATCTTCTGCTTCAGAAACTGAACATTTTTTAAATGGGGCTTGAGAGTGAAATTTCATTCCCACAAGACAGTTGTGAAGAGCTGTTTTTTGTCAAATGCTAAGTGTTGTGGAATGAAATGAAGTGAAATGAAATGAAATTCTTGTGTGCTATTTAAAAGCAGCCTTAAATATAGCTTGGTGAGAAACTTAATTTCATCACATCTTAGGGCTGTGTACAAATAACTTCTGAGTAACAATGGATTTCCTCTGTCCCTTTCAACTCAATTTTTGCAGACCAGCTCTAGTACTGATAAAGCATCAGCTTTTTGATAACTAGATAAAGGTAGTTGGCATGGGGACCTGGATCTCTATCCTAACTACATTCCTACTTGCTTATTTACTATTGTACTATTTCTAAGCCATAAATATTAAGAAAAACCCTTAAGTGATCCCCCTATCTTTCTGGTTTTCTGCAGTAGGTCGTTAAAGTCTTAATTGCAGAAATTTGGAATAATAAGGTCCCTTGGCCTAAAAAATGAAAAAAGAGCAGAAAGGAAAAAGAAGGAACTTAAGGTAGAAAAAATATTGTTGGGGGAGTTAACTGTGTTTCAGTTTACCTTATGTGGCTATCTTGCCCTAAACAGAACTGTCAGAGTCAAGAGTCTTCAAAGCTCACCTGTCACCTCTCTACTGGAGAGGTGAAAATTCTCTCATGGACATTTTATAGACATCTAAGTGAGATAAGATAGTGGAGCACCTCAAAGCACTACCAAACGGGTTGCTATTCCCCTGGAAACTCCTGCAGTGGTTCATGAGTTAACTAACCTATGCTGAGCCAGGCATGCTGGCATGAGCATCTCTGCTCTGTTTGTAGCAGCACATATGACTGATTCTGGGTAAGAGAGTGAAGCAAATCTTCATCGTCTGTTTCTGTAACTCGTCCCCGAGTTAGGAATGCAACATGCACCAACAGCACTTCCTAGTACTCTGTCTTTGGAAGTGGGCAAGCAAACAGGTGGTGGAAATGCTGTAGAGTTGATGTCTGCAGCTGTTGAAGAGCAGTCTTATTTATTTATAATATTTTTATACAGTTCATCAGCCAGTCGGCTCTCTGAAATGGTTTACAATAAATTAAAACTACAAGTACCCATAATCCCAACCAAGAACCTTACATATAAGCCAAAGGCAAAATTAAAAATATAACTTCAATGTATTCTATTCTATTCTATTCAAAAAGTAATATAATCCCACACATAATCAAGAACAAGTATCCACAACAAATCAAGCTGGGACAAACTGGGCCAAGGTAAAATACCATATAAAACATAGTGCACACTTTAAAACTTAGCTGTTAAAATATTGGGAAAATAAAAAAGGGTTTTGCTGGGCCCCAAAAAGAATGAAAAGTTGGTGCCATGTGCACCTCTTCAAAGAGCTGGTTCCATAAATGGGATGCTACAGTTGAAAAGGTGCACTTTTGGACCTCCTCAGTCTGGAACTTTACAGAGTGGTTAACAGTTGTCATTCTTGGAACTGTGGGTGCTGAACAAAGTACCCCAGTGTGCATATTTGTCCCTATTACACAGATAGGGAATGGGGCCATACTATTCATTCTTCACAGCCTGTTGCCATTACTTTCCTGCCAAAGACCATGATCCTCAGCTGGTATGGATTATGGCCTAACACTCATTTCTTGCTTTTGTTGTAGCTTCCTCTACGCCAGCCTTCTCCACCATGCCCTACAGATGTTTGGACTTCAACTCCTAGGATCCTGACCATTGACCACCTGGCAGAAGCTGATGGGAGTTGAAGTTCAAATCATCTGGAGGGCACCAAACGGGGTTGTCAGCTCTCCTCAATAGAAGATTTCCTCAAAAGTGCTAACGTATTTTCAGGAATATGTAGAATTATTAAGTATGGAATAAGCTGCTTTTCATGCTGAAACTGGAGCAGCTAAAGCAGGTGTGAATGTAATCCCCCTAACAATATTTTATGGATATGAGAAATTACTTATCTGATTAATAAATGGAGAAAATAGAAATAGAAGGTGGGAAAGGGAGAAAAAGAGTTGGGCAAAGAGAACGTGAAGACAGAAACGATAAAAAGTGATTCCAGATTAAAGTTGGCCTTTTAAAAAATCTTAATTAAAACTCAGATTCATATTAGCTCATGTAAGAAACAGTGTGAGCAGGAGAATGCTGGAGTGCTGAGATTGTGCAAGGCAACAGTTGGAACCTGTGCACAGCTGAGAGTAGCAAAGCCATCTGGGCTTCCCAGTGCAATTAGGAAGTACTATTCAGTATTGATAGGATTGGCATTCTTACTGATATTTTATACCATACTTGAGTTGCCATCCAAGGCCAGGTACCATAGATAACGTAACAGGAAATGCAGAAAGAGAGGGAGAACTGATGTACGCAGGCCAAGCCTTTCTAATTGGTATTGTAGCTGTGGTGCTTTGGTTGTCTTTTACTCGCAAAATTTCATTCTCACATACCTGTTGAGCAGAGGGGCTGATAGGGTTGCTTTGTATGAGCATTGTGGAAGCATTCTTCAGCTGTTGTAAATCTCCATGCATTGGATTCATATTTAGTCATACTTAGAGTCCTGAGTGACTTAAGTTCCATTGATTTCATATTCTTAAGTATGACTAAATTTAGATCCAGCCTCTTACCTTTTGCCTTCTTAATGCCTTCAAAGCAAAATAATTATTGTATTTGAAAATATTAACAATTTCCCTGGTTTATCAGACTAGGAGATGCTCTTAATACCTGTCAAGCTAGAAGAGGAGAGTATATTTTTATATTTGTCTATGCAGCAAATAGTAGTATTTCTCTGCTAGAGATTGGGTAGTTAATGATCCTCCGAAGAATTATGCTGTTTTCTGTTGGGTTGCTGATTTTCCCTGTATTGATCTGTGACCATTTGTAGAAAGATGCATCGTTGGGGGAAAAATAGATTACAATGCAAGAGTTGCTTACCAATTTAGAAAGGCAAAATATCAGGTAATAAAAATAAGAAGGAAAGGCCTAATAGAGCTACAAAATGCAAAATATATACTTGCTCTCTGAAATAGCTCCTGGACCCCCAAGGATATTATTGCAAGCTCTTGCAACTCTGTGATCTAACAGGTTCTGAGCTGTATTTTAATTCATTCAAATAGTAGAGGCTTTTTTACTATCCCTTTCACAGCACACCAAGATGCACAAATGGTAAGCTGCAGCTTTTATTGGAGAAGCATGTGTGCATATTTAGACAGAGAAAAGCCCCACTAGTAGGATTTTTCTGTCTAAACTTGAATAGGATTGTGACACATTCTTTTACACCCTGCTAGATTGCGTTGCATG